CTAGAGGATCCCCTGCGTGTGTGTGTGCGTGTGCGTGTGTGTGTGCGTATGTGTGCGTGTGTGCGTTTGTGCGTGTGCGTGTGTGTGTGTGCGTGTGTGTGCGTGTGTGTGCGTGTGTGTGTGCGTGTGTGTGTGCGTGTGTGTGTGCGTGTGTGTGTTACATCACCTCCTAGAGTTGCGTTATGCTCTCCAGAGTTGCAAACTGGGGGGCTCCATACATACATACATACATACATACCTGGAGCCATTGGGGGGGGCCGCTCTGAGGGGACCCCGGCGGGCTGCACGAGATGGACGTGTTGGTGTGTTTCGTGTGTGTGTGTGGGGGGGGGGAAATGACTGAACGAGGGGGGAAAGAAGTCCGAAAGGTAAAGGATGGTATTGCGGTTGTGTATTGGGTGTGTGGTTGGGTATTGCGATGGGTCTTGGGGTTTTGGTCGACTTGGGCCGTAGCTAAACACATTCACATTCACATCTACATTTACATTTACATTCGCATTCACATTCACATTCACATTCACATTTACATATGCATGCACCGTGCAGGCCAATGCGGGCTTCCTGGTGGATATCGCCTCCGTCTCCCCGGAGGCTAAGGACTCCGGGTCCTTCGTGTCGGCAGGAGTGGCCATGCCCGCAATCGCCTCCGCGAACGGTGGAAGACCAGCCGCAGCGGGTGGGGCCGACGGCGGCGGTGGCGGTGGCGGTGGAGGCGACGCCGCGGCTGCTGCCGCCGCCGCGGCTGAGATTGCCAAGCTAAAGAAGGATTACGAGTCGTTGGAGAAGCAGCTAGAGGAAGTCTCAAATGAGGCGGCACGACTGCAGGTGTGTGTATGTATGTATGTATGTATGTTTACGTGTATATGAAATGGTGGGTTGAGAGGAAGAGCTGGTGTGGCCTGGCAGCGCCACTGCCGTACACAGCCGTACACAGCCGTATGGGTGCATGTGCCGTGTGCCTCTGTATGACTTAGATTACACTGTGGGCTGCGAGAGCCGGGGGTCGAAGCCGAAACACAGCGCAAGGGTCGGGAGCACACAGCACAAGTCGGTTAGTCTGTATGTATGTATGTATGTATGTATGTATGTATGTATGTATGTATGTATGTATGTATGTATGTATGTATGTATGTATGTATGTATGTTGTTACAGGGTGGTTAAGCTTCGCCAGCGGCCCCCTTATGTATATATATTTATTGGCATCCACATCCCGTCAATGTTAATAGTCGTACGTGCAGAGCGGCCAGTACTGCGCACATCTATTCCATTTGCGTCGCTTCTTGACACGTACTCGTCGTACTTATGTGTTTAAATTGTACGAACGTCCGTACAGGACTTGGTGGATGATCTTGAGGAGCAGCTGATTGCGAAGAATGGCGCTACAGAGGAGGCCTCTGCGCAGGCAGCGGCGGCGTCAGCACAGGCGACGGCGGCGGCAGCGCAGGCGGCGGCGGCAGCGGCGGAGTTGGCGGCGCTGCGAACTCAGGTTTCGGAGCTGGAGTGTCAGTTGGAGGAGGCGGCTCGTGAACGTGGCGGGCTGGAGGCGGCGTTGGCGGAGATGGAGCAGCGGCTTGTTGCCACTCACGCGGCGCTGGCTTCTGCCAACCATGAGGTAGGCTGTTGCTCGGCGACGTCCCCCCCTCCACCCCTCACCCAACACACACACACATTCACCCCCGTAGCGCCCAGGTGCTCAGTCACTACTACTACTAGTCCAGGACTACTACTAGTCTAGGACTACTACTAGTCTAGGACTACTACTAGTCTAGGACTACTACTAGTCTAGGACTACTACTAGTCTAGGACTACTACTAGTCTAGGACTACTACTAGTCTAGGACTACTACTAGTCTAGGACTACTACTAGTCTAGGACTACTACTAGTCTAGGACTACTACTAGTCTAGGACTACTACTAGTCTAGGACTACTACTAGTCTAGGACTACTACTAGTCTAGGACTACTACTAGTCTAGGACTATTAGCTCTAGTGGGTTTAATGGAGCGCATGTGTAGATAATCTGCATGCGTGCATATGAAGATACAGATGGCTGATATAGTAATAGTTGAGTCCTTCCCAGTGCTGTTAAAAGTTAGTTGGCGATTCCGTTAGTTTGCTAGTTTGTTAGGGGGGTCTCCTGGTGCTGTACGACGTCTTAAGCCATGGCGTGTCTTAAGATGCGTTCCTTCGTCTTCCGTCACTCTCGTTTCAATACTAAGATGCAGATCAGATACATACATACACAGGGTTTGGCACTACTGGTAAGGCGCGACCATTGCCCCCGGGAGATCCCGGGATCGATACCCATTAGGGTCAAAGTCCTTCTGATGGTGGAAGGCATTGCGCCCCTAGTTGATGGACGGTGGTGACCTGGGATAAAGTTAACCTGCGAGCCGACCAGGAACAGAGTTGGGCCGCTGTTGACCCGGCAGATTCCGTTGGATGCTGGTGGTGGGTGCGGAACCTGAGCGATCCACTGAGAAGTTGACTAGGGTGACTGGATGAGGGTGCCCCGAAATACCGGGGAAGGCAGGGTTTCGCAGGGTAGCTGCCACGGGCGAAGATATGCCCCCCTGTTCCACACATCATACACACATTGGTGGTGTTTTGGGGGTGTTTCAGAGAGCCTTTGACTTCGCCCTAGCTGAGACTTGTGGACTCGCTCTAGCGGGACCTGAGAGCCCTTCGTGGTGTATTCAATGCAGCGCCATCCCCGGATGGAGAGGCTGCGGAGTGGCTGCGTAGAGTGTTAGCAGTCTGAGTCGAGGTCGGGAGCACACAAGACTAACCGACTTGTGCTGTGTGCTCCCGACCCTTGCGCTGTGTTTCGGCTTCGGCCCCCGGCTCTCGCGGCCCACAGTGTAATCTAAGTCATACATACATACATACATACATACATACATACATACATACATACATACATACATACATACATACATACATACATACATACATACATACATACATGCGCTCCTGCACCCGTCCAAGCTTCCCCCGTTTCTGTGTGTATTTTTCTTTGCGATACACGTTGTGTGTATGAGTGTATGTATATATGTGCGCACGCGGCGGCTGATTGCGATGTGTTATTGTTGTTGTTATCGCATGCGGGAGCAGGCGGCGGACCGAGCCCGCAGCCGACCATCAGCTCTGCCGGAGCCACGTATTGAGACGGCATCTATGGCGTCAGGCAGTGAGGCGGGTTTCGGAGCCCTTGGTGGCGGCGGCGGTACGGCAGGTGGAGCGGTGGGCGCCACCGGCAGCAGCGGCATGAGCTTGAGCACCCTGCTCGGGGGCGGAGGCGTGTTGGCGCACCGCGCCGCGATGCCGCTGGGTATGAGCATGCGATTGCCCAGCCTGGCTTCACGTGAGTATGTATGTATGTATGTATGTATGTATGTATGTATGTATGTATGTATGTATGTATGTATGTATGTATGTATGTATGTATGTATGTATGTATGTATGTATGTATGTATGTATGCTGTGGGGTTGAGCCCCGGGTAGAAGCTGGCGAGCTTGGCGAGCGCGGAAGTGTGTGTGTCTGTGTAAATGTACGAACGTACGTGTGCGCCCTGTTTGTACTGCTGTCACGTTTACATTGCTATTGCTGCTGCTACTGCTACTGCTACTTTCACTTCTATTGCTACTGCTACTGCTACTTTCACTTCTATTGCTGTTGGTGGTGTCTACTGATCTTCACTCCACCTCCCCAACAAATACACCCGTACACACCCGTACATCCGTTCATGCACCCATTCGTGCAGTCCGAGCTCACGGCGGCGACATGCGTTCCGTGCTGGAGGAGCTCGGCCTGGCCACCCTGGCTGCCCGCTTCGAGGCGGAGGACATTTCTCCGGGCTTGCTGCCGTACCTGGACGATACGGCACTGCGGGAGCTGGGGGCCACGTCTGTGGGTGCCCGGCTCAAACTGAGAATCGCGGCACAGGCCCTGTTCCTGGGCTGATGGGGGCGGCCGCCAGTGTGGTGTGTGCGGGGGGGGTGGGGGACTAGACGCGCACGAGCGCACGAAAGCGCGCACGATAGAGAAGGGCGTTGGAATGGGGACTGTACGGCGATCTGTTGCGCCGGTAGTACCTGTGATGGTGGTTGTGATGGTGGTTGTGATGATGGTTGTGATGATGGTGGTGGTTGTAATGGTTGTGATGGTGGTTGTGTTGATGATGGTTGTGATGGTGGTTATGATGTTGGTTGTGATAATGGTTGTGGGCTTGGGGCGATGTATCTGATGTATTTGATTGCTCAACGGCGGCGCTGAGCTTAGTCGGAGAGCTCTCCAAAGTTGAGAGCTATGTGTGCGTCCTGTCATCACTTGGGTGGGGTGGGTTTGCTCGGTCGTGGGTGCTTGTCTGTCTATCTGTCTGTGTGGATGTAGATGAAGGGGGAGGGCAACGGCGAGGCGAATGGGGACTTGATGACAGGTGTTTTGGTTGGAGGTGTGTTTTGAACCCCGGGGGGGGGGCCGCCCGGGCGCTGAAATTGGGTCAAGCCTTCCCTGGACCCCTAAGAATGGGAAAGGCGGGTGGGGGAGGAGAGAGGGGGGGTGAGGGGGCTACGAGTCCGTGTGTATTGGGTGGGGGGAGGGTTGTTGGGTGACCGGCCGTTAGTGGCGGCGTTAATTTTAAAGGCTGACCGTCCTGTCACCATTACCACCGCATACAAACAAGCATACATACAGATTTACCATTCCGCCGTTTCCCTGGTGCCGGGCAGTGAGGGGGGCCGCGCGTGTGTGTGTGTGTATACATGTGGGTGGGTGGGTGTGGGTGTGCGTGTGTGCTGGTGTTGGATGACATTGGGGCGGCGGGTGAGGAGACGGGGCGGGGGGAGTTCACGCAACCCCGGGGTCCCTGTGTGCTTTCGTTTTCACTAAAGAAGATGAACCAAATAGTGGGAGAGAGAAGGCCCTTCCGGGAGCTGCTGCTGTTGCGGGCTTTGGTGGGCTAGGCAGCGGCACCTTATGTACTTAGTAAATGTTAAGGCTTGTAAATGTTAAGGCTACGTGTGAATGGTTTCCGTGTAATTTTAGTGGTTGGGAAAATCGCCAACATCGTCAACGCGCAATGTGAATGTGTTCATATGTATATAGATGGGAGAGGTGGAGAAGGAGGGTTGTTGTGGGGGAGGGAAGGGCGCTCCAAAGCCGCCTAGGCGGGCCTCGCTCCTCTTCACGGCTTATGCGGCTTTGGCTTATTTCTCTCTGTTTGTGGCATTATTAGCCTTTAATTTTAGTATTATCATTATCATCCAGTGTTCTGACTGAATTCAAATCCTGCTGATTAATGATTCTCAAGGCGACAACTGGCTCTCCAGTAGACGGCTGTGAGGGAAGAAAAAACACGCTTGTACGGCAATGTTGAGAGCTCAATTTGTGTGGGTTTGGCGTCTCGCGCGCTCGAGACCACCAGCTTCTGATCTTTTCTAACAAAAGAAAGAAAAATCTATCCTGTGGTACGGTATTTCGTACACCTGTTTGTATCCCCCTCTAGGCTGCGGGCCGCATTCGCTTTCCTAGCAGACCCCGGACGGCGGGTGGCGGGCGGCGCGAACTTGGGGCCCTTTCTTTGGATCTGAGATCTTGCATGCGAAGGAAGCTTCTCGAAAGCGGGGCCGTAGAAAGGAGTACGGTGCCGTACAAAGAAGATTTCTGTGATTCTTGCACTCGGCGTTTCCGCCTTGAGATGCGGCCTTTTCCGCGCGTTGTGTTGTGTATTGTGTTGGGGTAGCTTTTGTGGGTCCACCTTTTTTGGGTTCGTCAGGTCAATAGCAAAGCGTGCTTTTGCTTTTAAGGCTTTGGTTCCGCCTCCCCCCTCCCCTCTTCCCCCTTCCGCCTCCCCCCTCCCCCCTTCCCCCTTCCGCCTCCCCCCTTCCCCCTCCCCCCTCCCCCGGGAAGGGGTTTAAGTGGGGTTTCTTGACCGGGGTGCAGCAGCCGGAGCGTTTCTTTCTCCGAAGGCTGGAAAGCCACACACACTCACACACGTATGTACGTACATACAGACATACAGACATACATACAGACATACATGTAAGCACACACACTCACACACACACACGCCGCTGGCGGTTCGCGGGGTATTGGCCTCGGGGTCCCCCCAAGGCGCCCTCCGTGCCATTGTGTGGATGGATGTGAGGGAGCGCGGATACGGCCTGCTGGCGCCACTACTACTACGGCGCTTCCTCCTTCCTTCCTTTTCTTATTGTTGTATGTGTGGAAAAGCGTGGCGGCGAGGATAGCCTTGTGTTGCATCTTGTTGTGCTGTTGGATGTGAAAGCTCTGGCGTCTTACTTAGCTATACGATGATACGGGTTACGGAGCATGCGGAGGAGGGCGATGGGTATGTAGGCGTTTGGAGAACTTCTCTCTTCCCCATGTGGGTGAGCCCCGGGGTGGGCGGTACAATGCATGTGGTCGTACCAACCAAGAGGCGGTTTAAGAGCGAACGGGGGGAGGGTTAAGATCCCATACCGCGCGATAATTTGTGGCGGCTAAGGAGCGGCGAATGGTGTTGTACAGCTTCCGGGTTGGGTTGGGGGGTAGGGGGTAGGGGTAGGGGGGAGTACAGGAGGAGGGTCGGATGGGGGAAGGGGAGAAGTTGACCACCCGCGAAGTTGGTCGGCAGATTGCAGTGCGACCGCCACTACCATCATCCGTGCAATGTTGCCGCCAACCCGGTGTGTGTGTATGTATGTATGCGCGTATGTATGTGCGTATGTAGGTACGTAGGTGTGCTTGAGGGGGGAGTGTTCTATTCAATGATGTGAAGTTCGGCGGCTAGGGAAAGGAAGGAGGACTGTCCCGCGTGCTTTTGACAATGCCCGTAACCTTGAGGTATGCAGGTATGTCTGTAATATGTTTGTCTGTATGTACGCGAAGTTTACCGTTGCTACGTAATGTCGTGTCGGCTTCTGGTTTCGGGGCCTTGAATCTCTTGGGTCTCTTGAACGTCTCGGTCCCTGGGCCCCGTGTTTGTGTTTTGTGTACGAACATGCGCGCAAAGAATTATGATGTGGTGTTGATGCTGGGGCGGGCTCTACCTCCGCGTCACACACAAGCCCCCGGCTCCTCCAGAGGCCGCAGCTGTAGGGGCCGCAGCAAAGAGGTGTGCGGGCTGCGTGGACGTGTTGTATGATGTTTTCCGTGTTCTCGATGCGGGGTGCGGGTCCCGTGAGGCTGGGGAGAAGTCAAAATGGGTCAAGTACCCGAGGTGTCCTGATATCTGTCTGTCTGTCTGTCTGTATGCATGTGCGTTGTCACCCCGCGGTCATGCGGCGGGGGGTTTGGGGGGCACCTTGGCTTCCACTCGTGCAAGGAAAGTGTGTGTATGTGGATTGGTGCATATGTGGTTGACGGCGGTGTGGCAAGGAGAGGATGAAGACGAGAACCCGCGGCAGCACTTCACCGTTGTACTCGGTTGTGTGATGGAAGCGGTCAATGAAGCAGCAACTGACCGCGTTGAGCTGCTGTCTCTTCCTCGTCTATTTTGTCCGCTCCTGGCCCCCGTGACCTGGTTCGCTTCTTCTCCTTGTTGTTGTGTGCCGTACACGATGGACGGGTTTAAGATTTGCGGCCGTTACGGGAACCCCACATCGATCAAAGATCGATTTGTTAAAGATGTTTACATGGGCAGTACAAGGAAAATATTTCATCTGTCAGTGTGCATCAGGCAGCACACTAGCACGCAGCAGATAAGCAGGCATGTCTGGTCGCTTCACCGAGCCCGGTGTAGACAAGGGACTTCCCATGCCTGGTTAGGCACTTGCCATCACGATATTCCATTACGCTCAACCGAGTTGTTTTTGTCCCGGCCAATCACCGATTGGTAGCGTAGCCCATCGGTGGGGTAAAGGCCGGTAACCCAGCCGACCGGTGAGCAAACCTGTGTAACGATACGACAAGCCTTGCTGGCTCGCCTTGGCACCTCTGTACATAGGAAACCACCTTGTTAATAATAGCTTGAGGGATATCGCTTGATGAATCATTTGACGATTAGCTTAACTTCGGTCTAAACGCCATAGGATTATATACATTCCTCCCTCCGCTCATCCAACCTTCCATACAACCGCCCTTCTATACGTCCCTCGACGCGTCAGACTCACTCCTTTGCGGGCTAGAACGGTAACAACGACAATCGTTCAACTTTTGCTTTCCTTGGTTGGGTTCGAATAGCGGTCTTGAAGCTGATATTCACGCGTTAGCGCGACCGGACCCCAACATGCATATCGAATTTGTAATTCATTATGCTTCTTTTGCCGGACGTTCTCAATCTGTTACACACAGATATGGTTCAGATCCGGGTCGATTACCATCTGCTTGTCCTCCTGTATACAACAGAAACATCGCGTGGTGCATGTGCAGGTGTACATCACAGCTGATCCGTAACGTCTACACACGAGCAAGGGCTGCACGCGTGATGCCATTCGATCGCCCTATCCACTACGGTTCATATTTTACGAACTCACCCCACGGTGCAGTCATGCCCCGCGCACTGTCAACCGCGCACCGCGCCACAACACAATAAGAGCGCGACGTGCTACACATTAAAAACAGACGCAGAAGTAGCAAAAGCATGATTGGCAAAAAACGTTGCACACCTGGATACGGGCTGACTTGGAAAATTGCACAACTCCGGTGTCAACGCGCAAAGTACGACATACCACCTGGTACGACAGATAGCGATACGAAGATTGAAGCATCAGCAGGGGTAATCAGGGCGACATACAGCATTTAGAGCTGATGCCAAGCCCTGACTCAAGACAGGTAATTAGACAAAGATTTTCTTGCGCCATCGCGGAGATGAGGTGTGCACCATGTTAATTCTCCTACAATCCACCAAACATGACGTGCGCCCACTGCCGAGAAAAGACTTCTCCCCAGTGCCAACAACAACAACAACAACAACACCCCATCAACAACAGATGACGAGTTACAGCACAACAAGAATCACGCAGCATGCGATGGTAGTCCCTAGTAGTGTTATGCAAATGTCCCTAGCAAGGTCTTCAGCATGCATTTGTGTCATGGACGACGAAAGAGCAGCGTGCATTTACGACGTGTTGACGATGCATGATGGCGGAAAGGAAGCCTCTTCATCACAACGACAACAGATTTCATGACGAACACTAACTAGCGGCTGCCAGAGGAACAGTGCCCTTCACCTTAATTTAAGATAAGAGCATCATCATCATCATCATCATCATCATCATCGGCAGCAGCAAGCAAGCAAACAAACACCACTTTATTCTCGCCACCGAAAACCAAAGGACAGCATTCAGGCTGTTTCATTCAAAAGTGCCCGGTATTAAAAAGATTCAAAAACCGAAATCACCAAAAACCAAACCAACAAGCACAACGGATCAACCAACAAACCAACGAAGATTCGGAATTCGAGATTCCGATCTCCTAAACGAGCGTCATTTTTCACCCCGTCATTGCCATTTACTCCATCGCCGCCCGACGGAAAGCCACACCTACTGTTTTGTCCATCCCCCAGTCGACCTTCGTACTAAATCCATGCCGGTTCTGTACACACAGCACTTCCATTTCCTCGCCGTCCAGCTGCTGCCAGTAGCGGCCCCCGGCCCGCGCCCCGGCTTCCCCGGCGCCGCCCAGGCATGACCGCCCCCGGTTCCCCCTTCTCGAGAAATGGCAAGCCACTGCTCGCTGTCGCCATCGCGGCTGACTGCAGCATCTGCGGTATTTCCGCCGGCACTGCCGCAGCAGGCACCACAGCCTCCCGCCGCAAAATGCGAACGCCCTGCGCAAACCTACCCGACGCCTCCGCCTCGTTGCGTGCCGGCGCCTGTAATGTCTGTTGCAGATTTTGAGGCTGTACCGTCTCACTGTTTGCCGCCGCCTTTGGGCCACAACCTTGGCCATGGTGGCCTACGGTCACTGAGGCTGCCAGCACGACTCGCTGTGCCTGACCATAACCTGAGGCCGTTGCGATGGCCATGGCGGTTGATCCGGCTGCCGTTGTCGTCGGCTTGGACGCCTGTACCTGGCAGTACCGCGCCTCTATTGGTCGACTGCTGTCAGCTCCGCTTAGCAGGGGCCCGGCAAGTGCACCTGACTTCGTCTGCTGCCGCAGCGGCAGCAGTGGCTGCTGCGGGGCAGTGGCTGCTTTGAGATGTGGAGGCTGCGGGGCCCCATTTGCTACAGCTGTCGCAGTGCACGTGGTGGAAATGGTGTGCCCCGCCGCGCGAGCTGCGTTGGCGAATCCTCGTGCCACAGTCGGTGCCAGATTGCGTGTGACATTGTCCCGATACAGCTTCAGCTGGGGGTATATGTTTTGGACAGGGGGAGTGCGGGCCAGGAGGGCTAAGACAGGATCAAGTATACGCCGGGAAGAGGAAGTGAAATAGGGGCCATGATGAAGAAAGTTTTGACGCATCTCTGCCCGCATGCCCCTTCAGCCTGCCTACCTTTAATGCGCGTCTCTCTGTTTACAAAACCCTGACACGCATTAAAGTCTAGAAAGGTAAGCGGCCGCAGGGTCTTTGAGCGGTTTACAGACATGGAACAGGCTGCATAACTGTGCACGCAGACCTTTCAATATATTACTGCAGCTGAAAATTTATCTTTCGTTTGAGGAATTTACCTGTTTCACGTTGAACGAGTCTGTGTGCGCAGCGCTGCGCGAGAACTCCTTCGCGGGGCATTTCCCAACTAGGACACGGTAGGTCAACGCGTCCTGGAGGCAGTTCCAGACGGTTGAATCATCAAGGCCCACCAAGTCGATGAAGTCCAATCCGGAGGAAGGAGGTATCGGCGCTGGCTCCCCATGGTCTGCTCCTAAGCGGGGTCCCGCATCGCCGTGCGGCGCTGGTGTAAAACGCCGCGGCAAACCTACTACTACACGAGGGTGGTATTGGATGAAGGCATTCGGAGGTGGTAACTAACTCCAGATAAGACGGCGATTATACATGCAGGCCAGTACCGGTATTTGTAATACCCTGGGGCAGATTTATTGTTTCTCCGGAAAGGGAGAAACCTCTCGGAAACCATATTTAAGGAGAACCTTGCAAGAGCCGGGCTCTTAATCAATATTCAGGTTCCCAAATTTGCTGAACCGGCAATATGCACGGACACTCTCTGGGTTGACCGCTGGAAACACCGGAAAGCTTGCCAAAGAGCGCACCTTCTGTTGCCGGAATTGTAAGCGTGGCGCTCGGTGCAGCCCTCAATACCACCAGCACTTGACTTCGTGCATTTGGCCGCTCTGGTCGGCAAGCGTATGAACTCCGGCACCGCAAAGATGGGTTAATGCCAAAAACGGGGTTCATTTTTGCACGTACGCCAAAAGTGTGCCTCGTAAGTGCTCGGCTAAACGAAGGCGCGCCGGTTGACAGGAGGGTCTAGGCGTATCGCGCCAGGGGCTGTTGTGGTCTTCATAAAAGATGCACCTATGGACAACGATGCATACTAACTATCAAGAGTACTTGTGCAGTTACGGCGCCGGAGAGGGCACCTTTTCCCTGCACAGAATCTTGGAGCCGTACAACGTGATTTTCCTCGTCAGCCCACGGCCAGTACAAGGGCCCTCTACACACATTAGCTAGAATATTACAATTGTAGGTGTCACTTATTATGTGTCATTTCTATTTGGCACAAAGTAATCACGAGACTGGGAAAGGTCTTTCCTTCTTAGTTGACGAGAAAGCCACAGATCCCTTGGGACTGGCTTGCTTAATGCGCTAGGGTACCGTACCTGTATAACGCCTTATTTGGCAGCTCTGCAGTTGATCACGACCTTGCACACTGAGGTACATCCGCATCTTCGGGCCGATGAGTCAAGTTCTGGATGCTGTCATAGCGTGCTCAAAAGACCCTTTTCACCATATTCATATCGTCTCAGCCCTATCGCTCCTCATCGCTTGACATACACGAACCCAGGAGGGCTTTAGATCAGCCAAGTGATGGAAGCAATTCACGGCAGACTTTAACAAGGCCTCGCATCAATCAATCCGGACGGACGATGTAGTCACAGGGATGGTGTCCTTCAGACATCGTTTCTTAGACATCGTTTCACCCCTTCCACGAAACGTTGGAAGCAACGTATACGCTGTCCTTCCTTAACGACCAGTCAAAGACGAAGCAGTTGTCTGCACCGGCCTTACAAAGTATTGGGAGCTTGTATCCCGTCGGAGCCTCCTTGGCCTCCTTTTGTAGCAACGTATTAACTGTGAGCATGTGCGGCGTAATGCTGCATGCCGCTGCAATGCATAATTCGGGTTCAGGCGCTCCAGGTGCAGCAACCAGCCAAGCCCAGGAAGTAGCAATGGCGTGCATCCACCGCACTGCGAAAAGGAAATTTTCCTGTGCCATGCCGTGCCATGCCTCATCATGCCGTGCCGTGTCGTATCCAGACGAGCTTATGTGTTGACACGCACATAGGCCTGACACGCATGCACCCGGTGACCTCAGGCTTACTGTCAACCGCATGCGCATAGATGGAATCTGTCGAAAATTATGATCTGTTGAACGTTTAGGAAAAAGTAAATCCTGCTAAAGCGGGATTGATAGCAATCCTTACAGGATTGGTTACGCAGCTTCAGCCTACATGCTAATAAGCGCGCGTGGTAACCTAAAACGTACAGCGATAAGGTTAGCAAGCTTGCAGCGGCGGGGAACGGACGGTGTACGAACGTGTACGGATATAGCAAAACAAAGATTTCATCTCTATCCAACCTGAAAGGTATTAACTGCTGACCTAGCCCGAGATGGTGTTTAAGGAGAGACAGCACTGCTCAGGCTCAAAGCGGACAGACGAAGCGATGCATGCGAACTGAAGAAATAAATGGGAGAAAGAGAACGCCGTTCTGTCGTTCGGCTACGAAGGCAAGGCCGAACATACCCAAACTGAATAACATGAGACGCGCGCCGCAACCCACCGAGGCAATTTATCACATATATATCTATGCACATGCATAAGACCTCCTGTACAACAGTACACGCCACTACGAGGAAACGCCGTACAACAAGATATACGACGATCATGAGCAGTAGACCATGCAGCGTTTCCTGGATACACCAATTAACGCTGCGGTGAAGCTACTAAACAGGGGCCCTCCAAAAGTCAGATTAAAAACACACAAGAGATGTTCCGTCTTACACCAGTGCCAAGCCGAGTGGACTTATGACTCAAGCACTACAGAAAGTCCTCCCCCGGCGGTTTCACATCCTCACAAAGTCGCCGTAACATCGTTCCATGATAACGTGCATGAACGTAACGTCGTCTCAAGCTCCCGAGTCCCAACTGCCCACATTGGGCCACTTGACAGTCGGTTGTTGACAGAGGTTATATACTCCGTTGGTGCGGTTGGCACAGCCCACCAGGTTTCCAACACTTCTAGACGTACCCACGGGTCACTCCACCTCCCAACTTTCAGTCATTTAAGTCTGAAACTAAACCTCACACGCCGGCAGCTACGCATAAGCCAAAGCAAACCGAACGAAAACGTCGCAGGGGTCGCAGGGCCGTAGCCACCGCAAAACTTGTGTCGTTGTCCGTTGTCTTCAAACCGTCCTGGCAAGTGTGTCCTAGCAAAACAAAAACAGACCGTCGCTAAGCATCTCTGTGCGTGTGTGTGTGTGTGTGTGTGTGTGTGTGTGTGTGTGTGTGTGTGTGTGTGTGTGTGTGTGTGTGTGTGTTACATGGTCGTGGGTGCGCCCCCGCAAAGCATATGGCTTTTGGTGTAACAACTTCGGGTTCAAGCATTGTATCCTCTTCAAGACGTAAAAGCGTTGCCGCTACTTTTCACAATAAACCCTTTTTGGCAGGGGTACCGCATATCTGGTTTCGGTTCCTGAGGCCGCGACTACCCCTACGGGGGCGTACTTGGGCCGCCAAGCCACATAAGCTTCACAGCCGCAGCAGTGTTCTCGCAGCAGCAGCGGTAGTGGCAATAACAACAGCATTCACCGACACGCACCCCATCACACCGTCCGTTACCACCAGGAAAATACCAAAGAAAGGCTCCGGAATGCCTGGGGAACCAAAACAAGAAAAAGAGAGTAGCACCATCCCGCAAAATCCCCTCAACGGCCTGCCGCCTCATTTGACCGACAAAAAAGTGGTCGGTAGCGCTTTGGCGCCATGTTCTGACCAGATCTGGTTTGACCCGACCCGACCTCATCTGATCTGATCTGAGTCCAATTGTGGTCAACGCTCTCTCAGCGACGGAATCCGATATCCATTTGGGTCAATTCGGATCCATTTGGGTCAGGGCGTGGACATCGAGAGAAAAAAACACGTCTTCCACCGTAGCGGCCGGGAGAGTAGTTGCCACTACAGAAACTACCCCACCGCGAGAAACACGTAACGCGAATTATAAAAGGGGGACCCAGACCGTCACAGTGCCGTACAACAAGAGAAGTTAAGTCGCAGTTCCGACTAAGGACCGTCGGTGCCTGAAGCGCACCGCGGGGGCCACAACGGCTGGATGAGAGAGTACCCGTGTACGAGCCAGCCAACGCAGCCCCCGCTAGCTTCCTAACCAGCACAAGTCGATACATGACGCTCAAAATGAAGGGCCGTTTTCCTAAGGTGTGTTTTGGGCTGAGTGACGTGCTGAGTGAGCGTGCGTAGCGACTTAGGGGTGACACAGTGACACCTGTGTAAGTGTAAATCTGCGTGTACAGCACAGCCACCACACCAAGATGAAAGCCGTTGAAACCGACCCTTGACAGCCTGTAAAATTTCAACCACCATTACCACTATTACTGCTTTAACTACTATTATGATTTTTATCATCATTATTATTATGACGATGATGATGATGGCGATGATGGCGATGATGATTATCACCGCAAAGCCCATAGAAACATAGCAATACTTCCCAAAAAAGATCAACCCTGCACAGCTATCCGCCGTGCAACCAACCACAGGGAGCTGCGGCGTGTGGATCCAGAAAACTTACGCCTCAACCCCTTAACCTGACTCGCAACGGTCCAAACCGGCACCACCGTGTTCTCAACTGCCGACCATAGCTTAGCTGTTGTACATACATGCACAGATTTGGCCTTGGCTAACTTCTGTAGCTCCTTCCTCCGCCTCCCCCTCCCCCTCTTGCCCTGGCAGCAAGCTTCGCTCGTTTGTGGTTCGTCTTTCCCCTCCTCCCTTCCCCCTCCCCTACCGTTCACGTCTGTCCCAAGCACAGGCAGGATTAGCAATTCGAGCCGGCCATGCCATTTTTTCGATGCTCCCGGAGAATTTTAACAAACTTAAGCCCCGAAACCGCCACACCCCACACGCCGCCACGGGCCCCCTGTACTACCCCGCCCGTACCAGGTCCCCCGAGCTCTGTGTATAGGGGGTGTGTATACGCCATGTGACACAAGAGTTCCCCTTGCGCCTGCGTGCGTGCGTGTGCGTGTGTATGTATGTCTGAGTATGGAACCCCCTATCATTCACCCCAGTAACTCAAAAAACGTCCTTTCTGGATCCCTCACAACCTAACTGACAGTCTGTACGGCTCACACAGTCGTACGCCGTACACTCGCACCTTGAAAAACAAGCCAAATGGACTTTGTGCGCGTATACACCCAATCCACACCACTTATCAGAGGTAGCAACCCGTTGCGAAGCAGCAAGGTGGTGGTGATGGTGGTGGTGGTGGTGGTGGTGGTGATGGTGGTGGTGATGGTGGTGGTGGTGGTGGTGGTGGTGGTGATGGTGGTGGTGGCGGTGGTGGTGGTGATGATGGTGGTGATGGTGGTGGTGATGGTGGTGGTGATGGTGGTGGTGGTGGTGGTGATGGTGGTGGTGGTGGTGATGGTGATGGTGGTGATGGTGGCGATGGTGGTGGTGGTGGTGGTGATGGTGGTGATGGTGATGGTGGTGGTGTCGACACGTCAGGAAGCAGCGGAAGGTACAGCAGAGCTAGTCGCGATGGAGGGGCCCCCAGCCAGCCAGCCAGCCAGCCTTCCAGCCAGCCAGCCAGCCAGCCAGCCAGCCTTCCAGCCAGCCAGCCAGCCAGCCTTCCAGCACACAGTCTAGGATAACCGCGCCCCTCTCCAACAAGCCAAGAACAACGCCACGCGATGCCACGCCACGCCCTTTCCCTCCTGCTCCCTCCTGCCGTAGCTCAAAACGTCGCAACTGGGTTTATTGGGTTATTGCGGGGCTACTCATGCATGAATGCATGCATGCGGTCCACCGCCGCCGAACGGCGGCTGAACGCCGCTATATATTGGCCACCAAATGGCTAAATGGATTTGCTGTATGGCCGATTTCGTGGACCCATATGGGTCGTATGCGACCTCATATGTATATGGGTCACAGCGTCCGATCCAATCCACCAATAAATTTAACGAAACCGGACAATAATGGGTCTCGCCGTCGGGCGTTTTGCACACCAAGCCATCCAGCCTCTCCACTGCACAACTCCAGCTATACAACGTCCATGGCCCCCCCTCAGGCTTTTACGGACACACCCGCACTTGTGTGCGGAACTTGTAACTTGTAACTTGTATAACTCACGCTACAATCCGTTTGTATGTGTATGTCTTTAACGTGGTTCGCTCGCAGCCGAGTGAGAAAGAAGTGGTCGAAAGAACCCTTTTCCCCCCCTGAAAAAACCCCCCTGAACAACCACCCCCCCTATTGCCCGGAACGATATGGGTCACACACGGATGCGATGGAGGAGGATGGTATGTGGGTATGCCATTATACATCTCAGCGGCACTTAGGGTTTCCATAGCCTCCATTTCTCCCTCCCTCACCCTCCTCTTCCATCCTCCTCCTACATAGACTCCGGCTCCCCCGCCTCCGTAGCTTCCTCAATCATCTCCTCTAGATCTCCCAGCCGATTGCTGACCCGCGAAGTCGCCGGGTGGTGCGGCCCGTACATCTCCACGTAGAGTTCCAGTACGGTGCGGTACAGCTCTAGCGCTTCGCCGTACTCCCGTAAACTTTGGTTGAGCGCCGCCAAGCTCAGCATGCAGCCCGCGGTGATGGGGTGTCCGCTGCCGTACACAGTTGCATAGCGCTGGTATTTTTAGCAGCGGCGGGGAGAAAAATGAAGGGGTGGGGTTAAGGTAGAGGGGAATGAAAAGGCGGGAGTAAGGGAAAGGCGAAAAGTCGTCTGGGGGCGGGAAAGACGGGAAAAGAAAATACAACAACAAAAAAAAAGAAAATACAATTCACATAATTTTTCCTGCCACGAAAGAGAGACAACAAAAACAAGCACAGCAATAATAAAAACAACGACACAAAATGATCAATGATAACAACAATAGCAACACCAGAAGAGGCAGCGATCCGCGTACAACCGATGCAAGATAGCGCCCCTGCTCGACGCAGCTATTTCCTTTCATTGCGGACGCGCCACGCAGACGCCTCACGCACGGCAACAACGGCCCCGCTCACTTGTACGGCACTGCGGTACAATATCCTCGCGGCATGCGCCTTGCCACACGCCGCCTTGAGCTGAGCCAGCTGGTGCGCACACCGGGCCTGCGGATACCAGCCAAAGGACGGGCGGGTAGCTCAGGAATAGTAGTAGTAGTCCAGCCCAACAAAGTCCAGCCCAAGAAGTAATTTTACGGCGATCCCAGGGATTTTACCAAAAGAGATTGCGGGCAGTGAAGTGTGCGGTATTAGTAAGGTTAGGGAGGGGTATTCAGGGGGTCCGCAAGCTTCACTGATGTGGTCAGGCGTGGGGTCACGTTAGGAAACTAGACAGGCCGGGTTGGGAACGTTGCAAGCCGTTGCAAGCCGCCTGATGATTGATGTACAGCCTGAGGTTATTAGGGTTAAAAACAACAGCAGAGCTCCGAAACCTACCTTGAGCTCCTCACGCTTCCTCGGCGTCATCCCCCGCGGCATCGGCGGCTGCGGACTGGGCTGGTTTAGACTGCTGTGCGGTTGCTGTGGTGCCGCTGCCGCTGCCGGTGTCGATGTCGATGACAAGGAGGATGTGTGTACGACAGTCCCATTTGTTGCGACAACAGGCGAGCCGCAGCCTGATCCGCTGCCATCGGCGCCGCCGCCGCCATTTCCGTACTGTGGACGACTGCCTGAGAATAGCGACGCTGAGGAGGACAGTAACGACGACATCGCGGTGGCGCCGCCGCCGCCGCCGCCGCCGGTGTTGCCACTGGCGGTGGTGGTACTGGTGCTGCTGCCGGCGCCCGTGGGGACCGACGTGGAGGAGGCGGCGCTGCCGATGCTGGCAGTAGCACTGGCGGAGGTGGCGGCCCAACCGCCGCCGCCGCCACCACCTGCCGCCGCCATCGCCGCCGCGGCAACCACTGCCGCTGCCTCGTCTTCATCCTCCTGGAGCCGTACAAGCTGAGCCTGAAGCAATACAGCAATAAGGGTGTTCCTGAACGTGTTATGTTTCATCGCCGCTCCTTACTTGAACTATTTGAGGGGACAGGCAACCAGCCCCTGAACGCCACCACACAGACCTAGCCCCCGGGGCCCCAAGGCCCGTGCGGTGGTGGCGCACACCACCAGCACCAGCACCAGCACCAGCACCAGCACCAGCACCAGCACCAGCACCAGCACCAGCACCAGCACCAGCACCACCACCATGACCACCACCATGACCACCACCATGACCACCACCATGACCACCACCATGACCACCACCATGACCACCACCATCACTGCCCTGCCCTGCCATGCACTAATCCACCAATACACTCGTCGTGCTTTGGACTGTGCCAAAGTTGGTACGCTGGGCACTTCCGTCCACAGTTGCCGTCCGCCTCAACTGCTGTACCACAAGGCAGGGGAATTACCCTTGGATGGCCCCCCTGCCTGCACCCCTTAGCCTCACCTAGGCCCAGCCCTACACACGCCACGCCATGCCACGCCGGGCCCCATCGGATGAGAGGCTCTGGTCACCCCAGCCACTCACCCGGAGCAGCTTCCGCGCCTCTTTGTCTCGTCCCGTTGCCGCCAGACATGTCGCCAGGTCGATAGCGGACCCCACAGCTATTTCGCTGAGTGGCCGTCTCCGGGCTTCACGACCAGTGGCGGCACGCTGCAGCAGAGGAATCGCCTCGTCGTGCCTGGGGACAGCGGCGACGGTGGATGAAAAAACACCGGAAGATGGAGTATGAATAAGGAAAAGCGGTTCCCGAGGCGATTCGAACCCTAACGCACATGTTTAGAGAAGCAGCAGGCAACTGACCACGATTAACATGATGTGCATACATCTACTACCAGCTTGCAGATATGCAAATGTACATATATACTACTCTCAGTGAAGCGGTTAAATCACTCGGGGCCTGGAGGCTCCAACGCGCGCGTGAAGGGGGAAGACGAACCACAAACGAGTGATGTGCTGATACCACCGTACATGTTATGGGGGTCGATTAAAACAAGACAAGGTCGATTGATAGCGATGTCGAACATGATGGGCTAGAAAGAAAAGATGGGAAGATATCTACCGCGCCCTACCAATCAAGCACCCCTGCACCGTCCGGGCTCACCTGCCCATGGCTATGAGCACCGTCCCCAGGCCTTGACGCGCCGTCAGCGTCTCCGGATGGTTGTGCCCCAGGAAACGCTCCAATACTGCGGAAGCACTGCGGAGCAATAGCTCAGCCTCCTCCAGCGGCGAGCCCCCGACTGCCGCAGCAGCGCCCGCCGCAGACCCTGACGTCAGCGGCGCCACCGGCGGCGACGCCAGTCCGAGATACTTACGGCCTGGCGACGCGGCGGTGGCGCCTACACGCGGTGGCGACGGCGCTACGGAGCTGACAGCCCGTGATGGGGAACGTCCTCGCCGGCCTCCGCCTCCGCTGCCGCGACGCAGGGGTTTTTGCTGCTGTTGCTGTTCTTGCTGTTGCTGACAGTGAATCAGCAGCCAGCCCAGAGCGGCTGCGCAACGGGCTGTATCGGGGTGGTTGGATCCATGAAAAGATCTGGCGGCCGCCAGCGCGTGCCGTACGACCCGCAATGCCGTTGCCGACTGGCCCAACGCCGCCAGCAGGCGGCCTGTGCTGACCAGGCGAGCGAGGTCAGGTGCAAGGGGCCTGTACGGCGCGAGTCCGTACAATGCGGGCGAATCGGGAGCCGGCGGCAGCGGCCTGGGTTCGGCGGCGGCGGCGATAGCAGCGGCAGTGGCAGCGGCGCCGCTGCCGTCACCGCCGGCGCTAGGCGATATGCCCAGAGAGGCCTTGCCACCGCCTCCTACGCCGCAACTGCCGCCGTTGCGTGACTGCTGACCAGCATCTGATGGGGGAGAGTGACCTTTCTCTACACAGTCAGCTCTGACGGGGAGGGCTTGTCCTCCTAAAAAGCTACTGAGCGATTCCATGACTGTGGCAGGTCCTTCGGAACCCGAATCCAGATCCAACTCGCATTCGGCATCCGACGGAAAATCTGAATCTCGATCCAAATCTGATCCGGCGCCAGCAGCGAAGGTACGGACTGCCACGGTGGTTCCACGATTTACATGGCCCTTCTGCAAATTATGTCCCCTACGGATACGGCCAAAGGGCGTCGCCATAAGGCCTGCTGCCGCCGCCGCGTCAGCCGCCACGGCATCCTGGTACGGCAGCGGCGCCGGCAAGGGCGCCGACGCCGCCACCGCCGCGGTCGACGTCAGTGCCGCTGTAAGCGGCGCCAGCGGCGCCGTCGGCGCCGCTGTTGGCAGTGCCGCCAGCGGCGTCGCCGCACTGCTGACCGTCAGCAGCGGCGCCAGGCGTGGCAGCGGCTGAGACAACGGCACCTGGCTCTCCAAAGAACTCCAGCCGCGGGGGGTTAGGGACGCAAGGCCCGACGCCTGTTGAAGCACCGGCGGCGCCGCCGCCACCGAGACCGCCGGGGTGGCGGCGGCGGCGGCGGCGGCGTCATCGCTCCCGCCGCTGCTATGTGCTCTTGCGCCTCCGCCACTGGTTATACGACCGCCGCTCCCCACTGCCGTCCCCGTGATGCCGGAGGGGGCCCTAACTGGCAGAGTAGGAAGTGGCGGGGAAGCCTCCCAGGGCGCAACTGGAGGGCCGAGGTGGGGAAAGAGGTGGGGAAGCGGCCAAGAGGTTTATGGGGTTGGAATTGATTGAAAAATATGGTCCAAACAAGTTAAATATAATATAATATAATATATAATAGATTTATAATATATTATAAAGAAACTTGGTTTTTTAGTAAAAAAAAGGTGGTACACAAATGAGGTGGTATACGAAGGTAAAAAAATACTCAATAACAAGACAAATACACGTGAAACACTTGGGTGAGGCATGAACAGGCAATTGCGCTTGTAGCAGCGGGAAGGGAAGAGGGAAGAGCAGGGGCGAGAGAAGGCTGAAAGCAACCCTTAGCCTCTGGGCTGAACAATGCCTTCAATGGAAGGCCACAAGCCGTCGCCGTCACCATCGCCATCGCCGCCACCGTCGCCGTCAACACAAATTCAAGGGCCCTATCTATATCCTATACCCAGCCCAGCAGTAATTATTCCTGAAATGCAGCATTTGTCTCTTCTCCTGAACTACCCGTCTATCTCTCCGGGGTATCCAGTTAGATCAATCTTTGTACTGTAACCATAACAGCCCATACCGCTTCATTCGCCAGTGTGGTTCGTCTTACGCAACCCGGTAGGAGCCCTTACCAGCGCTGCTGCGCAACTGAACCATGCGTCCACTGCCGTTAACGCCGCCGACGGCGTGGTGGTCCCCGAATGCCGGCGACAGAGCTGGCGGAAGGGCCGTCGGTGACGGCAACGACGGCACTGGGACCTCCAGCGGCGGAATAAGGTTTCGGGGCCGCCGAGGCGCCGCTGGCGCCTCACCGGCAGCGGAAGCGCCCGCAGCATTTTCGTACGGCGCCGCCGCTGCCAGGGCCGCCGCTGCCCAGCTGCTGCGCGCTACGTCAGCGCCGCCGCCACCGCCGCCGCACCCGCCGCTGAATGTACTGCCCCCGCGAGCCCGACGATTTAGGCCGCTGCCTCCGCCTCCGCCGCCGTCGAGGGCCTTAAGATGCAGGTCACAGGCCGTGTTACCTGTAGCTGCTGCTGAAATGCCGCTGGCGTCGTCGTTGGACCCTACATTGCTGTGAGCCAAAGGCAGCGCATTGAAGGACATCGAGCGGCCCGACGCGTCTCTCGGGAGGCTATGTGCTACTGCCGATGCTAGCCCCACGGAGGAGGAGACAGCGACGGCAGTAGCAGTCGGCGGCAGTAGCGCCGCCGCCGTCGTAGACGACCAGCTTTCCCCTGCAAGCTGCAGCGCACGGGTGCCGCCAGGAAAGCTCGCACCCCCCGACGGGCCCGACTTCAACGGCGACGACAGGAGCGATGGACGCGAGGCCGACAGCGGCGACGGTGAGTACGACAAGGATGACTGCGGCTCCAGCGCGTTGACGCTGAAGGACCTAGTCTGTAGTACGGCGTGCACCTGCATCCTCGGCGACGCTGCCTGCTGCACAGACATGGAGCACGGGCATGCCCCCGAGCTCCCAGACGCCGCCACCGCCGCCGCCGCCAGCGCTGGCGGCAACGACGTCGCGATCTGCAGCTGTAACGACGGCCTTCCCGAGCTCATACCCACAGGACGAGACAGGAGCGTGTTCGCCGCTGCCGTCGCCGCGGCCATCAGCCCTTCCCGTACGGTACGACTAGGCAGCGGGTCTGCGGCGTAGATCGCGGCCGCTGCTGCCGCTGCAGCGGCGCCGCTGGCGGCGCCTTCACGTACTGCACGCATTGCAACTCGGTCTAGGGAGGCGTAATTGCAGGCGAAAGACGACGGGAGATTACCGGCCGCGCCGCTGCCGCCAGCAGGAGCTACTGCAGCTGCCGCTGAGGAAGGTGATAATGGCTCTCCGCCCAACCCCACGCCGCTATGGAGAACCGCGCCGTATCCTGCTGCCGCCGCCGCCGCCGTACCGTCGTCATCTTCATCCTGCCTCCGAGCTGCGGACACAGAGAGCCCTTGGAAGGCGGCCTGCAGGCCACAGATTTTCATTCAGTCCATCAACCTCTATCCTTGCGCTTGCGACTAGGCCTGAGATCCAATACTCACACGCACATACGTACAGACACACACAGACAGATAGACAAGCAGACACGAACAAATTCTTTCGGTAAAATTACTCCTAAGTCATCGTCCTCGCCAGCTTCCTGGCCGTGGCCCACGTCAGACCAGCACACTACACCACAGGGACATACATACATACATACATACATACATACATACATACATCGCGACCCACAGTGTAATCTATGTCATACATACATACATACATACATACATACATACAACTAAGTTGAGGCGCCGTTGATCCGCTAGATTTGGTTGGATGCTGGTGGTGAGTTGCTGAACCCAACGAATACATTCTGAAGTCGGATGGGGTGAACGGATTAGGGTGCCCCTCTAGCAGGGGGGAGCAGGGACTGCCCCGGGAAAGGGGGCCGCTGGTGAAGCTATACCACCCTGTAACAACATACATACATACACGTACTCATACAGCAGGCACGGACCTGCAGCAACGCCAAGTCCACCTCCGGCGGCGCTGCCACCGCCAGCGTTGCGCCGCCTTGCGCGCAACCTCGGCCCCGCAGTACATGCCAGGCCGCCATCGTGACGGCGGGCTCCCTCAGCCCGGCGCCCTGAGACCCCGGCAGCAGTACGACATGGCGGACGGAGGCGACGGCGGAGGGCAGAGCACGGACTCGCGCCAGGGAGGCTTCTTCCAGGGACGGCGTCACCACTGCCGCCGTCGTCATGGCCGTCGTCATTTGCGGGTTCCACAGTGGGGGCGCGGACCTACAGCTACAGCCACAGCGATAACGGTAGCGATAGCGATCGTCACAACCACAACCACAGCCACAACCACAGCTACAGCTACAACCACAACGACGACAAAGGTGGGACCATTAGGTGGTGGTGTTCGCACACATCACACACGCTTGTTCGGGGTGGGGATGTTTTGACCTTTTCACCAAGGAAAGCTGGCGGGGAGGCAAGGACTTGGTGAAAGATGATGTACGGCAATGATGCTGGCGGGGAGGCAAGGACTTGGTGAAAGATGATGTACGGCAATGATGCTGGCGGGGAGGCAAGGACTTGGTGAAAGATGATGTACGGCAATGATGCAGAGTAGGTACATGACATACATACATATAAACGCCCTCACGTGATATGCTCTGTGTGCAACCGCGCAATCGCATGTTGTTTTGCTCGCTCCCCCCCTCCTCCTCGCCCCCCATACACACAAACCACACGGGAGAGGCACACCTTGGCCTCCCGCCCCCTTAGCGCACTACCCTGCCGCCTACGACGACCTACGCCGCCAATACCTTGCCCTTCACCTTTTCCCCCCTTCCTGACATACATAAACACACACACACATACACTCGGCCACCTTTACCTCGGGGGAAAGGAGAGCCGTGCTGCTGCCCCTGCACCTGCCCCTGCATAATAGCCGCCAGCTGCTGCCGCCGCCGTGGCTGCTGCCGTTCCCGCAGATGATGCAAGCGGGTGAAAGTTCACCGCGAGTAAGTCAAGCCACAACGCGACGGGCGGACCGGCAGCCGCGGCAGCGGATACGTTGCCTCCACCACCAGCTCCAGCTCCAGGGCTAGGTCCCGGACTGGGGCTGCGGCTAGCGCCCGAGGTGTCGTGCGCCCCAGGTGCATTGAAGGAGGGCCAGAAGCTCAACCCGATGGCAGATGCTGGCGAGGGGTGATCCACCAGAGGTTGCTCGGCACTGCGACGGAGCATTAGCCGCGCGCCGGCGCCGCTGCTGATGACGCCGGCAGCAGCAGCAGCAGCAGCAGCAGCAGCAGCAGGAGCGTTGTTGGCGGCCGTGGCGGCAGCGGCGGCTGCCTGAGGATTGAACGCGGCGAGGTGACTGGTAACGCAGTCCACTACGTCAGAAATTTGCTCGTCCCAACTGCAAACGACCACGTGTGTGGGACGCGCGCGGTATTCCGCGCCGAGCAGTGTAACATAGGCGCAACGGGCTGCACGTGTGGCGGGCAGCACGAGGGACCAGTACAGGTCCCACAGCGTAGTTCCCGGGCGGCTGGTGGTTCGAAGGGTTTCTAGGAAGGACAGGGTGACGCCCGCCGGGCCGGCGCTGCTGGCGGTGGGCCCCTTGGCGGCGGCGCTTGTGGCGCCGCTGGCGGGAAGCGCTGGGAGCTCCAGGATGTGGGATTTGCGGGGCCCGGGTCCGCGGGAGAAGCGGCCTTCGTCAGCGCTGCTGGCATCGCCACTGGCGTCGCTGTCGGCGCCATCTGTGTCGGAGTTGTTTCTGCCGCCGTCGCCGTCGTCCGTTGTGAATTGGACGCCGCGACGGGGTTGCCGGGTGGTGGTGTGGCTGCTCGCGGGGCCGTTGGAGCGAGACGGCCGGCAGCGCGCTGCGTCAGGTCCCATAACATCAGATGGTGCCCTGCGGCGGGTGTCCGTGCTTAGGACTCCCCCTGCCGCAATGGAATGATGCTTGTGGGGCCGGCCCTCGACACTTGTCACACCGCTGCAGTGAGTTGCGCGTCGGCTTGAAGTGAAAATTGGTACCAGAGCATGGGTGCTGTTGGATACGGCCACTGCTGTGCTGCGATGGCTAGCCTCGGCATGCACTCCTGGGCTCATCGCAAGGCTAATTGGTGTGCCAATAGCCCTGTTACCATCGCCTTCTTTATCGCAACCGTACTCATGTCCTAGATGATTCTGCATAGCTGTTTGGGGACGGTCCAACGCGCCGTGCGTCTGGTATCTGCATTACCTTCCAAACGAGGTCACCTGCCAATCCCTTGCTACTCCAGTGCGGTGGCACCTGTCTAAAGAGCCTCCCAAGTGGGCCCAGAGCCCAAACGCGCAGCGCTGTGTACTGCCTGCTTGTGAGTCCTGAAAGTGAGGTAAAACTTCAGATAGCGAGTATGTATAGATTCCAATCTTGTCTTGACACGGCTGAACTCCTGCCGGTGAAAGCTACCTGGGAGCTGAACCTGCTTTTACAGTAAAGGGGGAACTTGCTGCCCAAAACTTTGCCGACACGAGAATTTATAAGATGCATCTTCCTAGTTCCATTCTTCTATTCTGAAAGGGATTGATGCGTGGTATTGACAAAGACCGAACCGAAAGTGGATTCCGCCCCGCAAGCCTCGACGTCACTAAAGAATACAAAAGTAATTAAAGATGTCTTGGGCTTTACCTCCAACTAAGGAGAATATGAGGGGTCGAACTTCATCTAGCGCGTTACCATATGGCTCAAAGATGCTATCACAATGCCAACATGTGAAAGCACGTATTGTATTAAGGAACTTGCTAGGATACACGTGATTCCTACCTGCTTTCGTGTATCAAAGGTGCATGGCAGTACAGGGGTCCATCGGCTAGACCCGTCGCCCCCGGAGACTCTTCCTGTTATCTACTTACCTTCACAGATTCCGGTCCGTAATTTGTCCATATATACAACAACATCGTTCACCCAAAGCCGACCTCCGTCGCACGCCGTTCACGTTGGGCTATGCAACCAAGGTGGGCCTGTCCATTTCCTGCAGCTCCGATTGCAACAGGACATTCCGTGCGGCAAGTATTCCACATCCGATCAGGCTGTAAGTAAGCTGTACCACAATTTTCGGCCTTTGGAAAAAAGGAATAAATTGAGGCCGACCCGTACATTTTCATTTCTCCTGCCAAAAACGTCCATCGCTGCCAGACTGCTCCGTAGTGTGCAGACCTTAGTATTTGCAATCAAAGAATAGTTTCCTTGAGTAGTTGCTGTACCGATTAGGGGTCGTACAGACGGAGGGTTACCTGCAGGCAGGAAAGTTGTGCTTGCTTCCGTGGAAGGGGGCGAGCGACTTTGCTTCTGAACACTGTAGGTTAGGGCAGAAGCCGCAGCCGAAACCTGTCAGTACTGACGCTATGAAATTACTCTTTCCGTCATCACACTCCTGCTAGCTAGCCCACCCTCTGCTAGCCCTCCACCCTCCCCTAGCTGTGGTAAGGATCGATATCAAACAAAATTGTCACACCATCGCTGCTCCATTGAATTAATCATAGCCATGACCCATTCTCTGGAGGTGGAAGCCGACGAGCTGGATTCCAATATGCCCAAAGTGATGGTGGTCAATGAGAGGTCGATCGTGCCAGAGTGCATGATGGACAGGATTTCAGAGACACTGGTGAGCATCCTGACATTGCTCTTTGGCAGTGTCAGAATTCATGGTGCCTGGCCAGTAAACAAGAACACTCAACCGACAACATGGTCGCGCGTTTGCGACGACCCATGCAGCATCTTCGCGGGCGGGGCGGAATATGGATACTTCAACATCGATGCCATGCGAATCCTGCTACATGGTGATGTAGCTGCCACTGGCACCATGTCGATCGTGTGACAACAGACACAATCTCACAGCTATCCACAATAGCAAGTGTTTACTCCAAGCGTGACGGCGTTCTTGTGCTTGCAGTCCTATGCCGTACAGACTGGCCTGCGAATCAAACGGGGGTCAAGTGGCTGCACCGGGGCCGAGCCCCTTTTCGGCTTTGAAAAGCCACCCCCCTAGTCCCTCCAATTCAACGTGATTCGAGCTTGCCACCACCAAACACAATCCACACGCGGACACGCCAGCGATTAGTTGTCCACAGCATCCTGGCAACCTGTGGGTTCTTTCTCTTATGTCAACTGCGCACTCCCATATGAGGAAGACCCTGGAAGCATGTTCGACGAAACACATAACCTGTCTGTGCCGACATGCAAAGGAAAGCCAAGCGCAAGGACTTCCTAGTCCAGCAGGCACTGCCTGCACGACGGCATCCGGTACCCCCAACCCACCCTCCGAAACGTGATGAAAGAGAAGTCAAGTGCAGAAATGACCAAAAACATGATTCCCGAGCTAAGGGAAACGGCGATACCCTACACTTGGAGAGTTTGGAGGTTAAGGAGGAGCACAACCTTTTTCTGGTGCACAGTAACCTCGTGCTTCCATTGCTTCCCCCTCGAAAGCGTGACAGAGCACTGGCCCGCAGGCTGCTGGGGTTGACGCTTGTACGGCACCGTACGACAGCAGGTGTTACAAGTTACCAATGTCCCGCGCCAGTGAATGACTCCCAATCCAATTGACACGATAAGGGATTAATAATTGTGGTAATCATAAAAATGCCGAGATTATAAAAGCCCAAAGCTTCAAAAGGTTGCGTAAATGCAGCCCTAAGCAGCCCCCTAACGGTTCACCTAGGGCCCCGTGGCGCTCAAGTCGGCATGGCGCTGTAGCCGCTACTTAATCGTTCGGTATGAAAGGTACACAAGGGGTTTGAGAATACTGGCATGTTAAACAAAGGTCAAAAATGGCCATATCAGCAAGGTCTTCTGGGGAAGCAAACATATCGGTATGTGTGTGTGTGTGTGTGTGTGTCCCACGTAGGGTTAAAGTAATAATCCGATATAACTAAACTACGTCTCCAAGTCAAGCCCTTACCAAAGTCTGGTTGGCATCAGCACACGAGTGCTCTTCGACGTCCCCACGGGGGCCTCTATACCGGTTTACTCTCACTTGCGTAGTGTATGTGCCCCTCGGCATATGCCGCGGTAACAGTACCGCGCCGCATAGCTTCGGAAGGCATGGAGCTAGCGTGCCGAGCCCGAAAGCATGGTCAAGCATGAAGGCCGGCCAACACTCGCTGCCAGCGTCAGCAGAAATATTTGATGAAGTGGTGATGTGATCATGTTCATGACGGCTGGTTATGCATATGAAATTGTAGTTAAGCACCAACAATTTCCACAGCGCTACCAAAGCTTACGCACGCGCTTCGTGTAGTCGTCCAATGCAATACGCCGTTAGTGCTTTGCGTCCCAAAAAACATTCTGAAAGCCGCTTCGAAACCACGTCCCATCGTGGCATTATCGCCGGCCCCGCCCAGTCCACTCCGTCACATCGGCAACTTATAAATCATACCTAATCCGTATTGTAATCAAACCTATAATCTCCCTTATCAAAACTAATGTCGAATAACAGCTTATACTTATTACCTGCCCCTCTCGCCTGCTCGTTGGGGTCACTGACGTCCTTTGTCCGTGCCATCAGTCACACACGGTCCGCCCGTCTACCCGTCCGCCCTTTGTGTCCCATGCTATGCTCGACCATCAAGCCGCACATAACGACCGCCAACCAACCAACCGAACACTCTCAGGCGCCATCCTCTTTCCTACAAGCCAAACCCCAGCCATCATCCACCAAAAATCACCCGACAGCTCGACATCGTACTCCTTTACGCGGCGACAACGGCCTCCGCTACCGCGGGCGGCGCAGCAACACGTGCGTCCTGCAGCCGGAAGAACGTAGAGTTAACCGCCGCGACCCACACCACCAGATCCTTTGCATGCGCCAGCGCTAGCTCCACCCCTGGAGCAAGCAGCACGATGCTGCCGCGTGCCAGCGCCAGCGCACTCTCCAGCTCCGAAACTGCCTGCAGCGCGTCTGGTAGCTGTCCCGAAACCGTGGCCTCGGCCTCGCCGTGCTGTACGAGCAGGATGCGCGGGCCCTCGCTGGCGGGCAGCGTCATCGCCTTGCATCCAGGAGCGCTTTCGGAGCCGCAGTCGATGCGGTGGATCTCAAACTCTTCAAAGGGCGGCTGGTAGACGGTGATGCCGGTGCCGGCTGGGCTGCCGGTAAGGACGTCAGGCAGACCTGCAATGACAAGAACAGTAGTGGCAGCAACACATACAGATGTAACAATAGCAGATGCCGCTGCAGTGTATCGATTTCACTGACCCTTTTCCCTCGCAGCTCTTTTTTCCCACCTCTTTCTCACAAACCTCCTGGCCGTTGCATCCACACATCCCCACCACCATCACCTCATCTCCTACCGCGCTTCCCTAACACCCCGTCACGTTCCCCCACCGTTCACCCACACGCCCCCCGACCTTGACGGTACGTGAGCGACTCGCACAGCACATCGGCATGCTTGAACTTGGGCGTAAGACCGGCACGAATGACGTTGTCTGAAGCCGCCATACATTCCACCAGCTCCCCGGCCAGGTAGGCGTGGGGCTCGTTGGCGGGCAGGTAGATAGCGTGGCCATCGGGCAGCCGGACCTGAAAGAAGGCAACCCAAAGGCATAAGGGGAAATGGGGCCGCGACTGTCTCATGAATATAGAAGTAAAAGGACTGTGCTAGATGGATGCGCCAGCGTGGACAGGTGCGCAAGTGCAAATCTGGGCCAGGGATGGGAACTCAACAGTGAGAAAATTTAAATACCGGAAAGCACTAAAAGCACTTAAGGCCATAGAGTGGCTTTCAGGGGAGGGGCAGGGAAAGGTACGGGTTGGGAAACCCGTCTTAAAGCCAGTAATAGGTCGGAAGAGGCACAACGGAGGGGAAGACAGGGCCAGGAAAGGGTAAGGGAAAATGGCGGAGGGTGCAGAGCGGAAGCGGGCGAGACATGGTGGGGCGGGATGCAAGTCGTTCCCAACACCTCACTTTCGTGTTGCCCCTCTTGAAAATAGCTATTATATTTTCAGTCCACACCGTTGCAGCTCCTCCCACATCGGGTCCGCCAAGCCTCCCTCCTATCTCTGGTCCTCGGTTTTCTTTTCCCCGCGCCCGCTCCAACCCTCCATCTCTCCATGCAAGCATAGATAGATACTACAGACAGTCAGCCAACAGCTCACCAGGTTAAGAAAGAAGGCCGACATAAGGCCCACATCGTCCGGGAACTGCTCGTTCAGGCGCAGAGCCAGGGCCTCATGAGGGGTCAGTTCCTCTCCCGGTGCGATTGCCTTGAGCCGCTCCACAAGGCCCCGCACGGCCGCGGTAACGGCCTCCTGGGGTGCGGTCATCAGCGCTGTGAAGGCGGTCTTAAGCGCCTGCACCAGGGCAGCAGGATTGTAGGCGTGGGCGTTAGATTGGGTGGGTTAATGAAGGGCTGGAGAGCTGAAAAAAAGGGGAAGGGGAAGGGGTCCTCTTCCTGCTTGATCCTACGATGGCCCGCTCTCGTCTTGAAGCCAGAGCCAGCCCCCATCGCCAAGAGAGTCGTGCCGCGGGCTAGCTATTGAACGTGCATTTTGCAACGCGTGGTGTGCTTTTCAGCAGGCCTTTTCAGCCTACATATATATGCGACTCACCTGTTTCGCCGCTTTGGACGCCGTCTCGTCGTCCTCCTCTGCGATGGTGGTGGGCAGAGCGAGCAGGGCGTCCACGTGTTGCTGGCCCACAAGAAGGGCCAGCTCCGGAACCCTACGGAGCCGCTCCTGTCATGGAGCGCGGAAAATGGCGAAAGACGCAATTAGGAGAAGTGACATACGGCTTGACCCAGATCAGGAAGTGAGATACGGCTTGACTCCAACCAGATGGCAAGAGGTAATGAAGCAGATCGGACAACTAGGAATAACTTCACTCAGGTCAGGAGGACACAGATGGCTGGCCCTTGGTCGGGAGGACAGGGATGGCTTGACCCACATGAGAAACCTTTCTGAAACCTGCCGCCTTCACATCGCTCCGGAACCTATGAGATATGAAACACGCCGTTGCCTGAGACCACTTTTCGGTGCTCCTAGACCTGGCACACCCTTTTGTACCTGCAGCTCGGCAATGCTGGCAAAGCCGCACAAGGCCTCAAAGTCGCTCAACGCCAGTGCCATCTCCGGCTTGTGATTGGGATCCGCGTAGAGCTGTGGAAACAGAAGGGGACGCGGGCGGTGAAGGGGTCGGGGCAGCCGGAACTAAGGCAAGTGGGAACGGGTCTCTATCTTCTACCTCTCCAGAAGGAAACATTGTCCACAGCAAGAGCATACGCATAGCGAGCAAATCCCGAGCAAAAGCATAGCAGCAAAGAGAGCAAGGAAAAGGTAGCGCACGCAAGTATGTGGTGCACCCGCACCGCCGGCTAAAGACCATGGGAAGACCTTAACAAGCGACAAACACCTGCCTTCGGGTGTTCTTTGTGCAGCCTCTCCGCCAGTGCCTTATCTGGATGAGATTGGATGGAGAGAGCCTTGGCGACACTCAGCACCTGCACTAGCATCAGTAGCCGCGTCAGGGTCAGGTGAAGCAGCAGGAGCAGCAATACAACAAACAACGCAGTATTGATAAGTTAATGGCGCATCGGGTCAGTTGGCGGTAGCAAGCAGCACCTGCAAAGCAGCGGTAGCGGGCAGTGGAAGCCGTGGCAGAGCAAGCAAGCAGCCTCAGCTAGCGGGCAGGCAACCCTCTCCACTCGCGCTTAGCGCAGGCTTCTGAACTACCTAGTTTAGGCGGTGAGTGGAGCACCAACCCGCGGTGGACAGGTTGCGGATCGCCCTTTGCTGGAGTACTTATTGAGATCACATGCCTGCTTGCTTAGGCAAGAAGGGATGCAAGAACTGGCTGGCAGGAATAGTTGGCGGCCGCAGGGCTGCGACAAGGCATTTGGACGGCTCGGCAAGGCCATGCTGGGGCTCCAGTACGTCTGAACGCCTTAGAGCTCAAACTCTCCGACCTTGAAGAGGTAAGGGAGTTGGTTGCCGAAGTTCTGCACGACCTTGTCCCCAAGGAGTTGCGGGTACTTGTCCAAGCACGCCTGCAGGCTCTCGCCGGTTGACTGCAGCTTCGAGGGGCAGTTGGGGTGCGCGCCCATCCTGATGGGCAGCAGGGAGACCAAGGGTTTCTAAGCAACAGAGCTCCAACCGCAGCCTATACGGGAAGTCCGACAGCCTCTGGCTCACCATAGCTCAGCAAATGGCTTCGACTCGTCAATTGCGCTGCCGTTTGCTTGCGCGAGCTTGGCAACCTATGGCATAGAATGCGCAGAGTCAATAGATATCAACGGTGTTGCCGTGGCGCACAATTCTGACAAACTGTTGCAGCTGCGTCGATGAATGTTGCTCACCTCACTCTCGCTAGCCTTCCTTCCCCAGTCATAATTCTGAGCTGCGCATCTGAGTTGCAACATATTGATTTGTGAAGAGAGAGAGAGAGAGAGAGCTATTGTGGATGCTTCGCGCTGTGGTAAATGTGCAACAATGGCGGGCAAAAACAGAAGTACTTTGCTGACGATTGAATTTTGGCAAACGAAGCAATAGATGTATTCAGTGATGGAGACGGTTAATGGCGGGCGCCTCTCAATTGATTACGACTGCGCACTCATGCATCATGTTGGTCAATTCCCATGGCGATCGGCGCACCCAACGGTCGCATCGAGGCCGCTAGGAAGTTAATAAGGCTTGGAATGTTCTTTTCGGAAGTGTTGGAATTTTCTGCTGCTCTGTGCCATGTGGCAGTTGCGCTGAAAGTCACGCCGTGGCAGCCATGCCTGTACCTGCAACCAAGAATATGAAGCAAGTGTGCGTTGATTCTCGATAGGTTTACCCATAAAAAAACTGGACCCGAATTGTGAGCCGAAAATTCATCGATCTACATCGATAAACATAAAACCTCGTGCCTAAGCTTGCTATCCGACACGCCCTGACACGCGCACGTGCTTAAGCTTTAACCTGACGGCTTGCTCCGCGGCAACATTACTACTTGAAGCCAACCAGATGCGGCCTGACAGTAGTAGCTGCCAAGAGCTGGCCTGTTCTCCAGCCTCTGCAATCCACGCTGCTTTTTCGCTTTTCCTTGTATCCCCAGGTAAATAGAATGTTAACCGCCAAATAATCTTGGTATCATGTTTTTTAATTTCGTATTTGTATTACCGCATCGCACATCTGCACGCGAGTAATGCCCACCACGTGCATATTTCGTCTCCAAAACAAAAAAACAAAAAATACGTTCTCTTACCACAGCTCAAACCTGCAGAAGGTACAAGACCCATATCGGAGACCCATTACGTCCCCGCTTTTCTCTCCTTTCCTCGGCTAGTCGGATCCATCATAGTGCAGCCCAGTGAGGGTGGTTCAATTATCCCCTCCACAGCTCTGACCGACCCCCGAGGCCATGGCTTCAAGCGTTTGGCGAGACCGGCTCACCAGTATTCTCTTCCATCATTACAAGAACGAAAATCAATATCGACCATTTGTAGAAAAAACGTTCTTTATCTCCTCGTGTATCTGCGCGGCAAGAGCCGCGCAGCTGAACACTGTTTCCGTCCCACCGACGGCCGTACATCCGAGAAAACCAACATTATGGGCCTCTAGCAGCCCGCACAAAGCCCTTAGGATTTCTTATCACATCGCAGACAGCCTTCCCCGCCAAGACGTATCCCTGCCGCGCGTGAGTGATAAAGCGCAACTATGTCGCCAAACGCGCATCGCGCAAACTGGGTCAAGCAGCCGCCAAGCGAAAAAAACAGCTTAAACCGACGCGTTGCATTCCCCCTCCCTCTCCTCTTTTGGCACACACTCATGCAGACCGTCCCAGCCCTGCTCAACGGATTTCACCGGTGCCTCTATCACATCGTGACAAGTCGATAAGATACAGAACTCGCTCAGTAAGAAGATCAAACGTCACCGACTTACAAAACTCTAACTCCAAGCCCGCCAGTGCATCCCTCGGTCGTTGCACCTTGGCTGCGTCCCTCTCCACCTCATCATCAAAGCGCCTGTACAGCCTCTCTCGAGGCAACTATTTGCCTCGCGATATTGCCTTGCATCCTGGAAGCGGAAATCATGTGAAGCCTACCGGCAAAGAAAGAGCTAAATGTTTCTTTCTTTCTCTCTCTCCTCTCTCCCTCTTTTCCATCTTCTCTCGGCCGTATTAAGGTCTTCAAACCATCGTGACGATGCCACGTGACTGTCCATCTTTGCATCATTCCAGCGCCTTTCGAGCCATTGCTATAAACCCCAGTCAATGCCCAGTGGCCATGAACACAAATCCACAAACCTGTGTTATTTAGCCTTAGACTCCATCTGCCTCCAATTGTGGTCTCCAACATGCCCTTCAAGTGACAATAAGCCCGTCACAAGTCACAAGTCAAAAGGAACGTTGGAAAGTTCCTCTCCTCGTCGAGCTAGAAAGCAAACTCACAACGCCATACAATGCCGTACGGCGTGCTTTGCCGTACAGCTGTACCACTGTTATATTGTATAGGTTCATGACTGATCCCTCTGGCATGAAAGCCACCCCGCCCCGATGCCAATGCCCGGTTGCCGAAGCAGACGACCTTCACCTCGTGTTTCCTGATCATGCCAGAAAGTGACTCTGTACGATTGATTGTACGACGCCGCGACCAAGGCATATGCCGACCGTCGATCGTCGACCTCTTGCGCTTGTATATATGCATGCCCTCTTGCGCCAATCCGCTAGCGACGGACTTCCAATGGCAGCACAGCAGCACACCAGCCATTCGCAACGACACACTCCGCCAATGGCAGCACCGCCGCAAAAAACTAAAAAAGTGTGCAAGTGTAAAACTGAGTGCACTGATTTGGCGCCAAACTTTGGCAGTGCCATTAGACCAATGACGAGGAAAATGTACTCTCTCGCGCTGTGAGCGGTAATGGCACAGAGTAGAGTCTCGACCCTCGAGTACATGGCGTCATGAGATTTGTACGACGGCCGCGTCGGAACCGCCACCAAGCCAAGCCCCGGCCAGCCAACCGATATATAACCGCTGCAACCGATTTTCACGACACCACACGACGCGACACGCTTTTTTCCCAAGATTATCAAACAAGCGGGATCAGTTTCAAAACTACACACAGCTCCATCTCTCAGTCCGCTCCTAATCACAACTCAAGCCTTTTGCCTAGCGAACATAAATTATCTTCTTCAAAAAGGTATGCCGTACGCCGTACACCCGTCGTACATGCACTTACTACGCACCCTCCTCTCACGACGCAAAGCAACTTTTTACGCTGACGAAAGCGAATAAGACACCACCGTGTGCGTGGACGGCGGAGGGCACATGTGTGGTCGGATGCAGTACGAAAAGTACGGCGACGGCGTAGTTGTACGACAGCGATGGCGCGACCGGTTTCCCTCAGTCCTGCTTCGTGAGGGGGTCCATGGAGCCGATGACGAAGAGCGGGTGGTTGAAGCGCATGGTAGGGCTGCGGGGGGCCATCATAAAATGGATAGCAAAAAGGGACGTGGCACCGGGCACAGGTTAATACCTCAATTCGAATGATGCCACGTAAAACGACCACATCTCAAAATGAACAAAATATATCCCCCGCTCTTTATTGTATATAGGGTCTAGTAAACTAGACCCTATATACAAAAAACAAAAAACAAAACAACAACTGCAAAGGTTTCGTTTAATGCTTGCAGGTGGACTTGCGCGCTTTATAGCCACCAAAATGATTCAAAGAACCATTTCAAAAATACCCCCCCAAAACGGGTCAGGAAGCCCCTCACCTACACCCCGTCATCCGGGCACACAGTCACAGAACCCTCTAGGAGCCGCAACCACCTCGCGGTACACCCCTTGCCGTACTGCATGTACTGCATTTACACACTCGCCGTACACCACCTCGCGCCGTCCAATTTACCTTTAAACACACACACACACAACTCCTCCTCTCCCACCACCTCTATCCCCTCCCCACCCCTCATATTCCGATCCGGTCGCACCCCGGACCATCCCCCTCCCCCCTCCCCACCTACTTTGGGACCAGGTGGTCATCCACAGTGATGAGTTTGACTACGCCAGCCTCCTCCATCACGTCGCTGTAGCCGGTACGAGGGCACTGGCTCACAACCACCTTGTCGCCCGACTTGACCATACCCGCCTGCTTAGCCTGCCGGGGTGAATGAAGATGCCGAATGAAGAGCGGGGTAATAAGCGCAGACCAGGCAGGGAAGAAAAAATGACGGAGCTAATATGACGGTAAAAGAAACAATCGACAATCAAATACCAAAACCCGAAATAACCCGTCATCACGTTCTGAACAGCTGCTTACACCGCACTATTCGGTGTGTGCACATATGCGTGCGTTACATCACCTTCTGGAGTTGCGTTACACTCTCCAAAAAGGTGCAACCTAGGGGGGGGGCCTCCTACATATATCTTGTGTTCAAATGGCCCAGAAGCCTCCCACTCTGTAACAATTCAATTCAAATGAATATATCTTGAGAGAGCAATGGGGGGGGGGAGACCTTCAAAGGGGCCGCAGGCTATGGGGGTCCTAATCATGTCTAGTCATGTGCGCAAAACACTACACACCTAACAATTCTAAACTTAGCTGCCATCTGTGCTCGCCCACCGTGTAGCTGATATTGCTCATGTTTTACTTTTAGTAACAGCCCTACTTACTAGGGCATATTCCACTAAATTATTTTACCAATGCTTTCTTGGAGATAAAGTGGCGGAGCTAAGAACTACTCTTAAGAACTACCAAGGACTACCAAGAACTACCAAGGACTACCAAGAACTACCAAGGACTACCAAGAACTACCAAGGACTCTACGCGCACAGCAGAGACCTACGTAGGAGATGGCATAGTCGAGTATGGCGCCGCCGGGGAGAGAGAAGTCGGGGTCCGCCATAATGGGCAGCACACCGCGGTACAGGAGGCACTGCCGCGCCTGCACCTCGCCCATCAGCGTCCACTTCAGGCCGTCGGACTTGATGTCCGGGCAGACCACCTGTGCCATGTCATGTATAGGCGAGGGCAAAAGATGGGAGGGAAAGGGAAAAAGATGGGAGGGGATGGAGGAGGAAGAGGAGGAGTCTTGTCTGAGGGAAGCTGAGCCTAGCTAGAGTCTTGTCTGAGGGTATATAATTATTGGAGGTGAAGACACGCTGGTTGGTTACGATTGATGGTGTGCTTTTTGTCATGGTTTTGTCATTATTGTACATTGAGATGGCATGGGAAGCGGAAAATGGGAAATGGAAAGTGGGAAAATTAATGACAGCTCGACAGCAGGGTGAAGGGGGGTATAAAAAGAGAGGACGAGGAGGAGAACCGAATGGTGCGGCAAAGAAGCGGCAGAACGACGCGCGGTAGGAAAACACAAAACGTACAGAGTACGGCAAGTCGTTGTGCTGGTTGCGCCCATGTGTCACAAAATGCTCATCATGCTTTGCACCGTTTTTTTGTGCTCGTACGTAGTGTCGTACGCAGGACACCGTACTACAAAACCATCCATCCACCTGCGGATTGGGCTGCACCGCCTGAGCAGCCCCCGCGGCCGCAGCGGCAGCCGCATCTACTCCGCCGCTGCCGTCCTCCTCCCCCCCGTCAGAGGAACTGCGGTTGTAACCCGTACTGCTATAACGGTCGTTGTTATGAGCCCGTGCGGCATGAGGGTCACCGCAAACCACCTTTTTCAAAGTATTTATTATGTATGAAAAGAAACCCCAATGTGGCGGTGGCATGGCGGATGACGCGTCATGGATGAAGGCCGTCGTGAGTGTGTTCGCGGACAGATAGTACGGCGCAAGGTACGGCGGTATGGTGACGGCGACGTGACGGCGGCGACCGCGGCGGTTTGTACGATCCGCGCGTGGGGTGGCGGGTAGTGATGGGGTGGTGGGTAGCGTAGGATGATGATGGCGGCCGAGAAGGCGACGGCAGCAGCAGCGGCGGCGGCGGCGGCGAGTGCCCCAGGGAGGAGGAGGGCCAGCGGGGCAAGGGGAACAGCGAGGTGTTGTGTACTATATAGGCCTGAAGCGCTGGTTTAGGCCCTAATTCGGCCCCGGAGCGGCTCATGGATGCATCCGCCGCCGCCACCACCGTATTCCGCCCACCCGCGGTGCCGCCAGTCACTCACTACTAACTAAAAGAGGGTGACGTCACTCGTCGCTCGTCTTCTGCTGTACACGAAGCAACCGCCGCTGCCGCCACCGCCACCACCATCGCCGCCACCGCGCCACAACCCGTCCTCACACAAACCACCGACCCCTCGACCTCCCGAAACCCCAACCGCACCACGTAACCCGCGCTTCCACCACCGCCACCACACCATTACCCAGCAACCTCCGGGGAAAACACGCGCAATGCAATGACAGCGTAGATGATAGCCGGACAGGTTTAAAAAGATGCCGTACCGTGAGGATGGGCGACGCGGGCTTGTATTTTGCGACCAGACGCGCCGTCTGACCCGTGACAGTGAAGACAATGATTAGCGCGGCGTTGATCTTGGCGGCGGCGCGTACTGCCGATGAGGCGAGTGCCTCCCTCTTGCCCAGGTTGGGGTGTAGCGTGTAGCAGCCAAAGTACTCCATGAGGGAGCGGTAGTACGACTGGTTGTCGAAGCACAGCTCAGCCTACGTAATAAAAATCCAGGGCGAGCAAAACAAAACATTTGTTGTCGCAAAAATATTACTTCACGTATTATCACATGTACAAGACTAAAAATAAAAAAATGGAAATCTTTTGAAAAAAATACCAAAGAAACTAGAGAAAAAACACGGGAATAGGAAAACACGCGGCGATCGAGTAAAATATGTTCAGCTCTGTTGAGACACTCGCACAGGTAGCTCGCCCACCCGCACAAAATAAACAGGATCTCAAGCTGGGCCAAACCCACACATTCGTCTTTTCCATGCCTCGCCTCTTTTACCTGATCTCCCCATTCTTCCCTCCCTTCTCCCCCTCCTTCTCCCCCTCCCATACACACAGAGTCGCGCACACGCGGAGACGGACCTGCTTGCAGATGGCCAGCACCGTCTGTACCGTCTGTACGGGGTACTTGCCACGGAAGGTTTCGGAGCCCAGCAGAATGCCGTCCGCGCCGTCCAAAACCAGATTGGCCACATCGGTTGCTTCGGCACGGGTGGGGCGAGGTGCGTCTGGAAGTGTAGAGTGCGGTTGCGCGGTAACCCCGGGGGAAAGGAGGGCGGGGAAAGGTGGGCCGAGTCGAGAAGGCGCCAGGTTTTATGGTTTTATGAACGTTTGGAACGTCAGCCTGTGGGCTGCGAATTTCGAATTGACCACTAGGAATTGACCAGTAGGAAGAGCTTAGATAAACACACACACACACATACCGGCCGTCGTTCCCGTTGCATTACGGTTAGGTGACCCCTGGCCAGTGTCAGGGCCCCGGAGCGATATGCAAAGAAATATATAAACACACACACTCCCTCACTCTTACAATGCCTACCTAGAAGACATCACCGCGTCCGGCCTTCTTCGTTCACCCTCAGACGCACACACAATAATGTCTAGCGTAATTACGCTAAACAATGCAATAAACACAGCGCCGCCCCCACCCGTTATATATATGTTACTAGGGTCTAACGAGGCCCGCAAGGCGCACCTGTCATGGTGTCCACGACACGCGTCACCATCACAGGCTTGCCCGCCAGGTTGCACGCGCGGAGGAGCTTCTTCTGGGCCAAAAACATCTGGAGGAGTCCACAGACAGACAGACAGACAGACTGGTAGGTAGGTAGGTAGGCACACGGGCCGAAGAGGTTAGAAAGCTCAAACAGATTAGACAGTTAGCCTTTCGCTCGACTTTGTATTTTTTAATCTTCATACAAATCTGTCAGGCCGAATAGCACATATGACGCACACGTTTCTTAGCTTGTTCGCGCATGTGTGTGTGCGTGTGTGCACCTTCTAAAACGTGACCACCTGGCATCTCCATTAGACTCGGGACCCTCCGCCCAATTCGACTCCCCTTCACGGTAACCATGAATCTTCCCTCTAGCCCCCTCCCCCTCCAGCGCCCAAAGCGCGCACACCACATTCAGTGACGCACGCAACACACACATACAGACACACGCACACATACACACACACGCACACATACACACACACGCACCTGATTGCGCCTCCTTTCCCCCCCCCACAAACACCACACTAGGACCACACACCGCCCACCGACCCCCGAAACCAATTTCTCTGGATTTGGAAAAAACACGCCGGGCCCTAGAACCCAACCGGCGACCCCCCCCCCGCACACGCTCTCATCCTCCTCACCGACCCTTGCTCCGAAACCCCCCAGCCCACTCCCTCCCCCCCCACCTTCTCCGCATCCAGGCAGATACCGAGGTTGCCTCGCGACAGCAGTACGGCATCGGCGGCCTCCATGACTTCGACGCTGTTGAGCAAGCCCTCCATGTTCTCTATCTTGGCCATGACGCGAGTCTGGGCAAGACCGCAGCTGAGGAAACGGGGGAAAGGACGAACCACACACGATTGAAGCTGCTGCCAGGGCAAGGAAACGGGGGACATGCAAGCATGTGGCGATGTGTAGTCTAATGATCGGAGCAGCAAAGCCGCACAGAAAACCACAACCCGAGCCGCTCTTGCTGCTGAGATACCAATTCCATTCTACATTCTTCCTCCGCCGCTTGGACAGCTCGATCTCCCCGCACGCGCACGCATACACGCGCACCACATACATACATACATACATACATACATACATACACACATACATACACACATATGGCAGGTGGCTGGCACAAGTAACATACATACATACATACATCCAAACGCAATCTCACCTGTCCAGGACCTGTCGTACCACCTTAATATCCGCGGCGTTGCGAGTGAAGGACACCGACACGTAATCAATCTTGTTGACACTGCCCCACTGCCGAATGGCCGCAAGGTCCGTATCCGCCAGGATGGGCGCCTCGTTGCGCATGTGTGCAATATGAACCTGCGACGGGGGGGGGGGGAAATGGCAAGATGGCAAGGTGCAAGAGGGGGAATCCCTTCCTCGGAGCTACTTGGAATGCTAGCGTAAAAGTAGTATCAGAAGTCCCTAGTTGGTGGGATAAGCAGGGTTATGAACAAAGGGGGACATACACCATGAACGCGGTGGGCTGGGGGGGAGGAGTTGGGGGGGGCGGAGTTGTTACAGCCCGTCCCGTCGTGTGGGGCCCACTCGCGCTCGGCTTTACGGTACACCGGCATTTCCATTTACCCACCAGGGAAACGAGCTAGGTATTCCCATTACCATGCGGCATACAGCAAACGCATCTTTTTATGAGGTTCACATAGCTGTTACCTTATTTTAATCAATCTGATTTTTATCAAACAATTCGGTAATGCACAAGATCAAAATTTTCTTACTGTATTGCTTTTGATAATAAAGTATTGTCACCGTTACCGCACATCGGCGAGGACCGCCAATCAACCGCCAATCATCCGCTGGATTACGTCAACCCCACTCAGCATCGACAATAAATTCGCTGCCGAGCCGCATGCGGCTCTTTCGACTACCTTCCCATTCACCCTGGCAACCCCGTTTGGTCCATGTGAATTGTGGTGGTATAATGCCGTATACATGTCGTACATCACCCCTCCTCCTCACCGTCAGTGCCAGGCCCTCTAGGACGCAGCTGTTGTTGCACGTGCACACCGCCTCATCCCCGCGAACCTGAAGACACGGGTGCCACAAGTGTATGTTTGTGTATATTTGGGGGGAGGGGGGGCCCACACAGAATAAGGAACAGAGGACACGAAAAACACACAACTTGTCATAAAGGTGTGCATCATGCGGTGCATCTGTTCGTAACATGTGGTGGGCCCACTGGACAGGGAGGAAAGTTCCCCCACCATCGCGGCCCCCAAACTACTGGCCTTCTCCCTTCCTCCCTCCCTCCTTCCATCCTCCCGCATTCACTCCCTTTATCGCTCTACATACAAAACTCACCGGGGAAGACCAGGGCCGCACATCACACCCCTCTCCCTCCCTGCCTCCCTGGAGCCAATTTCACTCGACTGTGCTTCGTCTCTCTCTCCCTCCCTTCCCCCCCTCCCTTCCTCCCTCACTACCGCGCTTTTCCACTACATGCTCACCAATCCATCCCGCCCCCCGCTCCGAAGCCCTCGTCACGTCGCATGACTCCGAAACCCACCCAACACGAAACTCCAGATCCCAAAATACCCCACCAGCCACACGACATCCCTTCCCCTACCACTTTAAAACACATCCCACACCCTAAAACCGCAACCTCTTCAGCATCCCACATCAAGCCGAGGCCGTACGTAACACCGTGCACATCCCCACGCTTTCCACTTCCAGTCCACGCAGCCTTAAGAAGAACAACACGTCCAACACACCCTTCACACTCCCACACCGCAATACCGACCTCCTGAACGGTCAGGTACACGGACGACGTCTCTGATCCGGTGAAGAGGTACTGTCCCACGAAGACCTGGCTGCCGGGTGCCAGACCCGTACCAGCCAGACTGGGGTAGGAGATGGGCAGCGTACTGGCTGAGGCCGCCACAGACTTGTCGCACGTGAGCGTCAGAGTCTGACCCGCGGTGAGGCTGATGGGCAGCTCAGGCCTGGGAGAAGTCCAAGATAAATAAAAGAAAAGGTATGGGCCATGTTGATTATCTGAAGAAGTCAATTCTTAGAGGCGGTGGAAAGTCGTGAAGAGGAACATAAAGGAGAAAAGGATGAAGAGGAAAAATGGATGATAGGAATGGAGGAGGGACATTATGCCAGCGACCGTTTGCAATAGGGTTGCGTAAATTCGCAGAATGAGGGATAGGCTGGTCGGGATGGAATTAAGGTACAACCTTTTTAAAGGCGAACGTTGGAGACAGAAACTTCCGTTTCTGGGTGAAGAGTGTTTGGCGGCCGTGTGGGACATACCTGTTCAGGACGATGATTTCAGGGCCCATGGTGTCAAGCATCGTGCAGCACAGGCGTTTGGTGTTGCGCATTGCGATGCGGAGATTGTCCAGAGTCTCCTGGTGATAATCCTGTAAAACGCATAACGCATAGCAACAGCGATGTTTGCGGTGTCAGTTGGTTTGACAGGCGTTGAGCCCTCGACGCCCAGTTAGACATACTCACCATACTGCCCCAGCTGAAATCGAAACGCGCCACCTACAGAAAAAAGGAAATTGAACGTGAGGGGAAACTAGGCGCTAGTCGGGCTTCGCATTTCGACTAGAGACAGCAAGCAAAACGCCATTGTACACGTAGGCGTTACAGACCGTCATGCCAGCCAATAGGAGCTGCTCCAGGACTTCAACGGTGCGAGTCTGGGGCCCGAGAGTACATCCCAGCTTGGTCGACGCAGGCACGCGCAGGTCCTTGTCCTCCTACAGAGCGCAGCTCGGCATTCGTCAGCTCCAGCGACAGAGGGCGTCGGCGGCGCATATTCCCCTCACCTCGAGAATGCTAAGGAAGCTCTTTGGAGGATGGAAGAAAGACGTATGGTGCGCCAACACGGAATCCATGGCTCCTTTCGCCCTGGGCGCCTGTGCGCCGCACTGTTCTCTATAAGCGTTTCGAACCTAAGACAATTAACAGCCCAGATGCACACAACAGAAAGTAGTGACGCAATGAGTACCCAAACTTAGTACCCTGTGAGGCTTTAAGGGGCACAGCCACGAGAAACGGTCGTCTGATCGTCTTTGCCGTACAACAGTCCTCGGCTTTTGGGACAGAGCACTCGTTGCTAAGCAGAGACCCGGCCACGTATATCTAATTCTCTAAGGTTTGAAATTAGCAGTAGTACTCGACGGACGGTTTGTGTTGGAGCACTTCCTTCCAAACTACCGCGCCTGGCTCTCTATGGTCGCTCTCTGCTGGGAAGAGCTATCGAACTCAAATTTATATGTTTCATAATTTAATACAGCACATGCTGCTACTGTTATCCGTAGCTAGTGAAATCTCACCGATACTCCCGGTTTACGGTAGCAAACAGCAGCAAAAGTAGCAGGGTCGACATTATCAGCGCATTCGGCAGCGCATCAACAGTTTCGGTACCAGTCCTTTCGGCTGAGACGCCCCTCCGCTCACACAGCTCGGCAACTTCATGGCAAATACGGCAGCAACCGGTGTCCTGCGGGGCTTCAAAGCCTCCGCGACAGTAACACCCTTCGGGACAACAACGGAACTTGGTGCTGCGGCTTCCCAAATCCTGCACCAACTTCCATGGCACCAAGACGTCTTCATCTCCGTGGACCCAGCCAACCATCATCACCATCAAGCTCAGCACCAGCCACAAGACATCCATATAACAACAAGAACAACGACAAGGTTCTCAACCTCCAGATGCAGCACCAGCAGCAACCACGACGTCGCGATCGCAAGTCACGACAGCGCCACAAACCGCCGGAGCTTCCACGCACTTACTAGCTGGACCCGCGCGCCCTCAGCAGGCAGCCGTCCCCTCGCCTCGTCCGCCGCGGCCCTCTTCCCCCTGTCTATCCACCTCTGTCTTCCCGCAGCCCTCTCCGCCCCCTCCACCATCTTCAGCCGGGGGCTGCAAGCCGCCGCTGCCGCCAGGCCCCCCGGGGCGGACCTGGAATCTCTCAGCTTGGCAGCGCTGGCGGCGGGGCTGTGGGAGGACAGCCGCGACGGCCGAGAGGGCCTTACGCCCGCAGCCATCGTGGCAGCCCTCGATAAGTACATTGTGGGCCAGGCGGCTGCCAAGCGTGCATTGGCGGTGGCGCTCCGAAACCGCTGGCGGCGGCAGCGCGTGGAGCCGGCGACATTCCGGGATGAGATTATGCCTAAGAACATTTTAATGGTGGGTGGGAACGGCATTATCACAAATCGATCAGATTTATTGTAAAGTACTGAATACCAAGAAGGAAGCATTGCGCATGGATATGTATTCCGGGACTATGTGCTGACGTAACTTCAGTGTGTACGACGGTCGATTTCCCTCGGTTGATGTGGGTCACATCGCCCTAGGGTCCTCTATGGTTGTACGTGGTCGCGGACATAGGCCCGGTAAAATCAGATTATTATACGACAGTACGACATGCTTCTGTATGTACGACCATGTGTACGGCACATTCCTTCCTTTGCAGGTGGGTCCTACGGGATGCGGCAAGACAGAGGTGGCGAGGCGGTTGGCCAAGCTGGCAGATGCACCCTTTGTCAAGGTGCGAGTATGCGTGTGTGTGTGTATGTATGTATGTATGTAGTGTTTAAGTAATCTGCGCCACGGGCATGAAACAGGCGATAACGGTGCACTAGAGTAACTTTAACCAGATAAGCACCCCCCGAAACACACCAGCACCCTCATGACTGCCCCCCCCCCCGGTTCGGGGTTCGTCTCCCCCCCCCCCGCTTTCCAGGGTGAGGCCACGAAATACACGGAGCTGGGCTATGTGGGGCGAGATGTGGAGGAGATTATCAAGGTGCGTGGGTTGGCTGCATGGGCGGGGGCGGGCGCCGAGGGGGGGGCGGAGGGGGGGACAGGGCGGAGTCACAAGTGTGTATGTGCACTGTACGGCATCAGCCCAGGGATGAAAGACGGGTACGACACAACGTTTAAAAGGAAGGAGATCTGGGGGTGGGGGCCACACGGGTGTGTGTGGGGACCCTCCTGGCCCGCATCGTTTCCCATCAGGCATGCCCCTATTGGGGGGTATTGGCCGAACTCCCCATTCCACACACACACACACACACCGGCGCTTTCCCCCACCCAACCCCCAATCCCTCTGCCGCGATCACCAATCCCCCCCCATTCCCATCCCGCAATGCGGACATGCGAGATACACACACATCTTCATACACGCGCTCCCGCAGGACTTGGTGGAGGCGGCGCTCGTACTTGTACGGCAACGTGCCAAGGACCGGCTGGCCGAGCACTCGTCCCGCCGCGCCGAGGCCATCATTCTGCGGGCCCTTGTGGGTCAACATGCCAGCTCGGACACCTTGGGGATGTTCCGGGAGATGTACAAGCGGGGTGAGCGGGGGGGGGGGCGGGGGGGGGAGTGTGTGTGTGTGTTTCTTATTTAAGTGACGGAGTCGGGGTAGGCGGGGAAGTGGCGAGCCAGCCGTTAATCACACCCTGATTTCCCCCCTCTGTCCCGGTCCTCGCGCCTGGAATCTGGTCTGCATGCTAGTTGTCTGAAACACATACCCACACCCGCCACCTTCGCCCCCTCCTGGACTACCCGTCTATCTTTTGTATCTGCTCCATTCGCCAATGGTTCGTATTACTCCCCCTTTCCCCCCTTTCCCCCCGTCCCCCCCTCCCCTCCCGCCTACCTCGGNAGGGGAGCTGGACGACACCCACGTGGAGATCGACTCGGCGCTGCTGGATGGATCCGGATCCAGCGGCGCCGGTGGTGGATCCGGATTTGGCGGCCAGCTGGATTTTGGCCCCGGCGGTGTATCCTGCTGGAAAGCTGTTTGCGCGACCGGACCGGGCTTTTGGCGGCCCCTCCCCGGGGGGGCTGGGGGGCGGCTCGGGGTCCGGTGGGGGCGGTCGGGGGGCGGCGGGTGGGAAGAAGACACTCAAGGTGCGTATGTATGTATGTATGTGTGAAACAGGGGGGTGTATCTTCGCCCGTGGCAGCTACCCTGCGAAACCCTGCCTTCCCCGGTATTTCGGGGCACCCTCATCCAGTCACCCTAGTCAACTTCTCAGTGGATCGCTCAGGTTCCGCACCCACCACCAGCATACAACGGAATCTGCCGGGTCGACAGCGGCCCAACTCCGTTCCTGGTCGGCTCGCAGGTTAACCTTATCCCAGGTCACCACCGTCCATCAACTAGGGGCGCAATACCTTCCGCCATCGGAAGGATTTTATCGATCCCGGGATCTCCCGGGGGCAATGGTCGCGCCTTACCAGTAGTGCCAAACCCTATATATCTGTATATATGTATGATTCCGTGGAGGAGGGCGGGGGTATAGCTTCACGCGTAGCTGCCGTCTGTACTTTCCCCGATGCCTCGGGGTATCCCCGTATGCGGTTCGTCTTCCTCCCCCCCCCCCCGCACCCGACTGGTTCCGGTGGGTGCATGGGACTTCGATTTTGTCTACTTGGGTCTTTCTCTCTCTCACACACACACAGACACACACACACACACACAGACACACACACAGACACACACACAGACACACACACACACACGCACACAGACACACACACAGACACAGACACACAGACACAGACACACAGACACAGACACACAGACACAGACACACAGACACGGCTCCAGGGGCTGCTTTGGACCTCGGCGCTTGTTTCCTTCACACCTGCATGAGGTTATTACCCTCCCCTCTCCCCCTTCTAGCCTACTTTTTCCGTCGTACTTGGCCCTGTGTCAGGTTTCGGAGGCGCGGTCCCTGCTAGAGGAGGCCGAGTCTGAGAAGCTGCTCAGCAGCGACCAGGTCACCCGGGAGGCCATCAGGGCCGCGGAGCAGGACGGAATAGTGTTCATTGACGAGGTGGGGAGGGGAGGGGAGGGGAGGGGAGGGGGCAGCCGGAGGAGGAGGTAGGAGGTATTTTGCATAAAGCTCCACCTACCCATCTACCCACCCCCAGCACCCAGGCACGCGTACCTGTTTCACCTCATTTCCCCTCCCCCCCCCCCCGAATCACCAATACCATCACCACCACCACCACCACCACCACCAGATCGACAAGATTGTGGACCCCAGCAGCGGCCGCGTGGTGACGGGTGGCGGTGTCTCCAGCGAGGGGGTCCAGAGAGACCTGCTGCCCATCATTGAAGGCAGTGTGGTGCCCACCAAGCACGGCAACGTGTCCACTGAACACGTGCTGTTCATCTGCTCGGGAGCCTTCCACACAGCCAAGCCGTCGGACATGCTGGCGGAGCTGCAGGTGCGGCGCAGGGCGGGGGGAAAGGGGGGGGGAGAGGGAACGAGGAAAGGGGGGGAACGGAGGGAAAGCGGGGGGTTTGGGTTTTGGGGCCACAGATCTGTGTGTGCAAACCCCCCTGGAGCTTCCTTGAGTTTTAATTGAAGCCCCGTGAAACCCCGTTCCTTGTCTCCTCCCTCTCGCCTCGTCGCCTTTCCGGAGCCCCTATCTCCCCACACCATCTCCCCGGAGCAGTTGAGAGCAGCTTTTACGTCTTGCATTCATCCCTCCTCCTTCCCCCCTTCCGTTTGCCGGTCCGCCCCTTGACCCATCCACTCCCCGTCCTCCTCCTTCTCGTCCTCAGGGTCGCCTTCCCATCCGAGTGGAGCTCAAGGGCCTTACGGCCGAGGACTTTTACCGCATCCTCACGGAACCGCAAAACAATATGTTGCGGCAGCAGCAGGTGGGGGGTACGGAGGGGGGGAATTGGGGGGGGAATTGGGGAAATCAGGGCAAATAGAGAAGGGGTGAAAGGGGGAGGATGTAGGAGCCTGACCATGTAAGGCGGTTTTGGAGAAAGGGGGGGGGGGGAAACAGCGTTTGTTGATCTCTTTTAAAAGTCGACAGCCCACTTGCCCTCACCCGACTTGCCACGTTTCTTCACTTTCCCCATCCCACCTTCAGTTGGGCGGTTATAGTTTGTTAGGAGTTGGAAGTCCTCCCGGCGGCAACCATAAATAGGTTTTCACACCGGGCCCGTCTGCCTCCAGTGCTCCCAAACCCTCCTTTCCTCAACTTTTTCCTTTCCTCACTTTTTCCTTTCCTCACTTTTTCCTTTCCTCACTCCACCCGTGTAACCCCCATTTCCTCATCTTCATGCAGGTGCATATCACCCCCCTCCCGATGTCGAACGGGCTTCCCCTCCCTCACTCTCCGCTATGCCCTTTCCTCCTGCCCCTCACTCTCCCCCTTGCCCTCCCTCGCCCCCTCCTGCTCTACCCGTCTATCCTCGGTATCCTCCTGCTCCATTCGCCAGTGGTTCGCCTTACCCCTCCTGCTCTCCCTTTCCATTTCCCCGTTCCTCCCTCCCTCCCTCCTCCCTATGCCCTTTAGGAGCTTCTCGCCACGGAGGCTGTCCAGCTGGTGTTCACGGATGGCGCCATTCGCGCTATATCGACCTTGGCTGAGCAAGCTAACCGCCTGCTGGATAATATCGGGGCCCGGAGGCTACACACGGTGTTGGAGAGGGTGCTGGCGGACATCAGCTTTGGAGCTCCGGAGCGGGTGGCGGAGGCGAGGAGGGAGGGACGGCAAACGTGAGAGGGGAGAGAGGGGGGTAATAATAATACTGCTGCTATGCTGCTGCTATGCTGCTGTTACTGTTGTGTGGCAGCGGTTGTACGGCTGCTGCTCTCCTAATGTTGTCGCGGGTACGTGGGGTTGTGGGAAAGCGAACAGCGTTGGGTGTTTGTTTCCTGTCCTTCGTCTTCCATTGCGTTCCTTCCCTTGCTGCTTTACTTTCTTTTTTTGGCATTAACGTCGTTTGGATGGCAGGCGCGTCATTCGTGGTTTGGCTAAGTATAAGTGACCATTAACTATCAGCTTACGCATTCACGATTACGCAGAAGCTTAAAAGCTTCTGCGTAAATAATATTGTAGTAAATATTGTGCGCCATCGTCCATGAAGGGAACCTACCAGTGCAGAAACAGGACTCACTCGTTGCCGCCTCTTTGCCCTGTGGTTGCGCACGTACAGGTACGAATACGTTGTGGACGAGCAGCTCGTACACCGGAAGTTGGACGACCTGCTGAAGAAGCAGGACCTGTCGCGATACGTGCTGTGAGGGCTGTCTGGAGGGGGGCTGAGGGGTATGGCGAGGTGGAGACGGGGATGTGGAGAGGGGGAGGTGGAGACGGGGAGGTGGAGAGGGGGAGGTGGAGAGGGGGAGGTGGAGAGGGGGAGGTTGAAAGAGCAGCAGGATGATGAGGAAAAGAGAGGGGAGGAGAGGGGGAGGAGGAAGAGAGGCATGGGAAGAGCGGGGAAAGGTCGAAAGCAGCTGAAGCAGGGGAAAGAATGTGCGATGTGTCGATATATGGTGGCGATCTGACCCTTGCGGCGCGGAGAGGTGAGAAAAGGAGAAGCCCGAGGAGGGCCGCCGGTCTGATCTGGCTCCGATACCCACGTTCGGCTGATCACCCGCTCACGCGATGCCGCTCCCCCTCAGTACTTTTTTGCTGCGGATATATGCAGCTTCCTCTCGTCGCCTACCTCACCACAAGGTTCAGCCGTAGGATACGAGATGTCCGCTTGTATGTATGTAGGATACATGGATCGTGGTCAGCTGGCAGAACTATACTGGCGAGCATGGTACATGAGTAAGGTGGACAGAGTGTGCGCGCATGTGTGTGTGTGTGTATGCGCGCGCGCGCGTGTGTGTGTGTGTGGCATTTCTCCTTCCATCTCCCGACCGAACTCCGTTTGGATTGGGGGAGGGCGGCGCGAGAGGCGGTAACCGGTAGCTTTTTCACTCGTATCTCCTCGGCCTCTTGGTAATAGCCCCCTGCCTTCTGCTACCACCAATGCCACCCGCCGCCACCTCGTCATGGGGGAGATGAACCGACCATCTGGGGCCCCCCTGGACCCCAGGTCCTGGTTTCCCTGACACGAAAACCCAGAGCAGGATGACGACAAGATGGTTGCGATTGTGTACAATATACGACCTGTAAAAATAGCAGTTTGTTGAGGTAGCAGTATCCTTATGTGGAATGAAGGGGTAGTTTAGAGGTAGTTTAATTGTTGTCTTTGTTGTTATCTTCTGTTGGTTTGTGTAAGTTGAATAGGTGCGGTTGTGGGGTGAGTGTATCTCGTGAGGTGCTGGTGTGTATGTGTGTTTGGGAGTTGGTAGTGCGTGTGCACGGAGGCGGCATGGACCTTCATGGCGATGATCATGGCGGCGATGACGGCGACGTCTTGCCGTCCAATCCCGCGTGGACCACTCGGCCCTTGGGCTGCAAGGAAAGGAACTGAGCCACGAGAAAGAATAAGGCGGGAAACCCGATTAACGTAAGGAAAGCATAGCACTGGTGGTCGTCGTGTGTTGGGACGGGAAAAGCTGGAGGGAAGGGGAATCGGGGAGAATCGGACTATAACTATAACCGGTAACGGATAACGGAAACCGGAAAACAAGGACTGTGTAGGGGTTGGGAGGGCACTTGGGGAGAAGTTTGGAGTTTGCGTTCTTTGTGTCGTTGAGTTTCTGGGACGCACGTGTGCATGGGATGAGTGCGTTTACCGTACGTCAGCGTTAGTTTGTCAGCGTGCTGTGAGTATAAGGAAAGATGCCCTTAGCCCTACTCGATGCTACCGGACGGCAAAACGACGATGTGCTGATTTGGTTGGAAGTTGAAACAAACGAGTAAAGTCCACTTGGACAGAAGTGCATCTTGGACAGTTGTTCTTGAGAGTGTAATCTACATAGGAAGGCACGCCTTCCTCTACGACTTCGTGGACTTGTTTTGCTTCCTAGATTGGAACACAACCGTGGCTGTGAAGTATCATATCGTTGGCAAGTTACATTATAGGGACTTGAAAGGGTCACTAGGCGCAAAGCGCTCAGAATCGCTTACTGTATTCTGCATAATAATTCTATCGGATCGCGGACTACCACAAATCCTCAGGATTATTGAACAAATAGCTATGATAAAAGTTAAAGGGAAAAGACTACGATGGTAAAGCGGTAGATGGCGGTGCGGGCAGCGTGAATTGGGCCTGCCACTTAGGTCTGAACTTGAGCTTGAGGTAGACCTAGGTAGAGGAAAAAGATAAAATGCGCTATCCGGTGCCGTCAGAGCAGCCACGCACTTCCTCTAAGAAGCACCCAGCTTACGCTGCTGCGTGCGCTTTGAGGGATGTCTCTACGACTTCCCTTTGGCAGTGCCCCGTGCAAATCTGGCAGTGCCTGCCAAACGCCAGGCAAGCCGTGGTTAACTACGCGAACTAAAAGCGATTATGCTCATAATTTAAGCTTGATCCTTCAGATTGCAGGTTATTATGCGAAGCGGTTTTGCGCTTCGACAACCGTCACATGGACCCCAAACGCACCTGAAACAAGAATTGTACCACCTAGAACAGAAGTAAGAAAATATAACGATGACAAGTTGTGCTGTGTCGTTGAATTGCTTGGAGTTGTTCCAGGTGGCCAATATGATAGCATTTGCACAAGGCCGCGCCCGGGGCAAGCCAGCTGCTCAGCTTATAACATAAGCATCTGGTAGTAGACTGTTACACCTTTTCCTGAGAGGACCTGGTTTGCGTGAGACGGCTGAATGGCGCCAGCAACGCATGCTCGGCCTTCTTCGGCTCGCACCCAAAGCCCGACTTCACAAGGTTCCACCGGCTGCTGCCTGGCTGATCGCGCTGGGGTATTGGGGCTCGACAGTATGCCTAAGTCGGAGCGACCCGTCTCGGGCTTGGTCAACCTGCTCATCGACGCCGCGCACAAAAAGTGGGTTAAAAGCCATTACGGACAATTACCAGTTCAGCCAATTGACCAATCAATATTCCGTTGCTGCTGCAGTCTCCAACATCCCCCACCCCGCTGCCCTTTCCCACTTTCCACCCAAAATGCACTATATCCCTCATGCACGCGCCCATGAAATCGCATCCCGCGATAGGCACGAGAACCGAAACGTCCCTCACCCAGCGACGCCCGCCTACACGCTCTTTGCGCAGCGGTTGCCAACTTGCAGCGGCGCTGGCACCACAGCCGGACATAGCGGCGCTAGCGGTAGCGGTAGCGGTGGCAGCCGCAGCAGCAGCGGCGGAAAGCCCCGCACTAGCGGCACCGGCACCGGCACCGGCGCAGCTCCCCCCATCAACCTGGATGCTTGCCGACGATCCCCGGGAAACACCGGGTTTGCAGCTCACAGCGCGACAACCGTGTACGCCTGGGAGGAGCGCTCGCCACGTCGCAGTGGCGGCGGCTCCCCGCGCGGCAACGGCGGCGGCGCTGCAGCTACTGCTTCTCCGTCTCCTCTAGGGACCGGCATGGGGTCGCGGGGACCTTCACCCCTCGGCCGCACAGCACCCGCCGCCATAATGACGGCGCCAGGTCAGCAGCAGCCGGGATGTACGATACTGCCCCCGGCGTTAGGGTCGCCGCGGTACGGCAGCCCTATCTGTCTCCGGGAGATGACGGGATCACCGAGGCGAGGGCCCATGGCTGCTACTGCCGCTTCTGGCCCTGCTACTGCTGCTTCTGCTGGCGCAGCCGCCGGTAGGCGGGCCCTTCATGACGTGTTGATGGAGGAGGATAGGGCCCAGCGGGGCAGTCTGCTGGGGGTGAGACGTTCTAGAAGCGCAAGCAGCGCAACGGGCTGTGGCAGCACCACTCCCGCGGCGGCTTCCTCCCCCTCACCGGCGGCTTCGTCGTCGTCGGCGGTGGCGGCGGTGGAGCCCCCCCGGAGGCCTCCTCATTCCGTCGCGCGATCTGAGGTCGTGACACGAGCTCTCTCTGTCTGGGAGGGTTCAGAACTGGAGGTGGGAAAGGGGGAAAAAGGGGGGGAAAGACGAACCACAGAGGGAAAAGACGAACCACGAGCGAGTGAAGCTGATGCCAAAGCGTGGAGGGGAAAAGGGGGAGAGGAGAGCGGGGAAGGGGAGAAGGGGGGAGAGAAGGGAGAAACACAAGTGGGACATTAGGCAGCCGTGTGGCTGCTGTCGGCATTCGGCTTCGGGTTGTGCTTCCTGGAGACGAGCCGCCGGGAACTGAGCGTCGGGCGGCTGTACGGAGCTGGCAGACGGGTGGTTGGGAGGCTGTGTGATGGGGAACCGTATAGGGGGCCGCCTGTTCTGGGGTGCAGGCAGCACCCCAGATGCGGATGCTGGGTGCAGAAGCGGAGGCTGCACCAACACCAAGTAAGTGAGAGGCGAGGAGCGGACCCATATCCGCGGCGCGTAGTCACGGAGATGTCGTACAATGGGACTTGCTATGCCGTACACCACTTCTCACAAGCAACGGGAGGTCAACAACACACATTTCCCGGCACACTCGTCGACCCCGACAGCGGCAGTAGCAGCAGTAGGAGCAGTAGCAGCAGCAGGAGCAGCAGTGGCAGCATCCCTCAATTCCCACGGCAGTTGGTGCTAGGGATGTGTTGCAAGTCGATCTCTTGAGCCTCTTGCGTGCCGCGATTTTCCATCATCGCGATTTTCCATCTACCCTACCCTATGCAGCAACCCCTACGTAGGAATGCTGATCGAGAAATGGCCAACCTTCGAATGCTGGGACACCCTTTTCGCTGCTGCTGCCCTCCCCAGATTAGAGGCTGCTCGATATGTTTGCTGTGCTTGATCGCTATCCTCTGATTTTGCAAAAGAGAGGGAGGTGTTCCTGCGATGTACCCTCGTCTGTCGTGATTTTAATCTGTTGACCTGTTTTTTTCGCTTTTTCCGTTGGCGGCCTTCAAGGTTTGACAAACCTTTTCCGTTATTTACAGGTGGTCTGCCTGTACGACAGTAATTTCCAAGCCGCCAATTCCAAGGGCCAACACGGCGTACCGCTCCGGGCGACGGCAAAGCGGCAAGGCATCGGGCCCATTTCGTATCTCTACAGGTACGGCAATGTGTGCATGTCGTAGTGCTTCCAACGCACAACTACTCAAGAAAAAATATTCGCTAGCCTCCTCGGTGCTTCAGTATCATCAACAGCACCATGGGACTCAACCTCTCTCCCTTCCTCTCCTCACATAATGATACCCTTTGCCAAAAAAAGAAAGATATCTATCGAGACGAAGGCACTTTCAAAAATATATATTTGGAAGTTTAGTAGTGCACGTTCGTTCGTGTTACAAGGATGCAGAATTTGGAAAGTTATTATTATCCTTCTCAAACCTTTCCTTTTCAAACCGTACCCGCCTCGCCAGGTGGTACTGCAAGCGGGGAACCCAGTTTCGGAGCGCCGTCACGGCAGTCGACGTTCCAGACGCCCCTGCAAGGCCCTCTACGGAGGAGCCGTGGCGCGCCGTAGACACCGCCGCGGCCGCTAGCTCCACCTCCGCCTCCGCCTCCGGCCGCTCCAACAGCAGCAGCAGCAGCAGCACAGCGCAGCAGCGCCACAATACCGGCGGCGGCGCCGCCGCCGTCGCCTCCGCCAGCTGCGCCGCCGTCGTTGCAGAAATGCCTGCCTGGCTCCGTAAAGCAACGACACAGCGGGCTCATAGCGGCCCCGGCATTTTCCACGACAGCGCTGACGGCGGCGGCGGCGCTGCCGCTGCTGTTGCCAGGTCTTCGTTTGATGGTTATGAGAAGGTTCCGACGACCAGCGGCCGGCGTATGAATTACACGGCGGATCCGTTGATGTCGCTATCAGAGCTGGTTGACATGCTGGAGGACTTGGAGGTGATACCGGGTTGTTGTTGTTGGTGGGGAGGTGGGGAGGTGGTGGGTGTGGGTGGGGAGGTGGGTGGGGAGGTGGGTGGGGAGGTGGGTGTGGGTGGGGAGGTGGGTGGGGAGGTGGACGGGAAAGACGAACCACGAACGAGTGAAGCTGCTGCCCGGGCAAGAGTGTACCAGACGTAGAACTGACCGAAAGGCGTCCGTGAAGACCGCGACCTCGGGATGACGAAGTGAAGATGATGTCGGAAAACTACCTACCTAGCCGCCAGGACTAAAAAAGCAGGAAAAGCAGTAATGCCAAGCCGTAAAGAAGTAGGTGTAGAAAAGTAGGTGTAGAGGCGGCGGCGAAGTAGTAAAGAACTGCTGTCGTAAAGCTGGAATAAAGTTTGCTGCTGGCCTGGAGAACAGGCTGATTTGCTTGCGGGGAGACTGCCGGCGTCCGGTGTGTGTGTATGTGTGTATGTATGTGTGGGTCCGGACCCAACGGACAAGCCTTTGTGTCTCCTGCCTCCTGTCCTGTCTCTGGCATCACATCGCAGGTCGTACCGCATATGGCATCGCGCACAGACGTGGCCAAAATCTTCAATGCCGCGCGCCAAGCCTTTGCCTCAGCTACCGCTACCCCTACTGCCACCAACGCGGCCGGCCATTCCGCAGATAGTGCTACAGCCGCTACCGCAGTAGCGGCAGCAGCAGCCCGCACCACTCCCCCGCGTCCTCCTCATCCTCCTCATCCTGCTGCTGCTGCTGCTGCTGGCGGCCGGGGGCAGCAAATTTCGGTACCGGCGATTAAGCTTCTTCAGCAACAACAGCAGCGGCCGGCTAGTGCTGTCGTACATTATGCCACTGGGAATAATAACAGAAACAACACTGCAACCCAGGCTAATGCCCTGGACCCTTGGGCAAGTGGATTTAACACCCTGAGCGGGATTAGCAGCATCATGGACATGGCTATGGCGGCGGCGGCGGCGGCGGCGGCGACCTCTGGGCCGAATGTCCCCCGCCCCACGTCGGCGCCGCGAGTTCTCCTGAGCAGGCCTGGAGGGGGAGGTGGCGGCGGCACCGCCGCCGCCGCTGCCGCCACCGCTGGCGCAACTACCGGCGGCGCCGCCAACGTCATCCCGCGGACCCAGCCTCACCCAGACGATATCCGCTTCCCCGTCTTCAAGGACATACTTGTACGGCTGGCAGTAGCTATTGCTTGCAATGAGCCGCTGACGCCAGCCGGCGGCGTCGCGGCATCCGCCGCCGCAGCAAAGCCGGCGGCGGCGGCGGCAGTCGGGGCGACGTTCCCTGGTACGGCATCCATCGGGTCTTTGGCGTCGCGAGGTTTAAATCCTCTCCCGAGCAGCAGCTGCAACGGCGGCGCTGCCGCCGTCGCCGCCGATGCTGCCAGCAGCCCCAACACCTTTGGCCTGCCGTACGGCTCCGGCCGTACAATGTCCAAGGAGGATGCAACGTTGGCTGTACGGCGCCTACTGGAGCGGATGCAGTTGTACCGCAGTGACGTACGCATACTGAAGCACCGTTTGGACGAGCTAGCACGATTAGCGAAAGAGCATGGAATTCGGGTGCGCGACAACCGATTCCGTTGTGTTGCTGTTTCGGTCGTTGACGTGGCGCAGGACATCCCGGTAGCGATTGGCGTGACGGCGCCGCCGCCGCCCGCAAGGCCCGGTCTACCTGGCCGGGTGCTGGCGCCTTGGAGCGTGCTGGCGGCGACGCCAGCGCCGTCGTACTTGTCCGCCGTCGTGACGGAGGAGGATCAAGAAGATCCGCTGTATCAGCCGGCATGGCGGGAGTTTGGGGCTGTAGCACTGGACCTGGGAGTGCTACAACCTGGCGAGCTCCGTCGATGCAGACTACTGCTGCACTGCAGAGGGCCTTATACGCTTTCCGTTCGCATTGACACGACGAATGCACCCTTTTGCGACGTAACGCATGTCGGGCTGCATTCCATTCCCCCGGGTTTGAATTTTCGGGTCGACATGTCGATACAAATTTACGACATTGGTAAAGTTGCGGGCGAATTGCGCCTAATTTACAATTCAACACAAGATCGACGGGAGCGGGAAGTTGTAGTACCGGTGTACGGCATGGTGTATCCGACGGCGAGTACTGACGCAACTGTCGACATTAATGGTCGTTCTTGGCCAAGGTCGACTTCGGAGCGGGGAGTGATGGCGGCCAAGCTGGCACGGCAGCGGACGCCGGCGGCGGCAGCGGCACTGGCGGTACCCATGGTTCCACCCTTGCGGGGCCCGCCGTCGCCGTCGCCGTCGGCATCATCACCGTCAGGATCGTCGTGCTCGACGGGGTACGACAACAGCAACAGATGCACAGGCATGGCATTGCATAAGACACACGATGCTGTACGGCGGCCAGAGGGCTCTGCGGCAGCGGCAGCAGTGCCGGCGGCGGTGGCAGAAGACAGCTGTGCGGATAGTCGCAGCGGCGGCGGATGGCCAGGCAGTCACGGCAGTACGGGCAGCGGTGGCGACGGCGAAACCGACGCACGTGGCACTGACGGCAGCGGCGGTGTTGGCGGCACCAGCACCGCCGGCGTCAGCACATTGCCAGTAGACAGCTGCATTGCCGCCTCTGCCGCCGCCGCGGGTGCCGCTGACGGGGGTACTGTTGCCCAACATCCCGCCATCCGCCAGGCGAAGGCCAGCGGCAGTGGCAACGGCGACGGAGCTGTGGATGACCGCCGTGCGTACTCTGGCTGTAGCGGCAGTAGTGGCCGCGGCGGCGGGGATGATGGCAGCAGGCCGCTGGATGCCGCCACCGCTGCCGCCGGCCCTGGATCCCAGCCTTTGTTGGGGAGCCGAGCAAACTCTCCCATAAGGCCCAGTGGCGATGGCGATGGCTCAGTCCGTAGGTTTGCTCCGCCGTGGGGAGGGGAGCGGAGTGCTTTCGAGGCCCAGCAGGGATTGTTTTCTGCAGAGTCTGATGCTGCCTCTGACGACCTGGACAATGGTGCTGCTGCTGCCAGTGCTTCTGCTGCTGGTTCTAGTGCTACTGCTACAACAGCAGGTGCTGCTGCTGCTGCTACTTCTGCTGCTGCTGCTGCGGCGGCGGCGGCGAGCAGGGTGGCGAGGGTGTATACGGCAGTACCTCATGGCGCCGTGGCGGCCCGGGGTGCAGACTTGGCAGTGGAGGCGTCTTTCTGAGAGGTGCCAGGACGACGGCCCCGCGGCTGTCTGTGTTGCCACGGCTGCAGCGCTGACGCTACTGTACAGCTGTATCCCCTGCTGGGAAGCTCCGTCCTGTTTATTGACACTGCTGCTGAAGGGCTTTTAGGGGATGGGGGCCATGTTTGTATGTTGTTACAGGGTGGTTAACTTCGCCAGCGGCCCCCTTTCCCGAGGCAGTCCCTGCTCTCCCCTGCAAGAGGGGCACCCTAATCCGTCACCCCATCCAACTTCAGAATGTATTCGTTGGGTTCGGCAACTCACCACCAGCATCCAACCAGATCTAGCGGATCAACGGCGCATAAACTTAGTTCCTGGTCAGCTCGCAAGTTGATTTTATCACGTCCTACATCGTCCGTATGATGGGTGGCCACCTCCCATTTCAACCCTCCTCAAATACCCGAGGAGCCGGCAGGCGGATTTGAACCCGGGTCGGCCGGGAGCAGAAGTCAGGCCTTAACCTCTGCCAGCCGCCTGCCTGATTGTATGTATATACGTATGTTTGTAGTATGTACGTATTGGAAAAGCGGGTCGTGGTGGAGTTTGAGGTGTGCGACGGCCCCTATACCTGTCTGTCGTACTGGCGGACATTATGAACGAAAAAGTAACAGACAGGGTGAACCCAGACACGAACCGAACACAGTGAGGGAGGATGGCGAGTGTGTGCCCATGTATGTATGTATGCATATGGAAAAGACGACGCTTCTGGCAAACAAACGGCCATACCATCCTAACATCGTACAGCGATTATGAGTACGAAAGAACGAAGCCGCGCAAAGCACCTTACTTTTGCGGCATTGGCCAAGTCCGAGGAGCCCTCTCAAACCTCGCTGGCTGAGATGAAACCGTTACACCAAGCTGCCTGCCTGCCTGTCTTATATACTGGCGCTAGGAACTTTACCGAAGCATATACGATTACGGAGCACGCTTCTTCCCTTCGCGAATATTGTGCTCTGTCGGTCTTGAGCTGAGTACAAGCTGGGTTGCTGGTTCATCTACCTGAACTTGTTGAGTAGGGGAAATTGCGACGGTCATGACAAGCCCATAACTCGGACGCTGGTGCACGCGCCAGTCAGCCATTGCTTCCTGCTCATTATTAATGTGCAATCAGAAGTTTTTCAAAATTGTCCATTCTGCTCGAATTTGGTTATAATGGTCTTTACGGCTGGCGGTTCCGGAACCCACTTCTTGTACTGTAGCATATCGGGTGCAACTTCAACCATGTTTAAGTGCAAAACTATATTTTTTATTGATCGGTTCCCTATTACCTGCAGCCATAAAATGCTTGACAAACATCGCCGGCATCTCAAAAGGGACGGACTGCTGCTTGCAAAACCGCTATTGAATGAGAGGCTCACATTTTTTACTAGGAGATGAAGAAACGGCCAAGGAAGCAAGATATATTCTCTTGCAGAAGAACTATTCACTTGAAAAGCGGGAACGGATATGGTCTCATTTTTGCTGAAGGTCCTTTGCTTATTTCACCTCACCTTGGCATGGGCCAACCCAGATATCGAGCGTACAAAGGTCCACGAGGATATGCTATGGCAGCGGTCCGCGCACCACATGGCAAATGTGGAGGTCAACAAGGTGGCTTTGGGCGGCCTTCTAGCGCCGCTGCTTAGCTACAAGTTCTTGCTGCCCATGCCGCAGCTCCGAGCTGGTTTCGCCTATGCCGGATCGCGAACACGTTTGCGGCGTTTTGTGCGGGATCTTGTTCACGGACATCGACCCCTGAAGATAGGCGCCGTCGGGGGAAGGTGGGCACTCGTCCGCAAGATCCTTCATGTCCATTTGAATGGTGCCATTGTTTTACTGGTACTTACGGGAATCCAGCAGTAGCCATAGCCGAGAGTTCCCTGCAGTATGTTTCAGTAGTTAACCGCGCGCCCATCCACACAGCACATCAAAACCATCCTCATTCCGATAGTGGCTGCCGAGCCGAGCTCTCTTCCCATTTTAAACTTTAAGGGTAAGAAACGCAAAAATTCAAAATATAAAAACCGCAGTGTTACGTGGGGTCAAGGCGTGAGCAACCGAGCCAACGCCAGCTGGTTTGGACTTGTGGCGCATTGGCTGGTGAGGCGAGGTGGGATGCAGGGACGGAAGAGGCCTGGACCTACAGGGGAAGAGGCCGCGAGCAAGGAAACACAACATTGAAACGGTGTGCAAGAGATAGCCGACATGGATGCCCCACGTGCTTCAAGAGAAGGGGAGTGCGTACGCTGGTTTGTCGGCGCTATGACTTTAGTTTTGGTGAAGAAAGACCAGCAGATCCCAATTGAACGAGATCCCCACTCCACGGTCTTCAATCGGTTGCGTTCTCGGGGTCCCGTCTTTTCTGCCCTAACACCTCTCCTCCAGCCACACACTGCATCTGACACTCGACTCATCCAAGCATGAGACAAGCATACATACATACACACACACACTTCACGAACGTCCGCGGTCTACCCCTCACCCTCGCCATATCCCAGGCACGCGGCTATCCGTCCGTAAACATCACCGCACGCAATGGTGCCGTACCTGCCACGCAAGCGTCGTACATGGTCATGTGTCTTGACCAATGGGTGGACCCCGACGTTGACTTGGTGTTCGTAGAGTACATCCTGAACAACGGTACGGCGGGTTGTTTCGTACAATGCACGCCGTGTACGACAGTAGTAGTGTTGTGCACCAAGTTTGTATCCTCAGCCCAAGAATAAACGAAGGGAAAATTGGTGGGGAGTCCCTTCCCAGACTGGCCCCGGAAGGGGCCAGTCGGGCCCTACCTGCAGCTTGGGCAGGGTAGCCAAGGAGTCCGGCAGAGTCGTGATCTCATTTCCGGGGACGTCCAGCTCCTGCGCAGATGGGCCGGGTGTGTGTGTGGGGGGGTTAAAGTAGTGGTGGTGGTGGTGGTGGTGTATTGAGAGGAGGGGTATAAACATGCAGACAAGGAACATCAAGCGCACATGTGTATATATAACATACATACATATATATGTATGTATACATTTATACGAATGTAACATGTTCTGTTGTGCCATTGTGCGTTTTTATGTATGCCGCACAGGTATCGACGACAGAGTGTTCAACAATCCCGTGGTCCAAGTTATGGAGCGCTTAATTAGGCGACTGATGGATCTGCCGGGCAAGCCGGCTGTGGTGTTGATGCAGGCGAGTATATTCGTCCGTCTGTCTGTCTGTCTGTCTCTCCGTCCGCCCATCTCACCGCGTAGGAGTGGGGTAAGCACCAAACAGGTAGTTAGCTAGGTGTAGTGGTAGGTACGCAGCAGGTGTATGTACTTCCCCCCGCCATAACAGAACAGAACAGAACACAGCGCAACCTGACCCGCCTGTAGTAGCCACCCGTCTGCCTGCCGCCGTTCGCTTCTTGATCCTCTTCCACACACACACACACACACACACACTCCCCCCCACGACACACACAGAGACTCAACCGCACACGGCACTTTCCATGCCGCACTCACCCTAGTGTAGGTGCCATCGCATGGTTTGGCTAGCGACGATGCGGCGAGATTGCGGTTCTACCACACCATGGAAGATGTGGAAGGTGGGTGGCTGCTGGCCGGGTGGTTGCCGGTTGGGTGGCAAGTAACGGAGTACTACCGGAAAGGGCAGGTAGGCGGACTGGAGATTGGCTCGAGATTGGAGTGGAGGAGTGCGAGCCGCAGGCAGGAAGGGAGGGTGTGGCTGAGGGGGAAGGGAGCAGTCATGAACTAGGGGGCAGAGAGAGAGAGAGAGAATATTCAATTCGGGGGACACAGCTCCACAGGACCTGGTGCCCGGGTGCAAACACAAACGTGCCCGGCAGTAGGGTGTGGTGGGGTGAGGACAGAGGAGGAAGGGGGAAGGGGGAAGGAGGGGGGATGGGTAACCCGGTTCTGGATTTTGGCACGTTGCCCTTGGCCCTTGGCCGGTGCGTCAGGCGCTGTTTCCGACGCTGCAAAATATATTCATACACAAGTACGCACACCTACGCACTGTCTTTGCCATCTGTAACAAGCGGCGGCCTTGCAGCACATGCATGCATGCATGCACTCGAGCCGGAGCAAACTGCTGTCTGATTCACTTTCACTCACATCCCTCGCTGCCCCCCTGCATTCTGGCTCCGGTCCCCACACACCACCACCACCACCACCAAACCCGTCCCCGGCGCGTTCTGCTCATTGCCGATGGCCACCGAGCCGGGCACAGGCGCGCTGGCACAGTACTACGACGTGCAGTACTTGTCCTTGCGTACGGCCTTGTACCGCCTGGCTGCCGTAGACCAAAAGGACGGGTTTCGATGGAATCAGATGTTTGTCGATCACCACCCGGTGCGTACGAATGTATGTATGTATGTATGTATGTATGTATGTATGTATGTATGTATGTATGTATGTATGTATGCAGAAGTGCTAACTTAGATAAGGTTATAAAAAGGTATTACATATAACTTGTAAGTATCTGCTACGTATTGACGATGGTGTGTATCAGATGTCACCCGATCGATCCCAACGGTGTGATTTCACGTGACCGGCAGGGCGACGCAGGCAATCACGTCATGGCGGATCTAGTGGCGTACATGATCCAAAATACGGCACTGGATCTCATGCTGGATCCCATAACGGTGGCGGAGACCCAGGCGCTGGACCAAGCCCTGCCGCCACCCATGTACGACGGTGAGACGAGGAAAGGCACACGTGGCAAAGCCCGCGTGGCAAAGACACATGTCCACCTTATCCTTATCCTTATTTTTGTCCTTGCACATGTACGGCAAGGCCCCGTACGACAGCCGCCGCACGGATCTGGGCCCTCCCGACCTACCTTACCTGCGCCAACCAGTTTCCCCCACTGCCTCACTCCTCTCCTAAGTCCTATCGGAAATCCTTCGGAAGCCCTAGACCGCCGTACCGCACCACCTTTTTTACACGTCACGCCGCATCGTACCGCAGGTTCAGTAGTAGTGTACAAATACGTGCGCTCTCTGGTCCGCCCCCTCCGCATCCCCCTCCACATTCCCCTCCGCATGCAGGTAACGTCCCGCCCGCCGCCTCCATGTGTCTGACGGGCGAGCGCTTCTCGGACGCGGTGGTGTTTTCCTCGGGCTTTAACTACACCAATGAAGGCACCAGCCCCGACAAGCCGAAATGGGGCTACGTGGCGACTAGCCCGGGTGCGACTCTGGTGATGAGGTTCGACACCTCCCGCCCGCACATGTCGCCGAGCGATCTGGTTTCCTTGTACCTCTTTCATCTCAAGTCGTACGAGCACATGGGCATGGCGGGCCTTACGTGAGTCGCGAAAGTGCGTTTGTTAGTTGGTCGGTCGGTTGGTTGGTTGGTTGGTTGGTTGGCAGGCGTGTGCTCCTGTATGCATAATATGCGTGTTAGTGACATGTACGGAGTGCGTATACGGTGTACGGTGTTTGTGTGTGGGGGGGGAAGTGAGGAACCCTTCCTGTTGGAGGACGGTGTAGGAACTGGAAAAGGCCGGGACAGGGAAAATGGTTTGGGAAGTCTTTTCCATGATTTAAAAAAACCATGTTAGCACATGTTGAGGTTCTCTGAACCCCACGATGAACCCCCATGAACATCCCCTCCGGTGGAATTGTCCTCCAGGTGCGAATATTTCCTTGCCAGCTCCGTCCGTGCTGCAGCTGCTGACTCCTCTTTTCCCCACTGTGTGGTTCCGCGTGTGGTTCGTGCCCTCCGTCCCCCCCCCCGCATGCTCCCCTCACTCCGCAGCTGCACCGCCGGCTGTTACTGCGATGCCGTGGAGGTGGACGGGCACGTGGCGGAGCACTGGTCCCAGGTCAGGGAACGTTGCCGTGACGCCGCCGCAGGGGGGAAAGAGAAACTCGTGCGCGTAATAGGATATATGTATATATATGTGTATGTATATGGGTATATATAATAATATATTATATTATATATATTATATTCCTTTCAAAATATTGTGTTATATTTGTCTATGTGTGTTTGTAAATAATATTTGGATTACCCCGTCTCGCACACACCTCCATATATATGCAACCTTGCAGATGTGCCATGCGCGTTTCCAGGTCAGCCAGGCCGCAGCGTGTGAGGTGACCCTGACCGTGCTGTCTACGACCAACAGCGGCGAGCACAAGTTCAAGGTGGGCAGCAGTTGTTGTTGTTGTTGGTGGTGGTGGTGGTGGTGGTGTTTGGCGTGCGCTCGTGGTGCTGGGAGGTGTGCTGTGAAATGGGTGATCGATTTGTATGTGTGCTTGGTTGCGTGTGTGGCGGGTGCTCTGTGGCGGTGTGCGTCGTGGGACTGCTGTCCCTGTCGTCTCCCTCCGGTGTGTTAACACCAACGTTGGCGGGCTTCAGTCAGCTCCGCAGCATGTTTCTGGCCTCTCACCTTCGCTGATGGTTCTGTTGACATGACCACCACAATATATACATAGTGGAAAAGAGTCCTGTTAGCAGTATTAAATCGCTGTATATACATTGTTTAGCGTGTCGCATATTAAAACTGCATGATAAGCTTGGGTGGCTTGCGTGCATGCATACTTGTGGTTAATAATGAATTCTAGAGTTGTGGTCAAGAACCGAACAGGTCAAGAACCGAACAGGTCAAGAACCGAACAGGTCAAGAACCGAACAGGCTGTTATCCTTATGACCTCACCAAGTTGTGCGCTTGCATTGCAGGTGTCCGGAATGATTTTGTCCGAGGACCACGACTCTGCCAAGATGATGGATGGCACAGCCAACCCGGAAGGCCGTCCCTACGTCCAGCTCGATGGTCAGCCGGAGAACTTGCGCAGGCGGCGCAGCCTCATGCTGGGGACTGCTGCGTCTGTTGCTGCGCATGCGGACGCTGATGCTGCCTCTCCCTCGCGTTCATGAAAAACAAATCGCATCGCAATGGGCTGCTGGTGCTGGTTTGCTGGTGCAGGTGGTGAAGATCTTTTGGATCTGCGATCTGGATCTGATTGCAGTATTGGATTCCAGCGGAAAAGAATGTTTGTTTCCCTGGTTCATGCCTGCTGGCCCCGAGGGTGTCTGGCTGGCTGGGGGCAACAGGTCCAGAGAACCTTTGGGCTCGACGCGGTCCATCACGATGTCTTCCCTGGGGGATGCAATTTGCAAATCAGCTCTCAGGGAAGGGGGGGGGATGGGCTGTTTGGCGTTACTTTGAGGCGCCGGTGCTGGCTCGGATTCGGACGTACGTACATGCAGTAAAGATTCTACTGCTTCAGCGCTGCGATTGTTGGGGCTATGTCCTGGGGGGGATGGATGGTGTTGTACGCTTATATTAACGTTGCTGCATGCAGCGCAGCCAAGCTGATGCTGATCTGCCCCAGATGGTGTTGTTTTTGTGATTGCTGTTGCTGTTTCTTCCTTTTTAATGCATTTACATATTGGATTTGAATTTGACCCTCTGTTGATGAAAATGATCCCTGATGCTCTTTTGCTCTGATATTTTGGAGTTGGGGTGCGCTATGTCTCAGAGCCTATCTTCATCGACCATTCCAAAGACCTTGTGGTGGCGTCGTCATATACCGCAACTATATCTGCATTTTACCGTGCTGGTTGTGGAGCGTATGTGCACATATCTGCATGACCTTTCTTCACCCACAGCTCCTGACTTCTGCTTCTTTTGACTATAGCACGCGGGGCGTGGACTGCAGGTGGTGTAGAATTCGACACGGATGGTATGATGCATGATGTGATGGTATTGTAACGGCTGGGCTTAGCAAGAGGACTGAGAGCTGCTCTGGGTTGGTGCTTCTTTCGTTGCTTGGCGTGCGGCAATTTTTATCGTACGTGACAGTTTCCCGGCCACCTTCTCCCACGGCCTTGCGATTACTATCCCCCTCGCCACCCGCTCTCCCTCAATCGCAGACACCTCCGCGCCGGGCTCGACCAGCGGCAGGCCGGTGGCAGATGCCCACTGAGGGCCTGCTGGACAGCCGGCGGGCCGAGAGGGGGGTGGGGCGGGTTTCGTTGATGTTAGGTCTTTTAGCCTGGTGGTGCGGCCTTTGGAGCTCAGGAGGGGTGGTGCTTGTCGCTGGAGGGTTCAGTCCAGGCCCTTCTAGGGTTCAGGAAGTTTGGGTCGCCGTGCGTGAGTTTGTTCAGGTGGCCGTTGGGCGTTCTTTGGGTTCGCGGTGTGTGTCGTTCTGTCGCGCGCGTGTTGGTGGGCCGCTGTGGTTGGCTGGCTGGGGCTGTGTTCTGCTGCAGTGTAAGGGCCCTTGGCGGGTGCGTCCTCGTCATAAGGCGGCTCCTTGGGCGGAATGGAATTCGTGCTGCGTTTAAGATCGCTCCAACACATATAAGAACATATACATTAGATGTATATGTTGAATTGTACGAGGGGCCTAGGCCAGGTAGATAATCACAGATATTCAACCTATGTTTTTTCACAAACAAGCGCATTTCTTTATGGCTTGCGTTTTCATCTCAGTTTTGCTCTCGCGATGCGAAGAGAGTTCTAACCATGTGGTGAAGGGCAGACGCCGCGCATAAGTAATAATGCTGCTGCGGTGCTGACGTCGTAGCTCCACCCGTTCGTGCGGGCGCATCACGTATTTGTTGCTTCTTTTGAACATGTCAAGAAGGAATATCATTTGTGGGTACGTGTGTCTCTGTATGTATATGTTTACCGGACCGCCGTGTAGGGTAGTCAGTGGGATTCCCCCGGGTACGACGTGTGAAGGTAATTCATGGCCACAACGGCTCCCGCTGTCACCGACTTTTGCTACACCGCTGTTGCGTCCTGTTATAACAACTCGAACATCGGAGGCTCAACACTGCCCTAACCCTGCTCTCAACAAGCGGGCTGTGCGGTGCGGTGCGGTGCGCACATGGGTACTGACATATACACACACGTACATACACACACACAGTGACGTGGTGCTAGCTATGTTATGGAACGACGCACTGCTGAATTGCTGCCACTGTCGCTACCGCGACACATGATCACCGGCATTCCCGCAGTGTACGCATCGCAGGAGAGCCCTGCGTGGGCGGGAGCGCTTGTTCCATCCATTGCCCCCATAACCTCTGCCATACGGCCCTTCGCAATCTGAAGCTATCAAAATGCTACCTCGTTTGGAAGACCTGCAGCAGCGCATCACCAGCTAGACATCACTCAACACCATCCCACACCACAGCTGTTTCCCCACAGTGGTTGCAGCTGTAGCCGCCACCGCAGTAGCGGCACAACGAGAAACAGCAACGGTAGCAGCACCACCTGCAGCAGTAGCAGAAGCTCATGCGGAGCCGCTCACCGCTGCGGCCGCACCAACACCTGAAGGAGTGGCGCTGCTGTCAGCTTTCCGTGCTTCCAAGCACGATAACAAGGGTGCGGTCTGTGCATCGAGCAAGTCGCTGATGCCCATGTCACCAACCCGTAAGCTCCGTATCAAGCCGTACGGTACGGCGTCTAGTTGGCTGAGCAGCTCGCCGTACACGGTTGCGTCGTCGAGCTCTCCCCAACGTGTCAGGTCCGCAAGCCGGATCCGCTGTCCGTGGAAAAAGCCGGCCAGGGGCACGACGGGGTACTTGCTTGCGAGGCCAAGGCTGGCCTTAATCAAGACGGAGAGGATTCGTTGGGGCGGCTGCCGGCGCGCTTCCTGTCGGGAGGCTGCTGCGGACGCCTCAGCTACGAGCTTCGCCAGTCGATCAGACTCTCTAAAAACGCGCCGAGCGGCGCTCGCGGATCCGGATGTGGATGCGGTGCCCGGAGCTGCTGAGCCAGAACTGTTGAGATCCCATCCAACCAGCACATTGGTTGCTTGCAGGTAATCAGAGATGTCTAGCCGGCCTGTGGCTGATGCCAGGCTATTCTTCACACGAAAGCTAATTGGCACAGCTTTCTGGCCATGTTCGGTTGCTGATGCCTCTGCTCGCAGCGAGTCTTCAAGCTGGGCCGCCTTCACGTTGCCGATGCACTGGTAGATAACAGTCAGGGGACTGTTTGAAAGCGCGTCATGAAAGCGGCTCCCATGAATATGCAGTCGCACTTTACGTAACATCTTGCCTATTGGGAAGCTTGTAACAAGAGTGAGGCAAGCGTCCGCGACATCGCGCAATTAGTACCGGTGAAGACGCTCAGGCATTACGGTAATGTGAAACGTGTGCAGTTACAAACAATTGTTCGTATTTATTACTTGGCAGCGGTGGTCATTACGAAGCAGTTTTGGCATCGACAGAGATTCCGATCGCTACGGGGACTGCTAGATATCCAGCTGAAACGTTGACTTGACTCGTACAAATGGCCGCTACATTACCAAAAGCAACCAAAAGCAAGGGGCGAAAATGACAACGCGTGCGACTAGTGGCCCTTGGGTCCCGGGCGCACACCTTGTCTATCCTAAAGACACTACGCATTCTGGTCTGGTCTGGGTTGACACTACTGCAATTAGCGGTTTAAGGTCCTGGATTCGATTCCCGGGGAGACCCCCGAATTAGTCGGGAGAGCGAGTTTATGGCTAGCTGCTGAGATGTGGAGTTGAGGTCACAGTTGATGGACCAGATTCGCACGCTGGATTGGTGGCGATTGCCGAACCCTCCGTCTCTTCGGATGTTCGGGTGAATGGATGAGGAGGGGTCCCTGAAGGCTGGATCCGCCGCCTTGGACTTACAGTTCGTATGGCGAAGACAGTGTGGTAGTGGTGGATGGTGCTATAAGGTGATAAATCGTAGAACTGACAATGTGATAAAGCGGCCCAGAAGCCTCCCACTCTGTGACATTACAGAGTATTACTACGCATTCAAGATTGGGCATCCGTCTCGCAATGGCCATTCAGCAGCCTCAGTCACTACCCTGTGTGCCAACCGTGCGCCTACCGCGCGAAGCGCTGGCAGCGCACAGGTCTGAGCAAGCACGAGCAGGGTTACCCGTGGCCTTGCAAAGCTCTACATTGTCTGGTTTCTAGCAATATTTAAAGAGGGCAATTGCTCTCGTCCTGACACAAGTTTGACACGCATTCAGGCGAGGCTACTTTGACGTCTCACTGTTAAAAATTCCGTTCTTATTGCCGTGCCCATGCAGTGTACCGCGCTCCTGCTGGCCTTCCATGGATATGCCGTTCAGGGCCATATCCCATAGCCCTGTACATCTTGCCTGCGGCGCTGCCATTGTCTCTGCCTTCCCTACGTTCATTCGCGATCTGGCCAAGCATTGCGAGATATACGTCAGGTGTACCCGCGCGAAGGCGTCACGGGCGTCGCATTTTGAAGAAACCCGTGGATTACAGTGGGAACCTGCGCGGAACCTGTGGAAAACTGGAAGCCTGTAGAGCTGACTCCCGTTTTCACCTTGCTTAGTGCACGGTGAGGCTGCTGCGTGGAATTCAGAAACTATGGGGATCCACATGCAGACGTTTAGGGCCGCGGACTTACATTGGCCTGGGTTGGGGCCGGGAGACTGCGGGAGATGGCACCTGGGCCGGAAGAAACTCAGTGCACCATAATCATCCAACTATCCACAACTAATCAATTATACTTCGACGCGTCCGTGTCGAACCTCCGCTGTTGCAACGGACGGCAAGCGTTCAAGCTATATAGGCAAGCATAAGTTGCTGGCAGCCCGCCAGCCTCCACTCTTGTATGGCAGGCAGACTGGCAGTTCAACTTCTCTCAAAAGCAGGTAAGGGTGCTCCTGCTTGCAGATACTTCTGCTTGCTTTAGAATTTGGAATTGAGCGTCCTTCTGCGTGCAGGGCGACGCACACGCGCTCGTCAGGGATTGAGCAGCCTTCGGAATTGTGTATGAATCTTGGGTAGGGTGTTTGTCACGAGAAGCTGTCGCCGTGTTCCTGCACAGCAGCGAACAAGTCCATGCTGGCAAGCCTTCCGGAAGCGCACGGTAAATTTCACTGACTTTAACGCTTAAGTTAAAATTAGCACGCATAGGAGTTTGCCACTAGTAGTTTCTTCTTGCGAACACATCGAGGCGACATCGCGGGCCAGGGTACTAGTAGACGAACCATAGCACCAAGGGGAAAATTGGGTAAAGCAGTGGGTGTGATATCATCGTTGGGAGGTGCGTTTCTCCTGAAACCTGAAACTCTTCCACCTTCGGATTTTTGGCTGGTGTACGACCATTCAGGAGATTTTCTCTGATTCCGTGAAACTGTCCATGAGAACGTTGGGCACCGCTTGCACTCTACGTAAATAAAGTATCAACAACGTTACATATTGGGGCGTTACGGAGCTTAATTTTGTAACGCATAGGTCCTCACCAAGACTCTCCTTCGGGGCACATTTCTGCCGCGGCACCAGTCGGGGGCTTGCACCTCTATAACAATTTAAATATGACAGTAACACAAGGTTAAAGTCTACTGAGCCCTGAAGCCTTCACAAATATCTGAGGGCGCTCGAACCAACCCGAAGTCCGCTTGCCGATGTTAAGGCGCTGCCGAACAGGCAAGAGCAACTAATAGTATGCTCGCTGGATTATTTAGTTGCTTCAAGGGCGGCGATGGGCCTGCGAAGTGTCCCAAGGTGGCGACGACAGAAGGCCACCGAAACGCTGTCCATGCAACATCGGTCTCGAAGCCGTGCCCTATTATTCCATATGCCAGCAACTGTCAAGGCAACTTGAAGACAGCGCTGGGCGCCTCAGGCCCTGTATGTCAGCGGAATTGGCTGCCTGAGGACGCGGTCGCAGGCAGCTCGTCCGTATCAACGCCTACACAAGATGGTATTTGTTCTTTCGGAAATCATGTGATACCAAGTACTGGCATCGGCATTGAAGCCGAAATGCATAGCAGCTGTTGCAGCGACGGAGCACGTTCCTGTACTTTGCCGACGACCGCCACCTTTACCGGCGCCGGCGTGGAGTCAGCATTGGAAGTTCGGGGCAGGGCAATGACTCCAACAATATTGCTATCGCTGCGACAACTCCATATGGCCCTTGCCCCGGCAATGGATTGCGGCGTCCAGCAACGCTGCTCGCCTTTTGTGAATACGGATGTGCCGAGTCCGGCAGATGTGCAGCCTTCTAGCATGGTCCTTGCAACCGGGATGGCTTTGGGTGACCTGTCAACCAGCGAATCCTTCAGCATGTCCGGCCTGCACCCGCAGTTGCGCTTCGTAAATGCGTGCAGGCTCGGGGAGGAGGTGCGGGACTTGCAGCAACTTGCCAGGTGTGTTCATTCCTATGGAAAGCGTACAGCTCGCACCGGGGCGTACGGCCAGTACAGCAATAATACGGCAAATAACTGCTCTGGGGCTCATTGGATGTCTTTTCAAAAGACAGCTGCAACAGAGGACGGGACAGAGACTTACGCGCATAAGCCCGCGGATGCATTTGGACTTATGAATTATTCGAATTGTGCTAGGCCAATCTTAACCTGAGGAAAACCCAACGCCTCCCTCAAACCCACTTGGGGCGTCGGCAGTTGATTTTTTCTAATTTTTTGCATACGATGCCCCTTTTGGGGTTGCGATGGGAGCTTCTGTAATCCTTTGTGGCTTTCATTTGCTACGCCAGCAGCAAACGAGAACACTAACAATTATCTGAAAACCTGCCTGCAGCATATGACAAAGAACGATATAATTTGTTCCTTTTTATGTTTTCTCTCTCTCTCTCTCTCTCTCTCTTCATTTCCCGGGGGGGATTTTTCCGCAGGGGTGGGTACGGCATGGTCATGACCGGCAACTGGCGGCAGGAGGGCCGTGTGGCAGTTAAGGTTCTCGCCAGCGATGAAGACAAGTGGATGGAGTCCTGCTACAAGGAGGCGGTGAGGCGGCGGGGGGTCGGGGGAAGGTTTTGGTTTTGGCGGTTACCATGGCGGTTACCATGGTACGTCCGTCTGTTTGTACTTCTTCCCTTCTTGCCGCCTTACCCTGAAGGCGATGAGAACCAACTGTGCGCTGTGTGTGGTGCCTTCAGGAATATGACTTTGTTGTGTTCCCGTCTGATATGACCTTCTCCGTGAGTTGCTCCGTCTCCGTGCCCCCGACTGACTGACTGACTGACTGCATGGTTGGTGGTTGCGGCGGGGGGGGTTGTTTCTTTTCCCGCGGTGGTGCCTCTGCTGCTGCTGCTGCCTCTGCTGCTGCTGCTGTGTCGCAGGTGCTCAGCAAGATGCTCGCACACCCGAACATTCTCCAAGTAAGTAGGTGGAACGACCTGTGTCTAGTGTCTAGATTGAGCTGTGAAGCGAGCTGTGAAGCGAGCTGTGAAGCGAGCTGTGAAGCGAGCTGTGAAGTGAGCTGTGAAGCGAGCTGTGAAGTGAGCTGTGAAGCGAGCTGTGAAGTGAGCTGTGAAGCGAGCTGTGAAGTGAGCTGTGAAGCGAGCTGTGAAGTGAGCTGTGAAGCGAGCTGTGAAGTGAGCTGTGAAGTGAGCTGTGAAGCGAGCTGTGAAGTGAGCTGCGGTGTTGTTGTTGTCGGTCGTCTGGTTTGCAGTGTTTGTTTGTTGTCGGCCGTTGGACTGACTGTTTCTTTTGAAACCAGGAGGGGACGTTAAGGGGGAGAACGACTGATTCCCGAACTTCGGTACTTCCAAGTCGCAAGTGAATTAATTTAACCAAATTGCCAAGGAAATGTTGTTGAAAAATAGCGAGAGACGGGGGGGGGGTAAGGAGCGCAGAGCTGTCCAACGGCTTTCAACAGCCGATTCTTCCTCCGCGCAAAACAAGACAGCCAATACTGCAAACTGGGGCAAACTGTCAGCCGATTGGAAGAACCAATGCCATGGAGCTTGAACCGCACATTCTACTATCCGAATCTCTTTTTACGTTTATCTCGTTTACCAGCGGAGCAACGCTAGCGTTGCCTTTCTTTACCAACCTTTGCCCCTTATGTCTTTTGGCTTTTGTGCGCTACTTGACTCTTATCGCACCGCCACAACCATGCGCGTCCGGGACTCCCGCCAGACGTACGACTTCCAGGTGGCCGTACTAACTGACGCCGACGTGGCAAGAGCCAAGGCCAGCTGGGAGCAGCACCATCAGGCCCGGGGATCGCAGGATCAGCTCCAGGCTGGGTCGCCGCCGTACTATGATGCCAAGCTGCCGTACGTTGACGCGCGTGCGGACAGCTTTGAGCTGCTACCGCCGCTCGGTTCCGCTGCGGGGGGGCCTTCGGACGGATCGGCGGGAACGGATAGGTGCGTGCGCGTGCCCGTCCTTGGGGTGCCTGGGAGCCTGTGTTGGAACCTGTGTTGGACATCCCCTCATTTGTTTTTATTTTCCGCTGCGAGGGAGCTTCATTTTGCAGGTGCCTATGCAGGGGGCTCTCTATGCAGTAGTGGGGGGGGGGGTGCTAAGGGACTCACTCCACCGCATGTGCTCTCGCAGGGTCACCATGTCGCCCGCTGCTGTCGACCTGTGGCAAGCGCTTTTCTTGCTTGGGGCGAGACCCGGCCAGTTCGTGACGCTCATCATCATGGTGCGTGTGGGGCCCTCCGTCGGGCTGCGTTGGGCTGGACTGGGCTGGGTTGGACTGGGTTGGGCCATGAAGCAGGGACGCACGCCGACATGAATGGAAGTAGTGAAAATTAAGCGAAAGCTAAGTAACGGTTGCGGTGGGGAGGCTGATTGAAGCATCAATACATTGAAGATTATCTAGAGCGAAGTGGAAAAGTCTAGGAAGCTTTAGTCCCGACCGCAACCTCAACGGCAGAGGAAAAAATGTTTAGTCCTTCAAGCGCACCTTAGCCACTACTTACTGCCCCTCGGCGGCTGCGGACCAACCGCAGGAGTACGCGGAGGTGGGCACACTCCAACGCGCCATTGCCGCTGGCGCCTTCCGGTGCGGCGTTTGGGTGGGGGGAGCGGAGCGGGGTGGAGTGGAGTGGAGTGGAGTGGAGGAAAGACGAAGCACGAACGAGTGAAGCTGCTGCCCGGGAAAAAGTAGAGGGGATGGGATGGGAGGGGCAAATGACAGCGCACGGGGCTCACGTAGGGCTCATTGTGCTGTCGCAAACATCGGAAAGAGCCTTGAGACTTCCTGACTCTAGATTCTATAGAGGCTATGAAAACAGAGAATCGATGAATTTCGTCGTGTCGGAGCCTTGTCGCGTTCATCAAGGCTGCCCCCCGCGCCCGCGCCCGCGGACGACCGGACGACCTTGTTTCTGTCCCTTGAATTGAACCTCCCCCGGCCGTCAACTGACTGACAACCCCACCCACCCACCCGCCCACCCGACCCACCGACCCACCGACCCGAAACCCACTGAAGGGAGAGCGCCCGGCTGAGCAAGTGGGCGGCTCTGCGGTCCCTTCTGGTGACCGCCAAGGAGGTTGCGGGGGGCATGTGCTTGCTGCACAGCTACAAGATCATCCACGGCGACCTGTCAGGTGGGTCGGCAAGGCTGGGCGATCACGTGCACGCGTGCACGCTTTGCCCCCTGGCCCTGGACAGCGCCGTTGCGGTGTCTTATCAGACACGAGAGAAACCCGGTCTGCATGGATTGCATGGACCTTTCTTGATCTTTGGCAACGGTTTTAGAAAAAGATGTAGAAAAATATGTATTTGGCGGTGATGGTCGTAAGAGGGGATGGAGGAGGGGGTTTTGCGCGACTGCCGTTGCGGTAGCTGATTTGAGGATTTGATTGATGTAAATCCGCAGCTGCGTGTATGTGAATAGAATATCCCGTCTTGTGTGTGGCTTTCCGCACACCGAGTACATAAGGCCCGTGTGAGCCATGTCCGCAGGCCATACATATAATATATAATATCTAGGAGATGCTTATTTTTTTGAAAATTGTTTGAAAAAATAATTTAGAAAGAATAGAAGAAGATAACCAAACTAAAAAGTCAGCTCATATGTTTTACGAAATTCAATTATGGTAATATGGACCTTATATATATAATTATAATAATAGGAGATGCTTATTTTTTTGAAATTTTTTTGAAAAAATAATCTAGAAAGAATAGAAAAAGATAACCAAACTAAAAAGTCAGCTCATATGTTTTACGAAATTCAATTATGGTAATATGGACCTTTCTGGGAAGGTTACTATGATAGCGATGCCAAAAACTAGTAATATCGAGACTCACAATTTTTACGTACCGGCCGGAGGAGATGAGCCAGACATTGATAAGCTACTTGGTGGGATAAGGCGGGGCAGTAACATTACTACAAAGCAATGTCAAGCAATATGAATTGGAAAATGATGGGAACAAGTTTATAGAACCAGTCAATTGAGCTGTACCCTCTATGTTGAATCAATATATTTGATACCTTATCTAAAATTACACAGAGGATTTCGCGAAGACGAGGTAAGTAACTTAGTTAATATCTGCTATATCATTATGATAGTAGTAACTATTTTAGGAGGGTGGCTTTCCGACAAAATTAATTTTTTGCAATTTCTTCCACCGTATCTTTTGGGTAATTTTTTTATTATCTTCGATATTAAAATTACCTTTTACCTCCTTTTCTTTAAATGAAAGTTTATCTTTCCGGAGATGGCAAGGAAGTAAAGATACATATATATGTAAACGTAACGATGTAAAAATAAAGATGGCGGCTCTGCCAGTGTGCCATTAGAGTGGTACGATGGGGCTTGAGCTCGGAGCTAGGAAGGCACCCCACCCCGCACGCGCCGCATCCGGAGTCTCCGCTCATGCTGTGCTTTGGCCCCCTGCACAACCAACACACAACCAACGTAACAACCAACAGACCTTGCTGTCCTTTTTGTCTTCCGCAGCGACTAATGTGATGCTGCGGGCCTCACGCATCGATAAACGCGGCTTCGTCGCCAAGGTACGGCAGGAGTGATGGATGCGTGTCGGCGGTATAGTATTAAATAGCGCGTGTGTTTCTATACGTGTGGATACTCCAGGACTCCACCCTCCCCATTTCCTTTCCTTTTTATGCATTATCTGTAATGGGGCTCATATTTTACGCCCTATGCTCCGCCCGATAACCCGCGCCACGGTGACCTCCTCAGCTACTCCAGTACCCCCTCGCTGCTCCCCCTCGCTAAGCCTTTCTTTTACTTCTGGGACGCATCAGTCTTTTCTCGGCATCACCTTCACTCCCTCAAGTGGTTCATCTCCTCCCCTTTTGCTGCTCCTCTTCGTCAAACTCGAAAAAACAGGTCGCGGACTTTGGCTTGAGCAAGGTGACCCTCTCCGGCGTTGTGCGCACCGACGACTGGGCCGGCCAGGCGCAGTACCTGGCCCCGGAGTGCCTGGACTACGAGGCGCGGCTGGCGTCGGACGTGTTCGCGTTTGGCGTGCTGCTGTACGAGCTGGCGACGGGCGGTCGTGCATTTGGCGAGTACTCGCCGGCGCAGATCCTGGCGGGCCGGCTGGCGGGCGACCTGACGCTGACGTGGCCGGGTGACGTGTCACCTGATTTGCGGGCCCTGGCGGAGCGGTGCATGCGGGAGGATCCGGAGGGACGTCCGTCGTTCCGGGAGGTGGTGGAGGAGCTCCGGCGGCAGGTAGGTAGGGGAGGATGGGAAGCAAGCAACGTTGTCTAACGTTTGTACGAGCCAATGGTTCACAAGCCAATGGCGAATTCGACAGATTAATATGCCTCGGTCTCCCAGGGCAGGGCAGGGCAGGGCAGGGCAGGGCAGGGCAGGGCAGGGCAGGGCAGGGCAGGGCAGGGCAGATGTTTAATTTGTAAAATTGTCAAATGTCATGTTAAGACCAGCATTATTGCTGTTGTTACCATCCTCTGGTGGATTATATGAGTGTTTTCCGGTCATTTCCAACAGTAGGCACAACACTCGCATGCCAAGTGAGGGGACGAATGATGTGCTAGGGATGGTAATGTGTAATGCGGTGACTTACTTCGGGCGCTGTGTGTTCATGATCACGATGTGTTGCAGGACGCCGAAGCCAAGGCACATCACCGCCACCAGTCGTTAAGTCGGAGGTACACAGCGGACGGCCATTCCGCGGCAGCCACGGCGGCGGCCGGCGCTGGCGGCGTCGCGGCAGCCACCGCCGGCCCTGCAAGTAGAATACCATCCCCGCTCGGCCCATTCCGTTCCACCGTTGCCGTTACCGCGGCTGCAGCGGCGGCGGCGGCGGCGGCGGTCAATCCGGGGTGCCAGCCCAGGACCGGTGTCCTCCTACCTACCACGGCGCAAGGAATGCCGACGGCGACGACAGCACTCAGTCCAGCCGCAGCCGCCATCTCGCGGTTCGGTATTCTCGCTTCAAGTGGAGCGGGGTCATCATCGAACTACATGGGGGCGAGAGGGGTGAACAGCTATGTCCATGCTGGCAGTTTTGCCTGTAATAATAGGAGCCCGTTCCGTCACAGCTTCACCACCGGCTCGGCGGGACTAGCTGTAGCCACGAATGCCGGCGACAGTAGCGGCGGTATCGAAATGGGTCGTACGCCAGCATCTTCAGTAGTGGCGGCGACGCCTCGCGCTGCGACAACATCGGTGTTGGCGATATCGGCGGGAGTGTCGGCGGTGTCGGCGGCGGAGGTTGCGGCAGGGGCGTCAGCGGCGGCGCCGACCGGCGACACCTCAAGCGACTTCACCGCCGTTGGATTGACTAACAGCGAGTCGAGCCGCACGCTGTTATGCTGCCTATCGGAGGAGAGCAGCGGCAAACTATGTACGACGGATGCTGCACCGCCGTACGGCAGGGGGAAATTGTATGGCAATTCATCGTTATTGGCGGTAGCAAATGGGAAGTTCGCAGAGCTGGAGCCCATTCCCTCCGTCGAGGGGTACCACCAATTTGTTACGGAGCCGGTCCTGACCGCCGCCGCCGCCGCCGCTGCTGTGGTCGCTGCCACCGGCGGCGGGAATGACCGCAGCGCAGCCTCCTCCACAGGCGGCGCCGGCAGCAGGCAGCAGGCAGCAGGCAGCGAGCCCGGGCATGCCCTGACGGCTAATGAGTCAAAGCTTCAGGCAGGCGCCGTAAACATCCTGTAGCAGCTCACCAGCACAGCTACAGTTTCCGGGTAAAACACTTTTATATTTGATTTCAAGGCATCGCGGGGCAAGGCGAAGAGGTGCAAGATGTCCCCTCCTCGCCCGCAGAAATTTTTTCCGCTACTTTCTCTTCCTCCCTTTTCCGGCAGGCAGGCGTCGCCCCCAATGCTGGCCGTGTGCGGTCTAGTAAAAGCAGATTTCGTTTTGCACCTAATCAACAACCGAACCTCTGGCAAAGGAAGGAGGGGCTTCCGAAAGCAGGGACGGGTTGCGGGGGATGAATGCTTTCTCAAACAGCAGGGGCATGAATGAGCAGGGCCGTATATCAAGTCAAGTTTTTCCAAGGTGGCGATCAGGGCGCGCAGGCAGTGGTGGTGGTGTTGGTTGCAGTGTTGCTGTTGCAGTGCTGGCGACATAGTGGTGCACACATCGCCACCTCGGGTGTTGAATGATGTGCTCGGTGCCCCATTTCACTGCGGTGATTACGCTGAGTGGTGTTATATGACTGTTGCTTAAGATAAACGGGGGAGTGATAGGGCCTTATGGGAGAGTGGGTGGGGGGTGGGGGGACATGGGGGGGGGTCTGGTGTGGAAAGAGTAGTAATGCATGGGGAGAATTTGAGGTTCTGGGGGGGGGAGACTTGGAGCGTTAGGGGGTTTCAGCATGAGGCCTCATACTTTGCGGCCATGTTGAAGAAGATTTAAAAATCCTTGGCTTGCAATTCACTGACAGCATGAACGCCAAGGCCGTTCGGCTAGTCGGGCACATGGAGGTGTATGCAGGGATGTAGGGGTGTACGGATGTACGGCACGTGGTCAAGGGGCTCGATGGGGTGGGAAGGGCAGGCAGGCGTGGGATCGAATGGGACAGATATAACTTCTGGGTGCTTGTCGTCGTCGAGAAGCAAGGAAAATCCGAAAGGCGAAAGGCGCGCGCGTGTTGAGTTTATTTAGTGCTTCTCTGTCTCCATGCCCTTGATGGCGCGAAATGTGGGCGCGGTGTGCGAGTTTTGTGCATGACGTGCTTCCGGACCCCCTTCTCTACTACCATCATCACTATCACTACCGCCAGTAGAGCAAAAATTCAGCTTTGAACAACGAAAAAAACTTTGATGACATTACATGGTGCCAATGCGCGACATGGCGACGCGCGCATGGCCCCTCACGCGAGCCAAACACACCTCTGCACGGCACGGGCATTCGCCTGTGTGTGCTCTGCTTCTCCTACCCATCCATCCACTTGTCCATCTCAATCCGCTCACCTATCCGCCCCTAGATGGGGACCATGTGGTGCGGGAATGCAAAAAACCATCGGCTTGAAGGGCGATGAAACGTACGGAAAAAGTGATGAAGGTGGTCATTGTGGGTTGGCTTATTATGTGGGTTGGTTTTGCTGCGCCACAGCTGCTGCGGCGGTGGAAGTAAAACGCGTCTGTACTAGCGGACCATCATTAGCGTCGCGCTTACCGTGTGTAGTCACGCATTTTAACGTTACCGTCGTGATTTACAACACACAAAGAAAGCACGCACCTCGCAAGTTTGCATTTCGAATTGTGTTCCTTGTCGTTATCAAGGCTCCACGTCCTTGTTGGTGTTATTGAGTCGGGACGTGCGCTCATCGCTCGCTCCTCTGTCCCGCTTTGTGCACCCTCACCCGTCCTATCTACAGGTGCAAGGAAACGTTACGGCTCGAGGAAATAGAAGCACATGCCGTTTTTTTTACAACTGCTACTTTAAAAAATACTCTTGAATACTCGACACGGCTTCGTGTAGTATGGGACATTTGCATGGTGATTCTGAAGATATCGGTGGGTGCTGCTACAATCGAGCGACAATCCGTAACTCATCGTCATTTACTTACTAATACGCGCTGCATCACACACTTCGCCCCACTTGATTTCGACGGGGCCCCGGGAACATGTCGGAGCTTAGCTAATTATCTTAAGACTACTCTAATTTAGACAATGAGCAATGCCGGGGGAGGCTAGGCAATCTGCCTCTCCGGTGGCCCCGTGTGTGTGGGGGGGACGAGAGGGGAAGAGACGCTTGTTAGGAGTTGCTTTTTCGGTGTACTCGGTGAGGTTTTTAGGTGGGGAACTGCGGTGCTGGGTCGTGACTGCAAAGCTGTTCTGGGGCTTTGGCGTTTTTTTTGTTTTGCATTTGGGGGTGGGAATGGGAGTGGAAGACTGTTTAGGGCGTGTTGGTGTTAACGTGTTGGCGCTTTACTGTTTGTTGTTGTCCGTGTTGCGGATTTGGCTCTGGTGATGGTGCTGGTGATGATGATGGTGCTGGTGATGTTGGCAGTGGCGATGCCAGTGGGTCGAATCAATGTATGCAAAACACTGCTCATCTCCTTTGTAGGGTTCTGCTTCATGCGAATTTCTCTTCATCTTTCTTCATGCGTGGGTGTGTGAAGGGGAGGGATCCTTCAATATTGCCTGCTCTCTCCCTGTGGGACGGATGAAATTCGCTTGTACAGCTTAATTTATTTCCGTATGAGTTTTGTCTTTGGGTGTGCGTGTTGAGAGCAAACCGTTTGCCTTGGTATGTTCAGCGTGTCCGGTGTGCAGTCTGTGCAGGTCTAGGTCTAGGTAAGGGTTTTCGATGTTTTCCCTTCCACACGCTATCAACATCAGCCCGCACCCACACCCGCCCACATATATATACATATGTATATACATATATGTGGTCGTTGTTATGACATCGAGCCTGTTCCAGGTGTACCCGTTATCACCAGCCCAACCGCTGCCCAAGGGCTCATCGCAGCCTGCCCTGCCCTGCTATGCCCCTGCTATGCTAGCGAGATGTGTGAATGTGCGAAGGCATCTTCTTGCGTTTATGTGTGTGTGTGTGCGTATGTATGTTCCCGCACTAGAGGGATGCCCGACCAGTGGTGGTTCACACGCTTCTTTGCTGTGTGTTATCCCTAGAGCTTACTGTCGAAGCAAAATAGATAATGGGGATTTTGCCTTGCATGTGCAGCCCCTCTGCCGCCCTTGGCCGCCCTTCCCTTTCCTTCACGCGAGGCTCACGAAGGCTCACACTCCCTGGGGCCGCACGAATGTTTTTCTGGCGCGGGCGGTCGTAGATTGCGAATGGCGCGCCGTATGCGCCATGCTGCTGCTCACTCCCCGTGATCACTTGAAATTTCAGGTACGCTTTTCTGTTTGCCTGTTCGGCTGTTGTTCTGGCTGCTTCTCTGTTTGATCTCTGTTCCCTGTGAGTTTATAAATGTTCATACGTTTGAATGATTACTGTTGACTGCCGGTCCTTCGACTGCCGGAAGCAACCTGCATGTATACGGAAAGGCTTAAGGAAGTGCGTAAAAAAGAGCTTGGGAAGGAAACGACGTATAGATGACATACATGACGGTGTGAGGAAACTTCTCGAGCTTAGTTGCGATGTCCTGGAGTCCTGGAAGTGTGCTTCCGCAGCCCTGGAAATGTTCTTGCTGCCGGCTGTTGGCTGTTTGGGCCCGGTATGTATGCCTTCCTTCGCCTGACAGCCGTTTTTGTTGTCTGCTGCCTTTCCCCGTACTTACTTAGTCTGTACCTCTTCTGCCCGTTTTCGGATGTGTTCGGTTGTTTGTTTGGCCGGATCAGCAGCTGTCGTGAATCTGAACGTGCGTGATTCGCACCCTAATGTTTCCTTCCTTGACTTGTGTGGTGACGGTTCTACCCGTATTTAGGGGTTTTCGGCTGCTAACGTTACCGTGCCGGTTTACTTACTTCAGTTGATGGATGACTTGATGCGTGTTTATTACTGTTTTGCTTTGCCAAAAGTGCCAAGTGCGTCACCACATCGCTGCCGTAGGCGCACGTCTCCGCTTTGGTGCGGCGCGCGCGGCATGTGTTCTCAGACGTCAGGAAGTACGGGAAACAGTGTTGTACCTTGTTGTTGTATGCTGATCTCCAAGTCTCGAATGTATTAACTATTACCCGGTAACACGGGGGTTGTGACGTGTGAGAAGAGCCCGTTTATTTTCTGGCTTGCAAGTGCAGGTGTTTGACGGTTCCGTCCATACTGCCCCAATAATGAAATTACATTGTTGCGCCTGTGTGCCGCTGTAGCTGATGTGTCCTTACACAGCTGCTGTTTTTGTTGCTGCCAGAAAGCCGCGTCACGTTCAAAGTGCTGCTTCGTGCGAACAACACGCCTAAATACATAGAATTACGCGATGTCGCCAGGCACGTGCTTTCTAATTGCCATGTGCTTACAGTTGTACATACATACGTACGGAGGCACACATTGTCTGCGGCTGTCTGTCGGTTGGTTGATTCGGCTGCGTGATGACGTGATGGCAATGATGGTTTTGGTTTGTACGTATTTGTTGTTGTCACGGACAAAGTTTGGCAGCTACAGGACATTTCTAGCATGCTAGCATATCGTTTGCGTTAGGGATGAAGTATAGGTGTTGAGTTTGCTATACACGAAATGTGGCGTTCGGGTGGTGACAGGGTTGCCTGCCTACCTGCTTGCGTATCGCAACACAAATGGCATCCCGGCAGCTGTACATGCATGTGCTGCTTTCTCCAAATAATAGACTTTCCGGACTTCGCAGCAAGCAAACGGGACTGCTTGCTTACATCCATTTCGGCGCTACATAGGTCATGCTATAAATGCATTTTGGATGTTTGTGTTGTAAATGTTTGCCGGCCATTAAAGGGCCTATTATAATGGGCAGGGTCTATCTCCCACTTTAAAGTATATCTCAACACACGTTCTTCTATTCTGTATTCGATTTCGGAAAAGCTTGGCCTAACTGGGTACGGTACATAGCCAGGGCCGGTACATAGCCAGCTAGTGTTCTTCCGCAGCCCCAATCCACAGGATTTGGAAAAACGACTATGACTATGACTACTATCGCTAACAATACTCCCTAAGCTGGAAATAAAGATCCTGAGCCTAAAAGAATCAAATGCGTGGTGGCAGTCCAGGTATTTCAGCGCGCTCATCTACTCATAGGAGCAGATGAGTCCTTGTGCGCGACGACAAATACTTCCATCGCCCCGGCTGTCTTCCGCAGTCCAGTTGGTGACAAGAGACATTGCGACCTACATCCATACCCTCAGTAGTCTCATCGTCGTTAAAGCGACCGCAGCCGGTTTCTATAACCAAAGGAAAGACGTCTGGCATATGACGTTTCCGCGCAGAGTGCTGTAGGGCCGTGCACTGCATCCTAGCTACCAAGTCAGCCGAATGCACACGGCCATCTTCGACCAGGTTGAAATTTTGAATCATCTAGTAGCCCCAGCCCTTGTGCTGCAGGCCCATCGCTATGAGTAAGCCTAAGCTCATAAATTGCGAACGGCACCGTGGTACGCCATGCTGCTGCTGATATTCAACCAGATGTTCCCAAAAGCGAAAAACAACCACAAAGTAATGGACCTGGAGGAACAGCTGGATGATGAGTCGCTTGGCTGTGCCTGGGCCGATATAAGATAGAAACAAGAATGCTGAAGCCGATTTGAAAATAGATATATTATGCTGATAACACGTCTTTATGAAACGATCACGAGGTTTTGAGAAATCTGGTACAAGATGGCAATGGCCTTAGCTATGAAGCAGATAGCAACTCACAGTCCGTCACTATTCACGCGCCTTGTTTGGCCATGCATATAGACCAGACACATAAATCGATTCAAGGTAATGAGCGTTGACACAAGTCAAAATATACATGTTCTCTGCTGGAATGTTTCCAGGCGGCAACGGGCAGCTTCACAAATGTAGGGCCCAGCAACCGGGTACGGCCAGGCCGTTGGAAGGCAGGGTCATATAACGTATGAACGTAGATGATCATGTGTTCTAGTATTCCACTTACAAAGTTGACAAATGGCTCTGAATAACCGATGGTTTTTAATCTTTGCAACGAGCACTTTGCTCCTGTGCAGCGCAATGGTGCTGCCAGCGTTTGCGCAAGACTTTAGCAAGAATGGTAACCATACCACCAAGAAGTACAGTACAAGTGCAACGCCGTTGCCATACAATTGGACTGTAGACATAACGTATCCTACCGACGACAAGGGCGGCCCCTTTCCATTAATTTTCATGTTCAACGGAATGGAGGCAAGTTTGTGTATCTTTCTTGATTCGTCTAGGTTAGGCTCAATAGCTAGGCTCTTCAACCGACATGGGACGTGCGTGCAGAGCTGCAAATACACCTCCAAGGATTAATGAACTGGAGGAATGCACCCTATAGTAATGGCAAAAGGTCGTCATAACTACCCTTGCATGTAGTAGCGTTCCTCGTTATTTTGCCTGGACTCCTGAAGGAACCGGGGATAACGTAGCGGCTGCCTATTTTTGTATACCTCTCCGTAATATAAAACTATTGAGCGAGCCTCTCCTTTATAAGTGTAAGTGGCCTGCTCCGTGGCTACCACGGGTAGGTGGATTTTGCGTGAGAGTAGATCCCTTGGTCGCCTTGAGCCTTGATCGCGCTTTGCGGGATTGAAGCGATAATCTTTGGCCTCGGATGGAGCTCATCACAACTTGCTGTTAGTTATATATAGGTGGCTGGATTATGTTCGTCATATCAGCATAGATCAAGCCATCTGGCTGCGGGTATTTCACGACGTAGTTTGCCGTACCTTCCCCCCCTTGGTGCTCGGCCCCTCCATGTCACGTTTGCTTGTACACTTGAATTCCGTGTCGTACATCGATTGTACAGTGCCAAGCTGCCTGGTACACCAAGACGGTGGAGCATGTGGCATCTTGGGGATACGTCATCGTGCAGTACACAACGGGCATTGCTTACCCTCTACAAAATGGCGAAAAGGATGAGGTACGTACATACGTACATGGTTACGTACCTATATTCGTACAGGCCTACGTGTGGTAGGATGGGGGCAAATGGTAGAGAGGGCACATGGAGGGCCAGTGCGGGGTATCCCCCCCCCCCGGTGGGTGGGGCCCTGAGGACGTGGGTGTCGGGAGAGCCTGGTAAAGCTGGGGGGGATTGGGGAGGTGAGGGGGAAGGGCGGAGAGAGCGGCAAGAGGACGCCGGCTTTTTGGGGGTTAAGAAGTTGAGAACCGGCGGTTGATGCGGGCTTGGATGAGGGGGAGGTAAGGCCCAAGAGGGGCCGTACTACTAGAGCACGTCTGCGCTGCAGGGCTGGGTTGCTCGGCGAGGGACGAGGGTGGGAGTTTTGCCGTACGGGGTAGGATGAGAGGGCCAGCCGTTTCCATCTAGTAGTGGTAAGGAGGAGGCGCCGCGCGGGTCGGGTTTGTGCGTTGTCCTTTTTCTTCGGTTAGTTGCATCTCCTGTGGGCCAGCCCAGGGAGGGAGAGGTGGAGGAGGTCAGTTGTCTTAGGTTAGCTGCAAGACGTCTTGAGGTTTCGCTCTCTGTTCGTCTTTCTTTTCTTGAGGCTTTTGTGCTTTGATTCGTTTGCCTCTCCCGTCCGGGACACCCCTGCCCGTTGCTCCCTTAAGGTGGTTTTTTATCTGATGGGAAGGTCTAGTGGGGTTTTCAGAGAGCCTTTGCCCTAGCTAGCTGAGTCTTGTGGAGTCGCTCAGATTTGAGAGCCCCCGCCGTGTTTTGACTTCAGCCCCATCCCCTGGGGGAGCGTTGCTGAGCGGGCTGGGTCGTGTTTTAGCAGAGCCTGAGTCGGGATCGGGAGCACACAATTCTAGTGAGTTGTGCTGTGTGCTCGTGACCCTTGCGCTGTGTTTCGGTTTCGGACCCGTGCATACTTCGTGGCCCGCAGTGTAATCTAAGTCATACACACATGCCATGCATACCATGCATACCATGCATATTACGCACACGCATGCATGAATGACATATGCGCACACTGCAGACGCACCACTCATATACCCTTGCGTGCTATGAAAGCACCCAAGCATCTTTTACTCTTTCCCTTTCTGGCCTGCTTGCCAACGCATGATGTGAACCCCGCGTTCAGGTAAAAGTCCTGGCGCCCCTGTTGGAGTGGCTGAAGAGCGACTGCCCCATCAAGAACAAAATTGATTTCTCCCGAAAGGCTGTGATGGGCCACAGCCGCGGCGGCAAGCTGGCATCACTGCACTACGCCAGTAGGTCGGGTCGGCGTGCGGTGGTCGGGCATGTTTTAACACTCACAGAATGCGCCTCATGGGTACTTATTAAATGCACCAGACAACACACAGCAGGCAGAAGCCTGAAAGCGTCCCGCACACTCGCCCCTCCGGATCTGCCTCGCTCGCTTTACCTTACCATCTGCCCTCTTATCACTGCTGCCTTGCCTTGCCTTATCACTGCGCCCTGGTTGTGTGTTGACTATACGCTGGTGTGTGTCTGTATGCATGTTTGTATGTACGTGTATGTGTAGCCCGCAGCGATGTGGCTACCGCAGTGCTAATCGACCCCGTGGACTGCAGCCCTCAAGCCCTAGGTCCCACCCACCCGTCCGCCATTGCCAAGCTTGTTGGCTTGGACATCGACTGCAGCCGCAAGCCCATTCCGAGCCATGGCCGTTCCGACAAGTCTGCAGCGGTTATTGGTAAGCTATCTAGCTGCGGAGTGGTGGAGTGTACGGAATAGCCGTATGTACCTGCGTTCGTACATGCAGACAGACCTAAAAGTTCATCTCCTGCTCACCATTTTAGTTGTTGCTATCGTTCGGGGGTTGGAAAACCCCCGCTGCAATGTGCGTCTGTATGGATGTCCGGTCATGTACTTGTGTTGTGACTACGTGTACGTGCGTAGTTACGTATGTCATCGCTTTAGTACCTGTGTACTGCATGTGCCCAGCCGTATCGTTGGTTTGGCTGCTTAGCATTACCGTCTTTACGTACGAAACTGAATTTCCATTACCTAAGCATGCATGCACCCACGCAACTTCAACGCTGCTGCCTCTCGGCATGCATGTAACGCATGTAACATCCGCCACCCGTTACTCGGTCCCAGGCTCTGGCTACAGGCGGGATGGGATCGCGTCGTGGCTTCTTCCATCCTGCACCCCGGACGACAACAATGCCACGGCCTTCAGCGCCACTTTGTCCGACAAGAGCTGGTACATCTCGATGGTGCAGGTATGTACGTAGGCAAATATGTGCACATGCGAAAACCCTTTTATTTTATGTATGAACCAGTGATTAGTTTTGTCACGACAAATGCTAACGGGTGAGTGACTACTGACGCACTGAGGCACGCCGGGGTGTATGCTGCTGGGGTGTATGTATGTACGTGCGTCTGCGTCTGCGTTATGTACTTGCTTGGATTTATCATTCTCAAGGAGGTGTGGTCGTGCCCGTGCAGGCTGGCCACATGCAGTTCGCCGAATCCAACGGGCTTGACGCCTACGCTGCTTTGAACCTCGCATGCGGACCTCTTGCTTTCAAAATCAGTAACGCGGTATGTGTGTCTGTGTTTAATTAGAAGTGCTTACAGCTGTCGCCAACCGTTCCGCCTGCGTTCACATGACCATTCTTGCCATCCGCAAGCCCGGTAGGCAGGTACCCAGTATGTGGTCACCAAACCCTCGGGTCGCCAAGCAGCCTCACAGCCATGCAACCGTGCGTGCAGTGTCATCATACGAACGTTAGCATGAGGGTTCCTGTACGGGCTAGGGGAGGTTGACCCTCCTAGATTGGAAATGCTCCTTGGGCGACTGATGCTGATGCTGATGAATTAATGGATTGAGTTACAGCTACCCAAGCTACCTAATTTCCTAGGTAGCTTCAGGGTTCATTTTGATGACTTGAATGTCTGCGGAATTGGCCTTCGTGCCTCCCCTTTGTGCCTCCCCTTTCCTCCCTCCCTACTATACTGCCATTTACCTCGTTACGTACTTTTGCTTCTGTCGACCGCGTAGGACGTCATTTCTGAAGCCCGTACGATGGCTGTCGCCTGGTTCGAGTCCGTGTTCCGACCAGGCCAGGTGCGCCCGTGTACAGGAATGCACGTGGACGTGCGTACGTGCGTGGCCTTATCCGCATGTGTATGTATTTGTAGGCGCGTATGTTAAGCATACATACCCACATGTATGTGGAGACTGTTTTAGCGCCTAAATATGCCATGCATCTATATCCTGCGAGCCGTCCAGGACTGGAGTTGGGCCACCGTCGATCCAGCAGGTTCTGTTTGATGCGGGTGATGGGTGCGGAACCTGAGCGATTCACTGAGATGTTGACTAGGGTGACTGGATGAGGGTGCCCCGAAATACCGGGGAAGGCAGGGTTTCGCCGGGTAGCGGCCACGGGTGAAGATATGCCCCTCTGTTTCGCACATCATATATCCGATATCCACATGATTATTGATTTGATGACGGACGATCTATACGACTAAAAGCTGCCTAGGCTTTTATTTGAAATCGAGCAGCATGTTGTTAATCCCTTTCCGAACACATCCCCAACGTGTGCCCCCACGGACAGAGCACTAAAAGCGGTCTGCAGGCCTACATGCAGCATTTGCAGACGCAGAGCCGTAAAGGTGTTCTCACCTATCGAGTGCCCGGCGCGCCTCCAGCTGCTCCGGAGACGACGGCAGCCGAGGCAGTCGTCAGCTCGGCCACCGGCGGCGGTGCGGAGAAGAGTGAACTGTAGATAGATGATACATGGTGCTTCACAGTCTGCAGATGTTGTGTAGTTGGCTAAAATATGTTCGACATATATAAGATCTATATGACCTGGACGTCAATCCGTGCATCAGCAGAGATGAAGTGTAGGCATTTCGCCTATAAATAGCTAGGGCGTGTCAATTATGAACCATGCAAGGAAACGCATGATGTGATGTGTTGCCCGCTGCATAAGAGAGGGAACGTGCATGCAGACACTAGCCTAACAACTACTCACTTGTGCAGATAGTAAATATCTAGGCGAGCTTGTTCTTTGGAGTTGCACCGTACTCGAAAAAAATAGTTGTACATCATGGTTGTGCCGGTGTGTGTATGTGTGTGTGTATGTGTTGCCGGTAACTTTGATGGAGCGCGTCATAATTGTCACGCACTTCCGTGATATACAGCAACGCAGGAGGATTTCCTACAAACTTCGGCCCCCCCAACCCTTGAGGACAGCCTTGTGTGTGGCTGGCACAGTATGAAGCTCATACACGGTGCATATACATGCATGCATGGTGTAAGCAGCTGCTGCTGTGACGCGATCCATTCATTCGCATAGGCATGCATATGCGCATGCGCATGTGCATGTGATCGTGTCGGACATTGAAGGATTAGCGTCTATGCTTCAGATGAGGTGTGCGCTGCCTCCATGGGAGAAAGCAGCTGTTGGAGCCGGTTTTCGCCATTTTCGCGAGGCCTGTCATGAGAATTTTGATTGGGCCGTGGTGGGTGCGTGCGTTTGTATTGCTTGTCTGCGTTACAGATGTGCGCGCACTTTCTTGCATGAGAACCCTCCCGTGTTGATCGGTCCGCACCGTGTTGTTTAACGAGTAGCTGGGTTGGTACCGCACAGCAGGAGCAAAGGTACGTTATCGTTGCTTGGTACGGATACAATTCCAGGCGGATGTGCGCATGAAGCTGCGGTCTTGATTTGTCGTGACACGAAACTCTAGGGTATTCGCAGTGCAGAGCAGTGCGCGGTCGTCCGATGGCCCGCCCTACTTCCCTGCCGGAAAACACCCTTGGGGTCTGGGGCTCGCTGTAATACCCGCTACTGTTAACCTATCAACGATACATATCATGCATCCTTCTTTGCTTTCTCCAACAAGCACTTGTCGTATGCAGGTGTGGCAGACTGGGCAGATTTCGACGAAACGTTCTAATGACTGTGTTCCTACCTTGCTTAGCTATAAATGCAGTGATCGCGTTACTGTCGACTTGCTCTACAGCTAAAACCCTCAATCCTCTGCATATCATCCAAAGTTACATGTAGTATTGAGCACCTGGTTATTACTCTACCGACGGACACAAATCAAGTACGTCGTGATGTCGTGATGTGTAGACGCAGAGATCAACTGAGATCTTAATACAATAACATGGCGAAACGGATAGGCTAAGGCCTGAGCGTGCATGAATCCCTGCCGTACCATGAAATATATCAGCGGTTCCGTTCAGGCACGTTCCGCGTAGCCGTGTGATCAGCATCTTACGACGACAGTGAGCCCATGTCAGGCAGGCGGTAGGTTATCGTGCCCGCGGTGTGCTGAGCTGCTAGGTGCCGCTGGTAATCTGCCAGGCGCTGCGATGTTCCCTCCTGCAGCAGAGCGTAAAAATCCGGACAGCATCCGAGAATTCATGCAGGCGAGCACTCTTTACTCAAGTGGCAGGCAGGCCGACCGCGCAGATACCAGTACACACATTATTCATCATCAAACAGGCGCTCTTAAGACAAGCAGATGGGGTAGCAGGCGTCGCCGTATCGAGGGACGAGCCATATGTCGCTTCAGGGAATTGGCACTCGCACTCCCGTGGCTAGCCTGACGGGGAACATCAATCCGAATTGTGATATCCCGCCAGCTGGGAGGTGATGCGGGTGGTGAACGGCCGGCTGGCCTGTGCTGGGCTTTTCCCCATTCCTGCTGTGGAGGCGGATTCATGTAAGGCTCAATCGCATCCATGGTCCAGTACACCCTGGCGGTTATGTGTTGGTACGTGGCTATGCGAGCAGTCGGCTGGTGGTCCCATCCAGCATATCCAGCCCGATCTGATGTATTAAAGGTGGCGCCCAATGCCTAATGCAAAGCTTTCGCGGGATCTCTGCCATCCGCGGAGTGGGGACCCAGTCTTGTGGTAGGTGCGTGCGTAGCTAATGGTTCTAATGCCGATTGCTGCTATTCAGCTGGCCTGTATGACCTTGTAAATCCTGGCCACGAATGTCCTTGGCCACAAATATCCTTGGCCACAAATCTCTCAGGCCGTGCCCATGGTCTTGGCTGGGCAGGGGAGTGAGTCTGTGTGCGTGGTTCCTCACGGCTGTCCAGGCCGCCGTGGTAGGGAGCTGGCGGCCCTGGTGCTCCACGGGTGCTTACTGGCCTCGTTCCAAGGTTTGGTGCGGGCAGCAGCACCGGAGCTCCTGATGTGTCCTGTTGGATCGCACTTCACTCATCCTACAACCGCATGCACTCGCACTCACCTGGCCTGGCCTGAACACGGACTCCAACCAGGCGGCAGCCATCGCCCGGGCCTCAGACCGCACCTCCTGATATATCACAACATACCGTACATACATACATACATGCATACGCACGTGCAGACACAAACATGAAAATGAGGAGGATGATTGTGTAAGGATGATTCTTTAAATCTATATCCTTTATGGTCTCGTAGATATCTGCTAATCGATTATTGTGGTGCACTTCGTGGCAGCAGCAGCCAAACCATTAAACGGCAGCAGACATAAATAAAAAATATTATACACCTCGCGCACATTGAAGGCTTTAAAAAAAATAAGGAAGGCAACGATAGTGTGAAATCCTGAAAGCAGATTCTTGTACCTCGCCCTCATGCAAACGGGAATGAGTTCCGCCAATCGTAACGACATGCGTGCGCGCGTGGGCATGCATACCTCATTGGTAATGTTGCCATTCCCACCGCAAATCTTCGCAAACTCGACGTAGTTCGGGTCGTCCGACTGCGCGAACTGCATATGGCCTGCCTGCAGACATTTATCGGTGTGATGACTCACATACATGCACAAGTTAATAGTAAGCGTAGTACGTAGCTGGTCGCCGTTGAAAAGGGTCTCTTTTAAGGTGCCGGCAGCAGAGCGCGCGCGCGCCTTAGCGCGTGTTTACTATAAATGATGTGCGTGCCGTACTACTGTACGACAGCTACCGCAACAAGCCATTCATGCACATACAGGTCCTATCAGGCCTGTTCTACCTAGCTGCTGGGCCAGCAGATTGCTGCTTGCAAGCAAAAGTTGAAGTGGCATACATGCATCATCAGTACGACACACTGGCCCAGCAGTACTACGCGCTCATCACGCACGCGCGCTGGCATGGAGATGCACGTCCAGCGGTTGTTGATGGTGGTAGTGCCAATAGCGGCCAGTTTTGCTTCCCCGATAAATCAAAACTCAAGACGAATAAGCGGTCAGTCTTGTTTGGAAATTTTTCATCTGTCGGAACCTAGTGCAGCAGAGTCTCAGCAGGCAGGTCTGGTCGCTTCACTGAACCAGCCGTATAGACAAGGTACTTCTAATGCATGGTTAGGCACTGTCCATTACATTCCATTACGGTCAACTGAGTTTTGTCCCGGCCGGTAACAGATTGGTAGGGTAGCCCATCGGTTGGGTAATGGCTACTAACCCAACTGACCGGTTGGGCCCGGTTACCGATCGGTGACCCGTGGAATGTGTGGCCTAGGGATTAGGATGCGTAGGCGAATGATGTAGATGTACACCGTATATTTTGGTCGATGCTATAGTTCTTAAACAATTTGCCAGCAAATTCTTAGGAGTAGGAGCGTGTGTACAGCGGGTACCCAAACCTCCCGCGCGCCTGTCCATGCCGTCGAGCCAGCAGCAGCGCTCGCACGGCGGACAGCAATTTCGTTCCCATCCTTTGGATGACATCAACGCATTACGGGTGGCTGCTGTATCTGCGCACGGCGGCAGCAGGTGTACGAATCCATACGTACGAACATTCTATGATACCAGTCAACGCCATACGGTACATGTTGTAACAGCTGGTGCATAGTACGGACGTCTACAAATGCACGCGCTCAGGTGCTCCGCTGGCGCCTCGAGAGGCCTTTTTATTAGCGGCCAGCTTCTCTCACCTCCTTCAATAGAATATTTAAGCTGTTCGTTGAAAAGGCGTCGAAGAAGGACTGATAGTTCGAGCCCTGGGGATTGCAGCGCCCCACATGATAACCGGCACCTGCGGGCGCGATTGGTGTACAGGCAGCGGGAAGTGCCACACACAGGAATGTGATAGGAGCCGGGTGGCAGGAACGAAGCTAAGGCGACGAATAGACCGAGTAGAGAAGGCTACGCACGTACTCGCTTGTGCGTGCATTGTAATAACCCAATCGATGGATCGATAGATAGATCAACGTCTCGCTTCCACATGCCTGGCAATAATCGTGCATACATATACTTCTCACAGTATTATACCCAAGCATTGATTGAACTTATACTGTAAATATGAACAGTGTGTGTGTGTGTGTGGTTGTTACAGTGGGCTCCAGACTTACGAAGAGTAGAGCCAGCGCTTTGTATATACAAACTAGACAATCACCGGTGTAACAGGACCTCCTCATAATCCAGAAAGCACTTGAATTTCTGCAAGTCGCTTCCGTCTAGGAAAATTTACTACTTTATTTTATTTGCTCATCAACGTACCTAACATACTACGTCTGAACTAGCCTGAAAAGTCAGCAGATGGGTTACCTTAAGTAGCGGAAAAGATTTGTTGGGAAGTTTAAATTTTATTACTTTTATTTTCTTAATTCCTTAATAACAAATAATCTGCTGGAAGCTGATCAGCAGTGTGGGCCTTTCACCAGCAGCAGCAACAACCAGCCGCTATCGTGCCAGGTACGTAGGTAGCCAGGCGGTGGGCGGTCGCGTAGATCTATCTGCTGCTCGGCGGCCTATAAGGCGACACAATCATGCATGGATCATCAAACATCGATTTAGCTAGCTAGCTTCATGGATAGTGCATACCGATAATGGCGGCGGACAGATTGCTGCGTCCGTGCTGCGGAATGGTGTCACCGCAGCTGATGAAGTTGTTATTTTGCTGCCCGAGGCCCACCAGCTTTGCAATGGCGGATGGATACCGGCTGCCTTCCAGGCCAGCGCAATCCACTGGATCCAGGAGAACAGCTGTGACGATGTTGGTGAGGTTAGTAGGTTCTGCAATAATGACGAACAACAAAAGTAATGGGCATTTTGACGATGACAACGAACTACTACTTATTACACACAAATATTTACGGGTCGAACCAGCCTCTAGATCTGTCTGCTGGGAAAATAAAAGAAACAGCTTAAATACAATGGAAATGTATATTTTTTCATTTCAATTATTGATTTCCGTTACGTGTGTGTAGTAATTCCTATTCAACACTCATTATAAATGCGGTGGCTGGGGTCCCACCGATGGCATAAAGGAGCGCTGCCATCTTGCCGCCGCGGCTATGGCCCATGACGGCCGATCTGGTGAAGTTCACCGCGCCCTTGAGATCCGCACAGCCGGCCACGGAGGGGGCCTTATCCTCCAACCATTCCAGCAAGGGATCCAGATACGCCACCTGCTCGTTATGTCCATGGTAGCGACGACGGATGGGCCGCGAAATCCTAAAGTTCTGTACCGTCTGTAGCTGGTGTATAATAGGGACGGTCCCTATCTAATACATTCCAGGCCACGATTTATCGACGATAAGTTTCAAAGTTACATTTCCTTTATTAATCGATTAATATCGTCAGATGATCTGAGCCGCGATGAGGGATGGTGATGCACGATAATAACTTTGCCAAGGCGAACAGACGGTTGTTATTTATTACACGTGCATCTTTACGTTCAGCGTACACAGATTTGGATAGAGCCGAATCTGTAAGATGTTCGTTCGCGTGAGCGATCGGCTCCAAGGATTCTGTGCGTTCGACATACAAGCACGCACACAAGCTATACACATCGCATTGCTGGTAATGCAGACACGCACACGCACACGCACACATATGCACATGTATGTTTATTCACCTCTCCACGCTCGCCCAATGCCAATGAGGCGTTCCAATCGCCGTCGTACTGCAGTACGACGTACCCCCAAGACGCCACGTGACTGACGATGTCTGCATACCAAGACGCTTTACACTGCATGCGCATGCGGGCGCGGCGGAAAAAAAAGGAAGCAAGATATACGCGCCTGCAAAGGTATACGTTGCAGCGGGGATGTATAAATCGTGTATGAATATACACGCCTTTCACGACACAACATAGGTGCATAAAACGCACAAGGAAAATTATTATAAGGCCCCATCACACTTATAGGAAATTGTGTACCGAGCTGACCGCACTATCCGGCGGACTACTGCTATTTTATGTGTAGCAGTAGTGCGCCTTGTTCTACTAGATAGAGAGCCTTCTTAGCCCAACGCTACTGTGGGATCGGATGCACGTACGCGGCGGCAGGAATGCAATAAATATGCAAGATATAGCTGGCGATATATCTTCTAGATATGCAGGTCTGCAGGTATAACCAAAAATCCCGTTGGATATCGCTATATGATGTGTGGGACAGGGGGGCATATCTTTACCCGTGGCCGCTACCCTGCGAAACCCTGCCTTCCCCGGTATTTCGGGGCACCCTCATCTAGTCACCCTAGTCAACTTCACAGTGGATAACTCAGGTTCCGCACCCACCACCGGCATCCAACGGAATCTGGCGGCTCAACTCCATTCCTGGTCGTTTAGCAAGTCGGCTTTCTCCCAGGACACCACCGTCCATCGACTAGGGGCACTTTATCTGCCACCATCGGAAGATTATTCCACCCTGATAGGTCTCGATCCCGGCATCTCCCGGGGGCAATGGACCGTGCCTTACCAGTACTGCCTAAGCTATGCTATATATCGTGCAGCATCGCCGTACGCGCATGCTGCCGAGAGACACACAACAACGTTATCACGGGTGCGCTATCTATGTATCTCCATATATCTATCTGTGCGACCTAATAACTTGCCTCCCACCCGCTGAACAGGACGACCAACGGAAAGGGGCCGCGGCCCCGGCGGCCGCCGCCATCGACCTTGGCACCGCCGCTGCCGCCGCCGCCGCTGCCGCCGCCGCCGCTGCCGCCGCCGCCGCTGCCGCCGGGAAATGTTACAGTCACGTTCAGCGGTACCGGGACACTCGGCGATGCCAGATCCACCCGTGTGCCGCAGGACGACACGGAGTACGGGCCCATCTGAGTAAACTCGCGTCCACCCCCCGCCATCTCTGGCATGGATAGCGCTGCCAGCGCCCGTGACGTTGCTACACCCCGTAACGGTAGCAGAATTACTAGTACTAGCAAGGCACGTGCTGCGGCTTGCAAGCGCTGCCGCTGCTTGGCGCGAATCATGTAAAATTTAAAAGATAACATCGTCATTTTTCTCTTAGGGTTATGTTTTTAATAACTATTTCTTACGGCGGCTCGCAAGCGGACCTTTCCGAGCACTGCCGAGTGGCAGCGGCAGCAGTAGGGCGGCGTTAAGCTTTAAAAACAAGGCATCCAACCAACGAATTGAAACGCCTACAGTATGACGACAACCAACTACCCCATGGGACGCAAGGCACTTGCTCGCTCGTTGCGGAAGCGATACATACATACGTGGGACAATCGAACCTCGGATGACCAATCGGATTTTCGACCCTAACAGGTCTCGATATATGTATGTTTGTGGGTAGGTAAATATGTGTTGTGCTATGTCGGCTCACATTACTCATTCAACCAATTGACAGCGGACCAAAACTAATGTGTATTGATCTAGTGAGCAGGCGGTTTCCTGAGCACTACTAGTAGCTTGCACCAGCTTGCACCTACATTTGCAAGTCGTCACCAGCATTTTGTTGCAGTTTGCTCTGCCAATAGCCCCTGAACAGGACACCACCATTGAACCAGTCGGTCAGCACGGTAAGCTTGGATTCAAACAATCAAGTGATACCTTTCCGAATTTGGAGTTTAAGAAGCTAGCAGCTGAAGGAGGCCTTATCAAGGTTAAGCAAAAAGGATTAAAAGCTGTTCATGGTGCACCTGTACTAAATAAAAGGAAAGAGATGTAACGTTGCAAGGGACTAGCTTAGAAAAGCAAGGCACTATGACTAATGGTATCGGTTGTAAGTTGCAAAATGAAAATAATAAACGAAGCGTCTCGATGGATAACACGATTTAAATTATTTGTATCCTTGCTCAATCGCAACGGCAGACAACAAAACTACAGTCCGAGAGCACATAACAACGGAAATCCAATCATCAGGCAAACAAACGCGAAAAAAAATATATATTGCGAGCTTGCGTAAGTAAGCTGGGTTAGTTGGGCGTAAGGCCCAATGCGTAACTGTTAGACTAACTGTTTCGCAACGGCCCGTGTCCTCAGGGCCGTCATTTATTGCGCGCATTAAGCTGGTTAGCTTATCTTGTTTTTGTTGTTCAGCGCGCGCTGATCAACAAAACAGGTCCCGCGCCTTCGGCGCGCTTTCTGTTACTACACCGCTGTGCCTTCGGCTCGTCAGCGAGACCCATCGGGTAGAGTGCAGTGGAGAATATATAGCACTAGCACCATAGAGTTAGCCCACCTTATTGAAGCACCTTTAGTAGTGCTAGTGGCGGCGCATGTCCCGGTATCGCTAGGCATGACTCCGCTGGTGGAGGCAACTCACAGCTATCCTACATAGCTAACTGGAATGTCACAGACTGGCATTTCCTCGAGGGCTTCTGCGACGCAGTTTATGCCCCCTGCTTTCTCCGGAGCGGATCAACAACTCCCGCCCACCCCGGACCCAACAAGCTTGCCCCTGCAGCTACAACACTAAATGTCCTCTTGACGACGTATTTCATCAAGCTCAT